TACATGTCTATGAGAGCTGTCCCTATAGCTCTATCCAAATTAATCCCATTGTCCAAAATATAACCATGAATTCTTATTCCTGATCCAAGAGCACCAGATTTTGAACATGCAGAGAGCACAGCAGCAACCGTGTACTCATTAGGCTTCATGCCCTCCTCCAGCATCTCAAAATAAGTTGAAATCGCAGATTCATAGTCGCCATTTTGAGAAAACCCATTAATTAATGTCGTCCAAGAAACCACACTTTTCTCTGGCATTACTTCAAAAAGCTGCCTTGCTCTGTTCAAATCGCCGTTATCCACATAACCCTTGATCAAAGTACTCCAAGATCCTGAATTTCTCTCTGGCATGGATCCAAAAAGCGTTGTAGCCATTTGCATATCCTTGGCTCGACAGTACCCATTAATCAAAACATTCCACAACAAAATCCTCTCCATCTTGATCCAATCGGGACTTTCATCGAACACTTGGAACGCATACTTTAATCCTCCGGTCTTGGCATACATATCAACCAAAGATACCCTGACAAAGGAATCGCAGTCGACGGAATCCTTCAAAGCCGCGGCATGAAGAGCCCTACCCAACCATCTAAATCCTAATTTAGAATTAGACTTGAGCACAAACGGAAAAGTTAGCCGATCAGGTCTCACACCAAGCCTCAACATGAGAATGAAATGACGAACAGAACACTTGAAACGAGCACTCTCCGCCAGACCACGGATCAAAGCATTGAAAACAAACAGATTCTTCTCTTTTAAATATCTAAATATCGAGAGGCTATAATCCGGGGACTTGAGAAGAGAAGAGCTAGAAACCAGCTGAGCAGCGACGCGGCTACTGAGGACGCCGCGACGGAGGATATAGGCGTGAACACGGCGGAGACATACGGTGTCTTTGCAGGCGTGAATCAGAGATATGATGTGAGACTCGTCCGGCGATGCTCGATGATCGGCCGGAAAAGATAATTTGGCGGGAGAAGACTTGCGTTTAAAAAGAACATAAAGAGATTTCATCGTACCCCAAAGGCACTCACGATGCCAAGGTCGATGTCGATGATATGTACTTATATTGGCACTTATCTAAACCGAATTAAACCGTAACACTTTATAATCGTTAACCGTTTCAAACAGGAGTGTAATAATTGAAGAACAAGAGCAAAATTTTTGGATGGTCACCAGATTCTCATTTATTAGGACAATAAAACGAATGTCACTTGCCAGTTAATGTTCATAGTGACAAATTCTCTTTGTTATAGTTTTGATACAATACCGAAGAGAAAGAAGAAGAGAGAATGAAGCGATTTAAAGAACTCCAAAGAAAGGGTTGTTGATGGCAGAATTGAGCTCTGCTCCAGCTGAGTTGATAACGGCTGAATCGATCTTGTCTCTTGGTAAGAACAAAAACTCTCCTCCTTCCATTTTCTCAAACCCGCATAGCTCCATGAACTCTATGCCTCCTCTCAGTGAACCAACCCTCTCCTGTTTACATATTTCCATCCCAAGAACCATATGATTTGTAAGAAACTATAGACTATACTTGTATACATCCTTCAAAATCAAATTTGTTTTACGAATCCAATTAGAAAAACATTTGCAGGTTGTCTACCTGAAATGTTTGGTTGGTGAGTCTAATTTTCCGGAACTTCTCTTCATCTGGATTCTTAGCGACATTTCCCATGTAAGTCAGCAGAGTCTGAAACGCTCTCTTCACTTTAGTATCGTCCTCCTGAATCAACAAGTAGTTACTGTTTTAGTCCAAGTTTTAGATGACACACTTTCGCAGGACACAGGTTTCCGCGGGAGTTGTAGCTCGGAATGTGTGGATTGATATGTCTTTACCTTGTGGGTTTGCTTAAGGGACCTCAAGCATTCTCTCATCTGTTCAGTCTTTGTGGCGGGTCTAATAGGCAATGAACTCTGCAAAAACAAAAAATAAATAAAAACAAATGTCTTTGTAAGAAAAGCACATAACACTATAACAGGAGATGATAAATATAACTTGCTTTTGAATTTTTTTTGGTTTACCTTCTTCTCCTCCACAACTGGCACTGAAGGCTTTGCAGCTGAAGGATCTTCCGGAGGCAATCCGAGTTTCCGTCTTCTTTCAGCCTGTTCAAATGTAAATATGAGTCTTCAAGGTTCTCTTACTGAGAAATAATAATGTAAAAGGTATGTAAAATCTGCTGCATTAAAGAAGATACCTTGTCTTCTTCAACTTTTTGACGGATCTTTTCCCTAGCCCGTCTTTCTTCTTCTTTCTCGGCTTTACGCAAAGCGATTATACTGAAATACACAGCCGATACGTATTCACTTGAATAAACGAATACACAAATAAGAATAGAGCTGACAAGCCTGACATTATAAACAGAAGAAACAAACCGTTTTCTTTCGTTATCCTCTTCCATCCGCTTTGCCTCGAGAAGTTCCTTGCCAATCCTAATCCGCTCCTGAACCAATTACTAACATGTTAAAAGATAACAAAAAAGTGCTTATAGTTTCAGCCATGGCACAATCAGCAGTATCTAAAGCTTCAGTCAGTAAATGCCAATTTGCAGGCAATAATAGATTCAAGAGTTAAGAGCAAAATCTTAACAGAAAATAATAATTCTGGCTGTATCATTTTAAGACTAAGTAACAGTAGATAACACATTTTAAGAAAAAAGATCAACATCGAACCTTCTCTCTTTCACGTTCCATCCGTTTTTCTTCCTCTTCTTTCTTCTTCCGTGCACGTTCCCTAAGATGTGGAACAACAGAAAAATGAGGGAAGTATTATCCGACCCTAAAAATAATCACCTTCCAGGATTATCGTAGTAGTTTACAGTTGGCCGATATAAATCGAAGTGTTGATATTTGTCAAGATACTAGGTGAAGAAAGAAGAAAGAAGAGTCAAGGTTATGCATGATAAAACTGTAATGTCATTGGTGCACGCTACAAAAGAATATGAACATGGACAGAAAAAGAGAATACTCATAGCACCTTAGTTCTTGTGCTTTTATCTTCACTTCTTCTGGCGTAAGAGCAGGTTTAGGAGGCCCAGCGTTAGAGTTGGCAGGGACCTAGACAAACAATCAACAATATAGACATTACTGTAAGTGATCAATGAAGTAATCTTAAGACCACATACATGCCTAAGCAACATTATATAATCAGAAAAAAATTGACCTAAAAATTGTCACATCCAGCAAAAACAAACACTTTTCAGGTTGAGACAAGAACTAAACACCGAGATTTGGAGTGTGATCACCACTTAAAACAGTTCAGAACAGGCATTCTGCTGAAAATAAACTATTGACAAGAAACTCACCTTCGGCAGTTCATCTACGTCAGGATCATTCTCATGCTCCACCACCCAATTAACAGCAGCCTCGAGACTGGCATTACCTGAAGGAAGGACATACAAATTATGTTACAGAAGCAGATTATCACAATGTATAGAAGAATTTCAAGATTCAGATGGACTACCATACTTCATTGTACAATCTGACATTCAGAACAAGGATTGAGATAGAGAAAAGGAGAAAAGAAGAAGCATATCTGAGTTCATATGACAAACCACAACATGGAATAAAAGACAGAACTTCAAAATTTCACGTTTAAAATTAACAAGCTTCAGTGAGATAGATAACAGTTCATATCTTAAAACAAAGTTCAATAATAAATGAATGTTCAAGAGCTCAGCACAGCTGCACACGGAGAAGGTAAAAAGAGCCATTCAAAAAGCATAACACTCGATCAAAAAGCTAATCTCTATTGTGATCAGTGGCCATAAAAAGAGAAGAACATGACATGCTCGATTTTTACCAGAGTAGTGTAGTGCTCGGGTAGCACGAGCTTTTGGGAATCCCATTGCTTCAAGTTCCTCGAGAATTTTATTGTCAACGTCTGGGACAACCATCTCTGCAGGAAAGAGATAGAGACCATAAGAAATAACGTCAAAGACACTGATGCAATACATATGCGACAACATGGCACTGTACCTTCAGCAGCCTCTCCACTACCACTAGAACCATCGGGTTTGTCGATCTCCATAGCAGCCTTGGGAGCTTCCAAGCTGATGGGTTTTACCGTCTCCATTGTCTTGTCCTCAAACTCAGCATGCCCTGTTCTTTTTGTATGCAAATCGCTTTCCTTCACATTGTATAAGAACGATAAAAGAAATCACAATCAACTTCAAACCAAGTCAGCGGGAAGCACTTAAAAAGACTCGATTTCATTCAAAACTCAAGTCAAAAACCATCAACTCCAAACCACAGTAAAGGTTGTAAAAGTCGCATCAAATCGAGATCGCAGAGTCCAAAACCGTTAAAAGAATGATGAAAGATCGGAAATACATCAATTAAAAACTCGAAACCCGAAAAAGAAAACCCAAGGTGAGAGATCTGTGAGTGACTTGTAACCACCACCGACAACAACAAAAGTGGACTCAAATTTATCAAGAAAGAGAAAGATACGGAGCGAGGGAAATCGAGGATCCGTACAGTTTTAGAGCGACAAGGCTTTTTGCAAGCAGTGCAAACGAGATTGAGCACCGCCTCAGTGGACTCGGCGAAATTGGAGTGAGAGGTGAGCTCAGCGTGCTCCTGAGCCTCCTCCACGGACTTGAGCAGCGCACCACAATCGCCACACTTGAGCGATACTCCTGCCATGGCTACAATCTCTCCGACTTGGATTCAGAGAAACCGATGTCTTTCCTTTTTAATAGGGGAGGTTGGTCCGTTGCTTGGAAGAGAGGAAGACGTAGTGCCGGTTCAATCGTTTCCACTTCCGGTTTAGTTGTTTTCGGTTCCAACATCGGAACAAAAATTGATTTTATCGGTTAAGCTCCTTAATAAATAATGCTTCCCATGCGATGCGATCGCACCAGTCTAAATCGGACGGTCCATATTGCTCAACCCGATTTCCTTAGAAAACTACCCGCCAGGCCATATTGCTCAACCCGGAAGACCTCTCTCTTTTGATAAAAAGTAACACCGTTGAGAGGCTCATATATTTTTCAGACACGTTTCTGATAATACATATATTGTAACTCTAAAATATAGTAATAAACAACAAAATTAATGGTATTTGATCCAATGTGATCATCAAAAAAGCAAAAAAGCTGTAGAGAGAAGAAGATCAAAACTGTTTTTCTTCTTAAACTTTTTCAGTATAATGGAAGGAAATTAACAAAAATAATTTAGTCTTGCGAGAAGATCCGTTCGTAGAACAAGATATACGCTTCAGAATGCAGAACCTTTTCCAGTGAAACCTGACGAACATGTGAATCGCTTACGTGATACCACACACTGGAGGAATCAGTGTCTTTAGCTTTCTGGCCTCCTCTTACGTACGCCACATAATGACCTCCTCTCATCGTCCCTGAATGCTCCACCAATCCAGCCAGCCTGTAAATGGGCGGGTCTTCTCCGTTACACCTGAAAAAAGAACCAGAATAACAAAGAAAGGGTCTTTATGTGATGGATAATAAGTTAAAAGACGGATCAAAATGTAGTAATGTAGAAGAGCGGAGCTGATACCTTGAGTCCATATAATGTCGAAGATCGATGAATTCTTTGAAAGCAACATGACCATTTAACTTACTTAGCCTACCACGCAAATCCTGGCTGAATCGCTTTAGGTGAATGGTTAACACAGGTGGGGCTTTGTTCAAAAGTACTCTTTTAGTAGCATCTCTCTTTACAGTCACCAGTTTCTCAGAATCATCTACAGCTTCTTCATCTCCAGATTCACTGTCATTTGCTGAGTTAGTACCCATAGCTTCATTATCACTTGGATCTTGCTTCATAGCTTGAACAACGGTTTCTTCAGAGAAACCATCTTCATTTTCACTCACCCATCCGTTGTTGGTGTTGCTTGATCTCGATTCATCTTTTTTGGATTTTTGCTTTTCTCTCAACCGTTGGAGTTTCAGGTTCTTTGAACAGTTCTCGCAATTCCAGGCATTGTCATCCGACAAAATCTCAGGCTTTGTGAAATGAGCCAAACACCTCTCAACAGACACAGGTGAGTCCGAATCATCGATTTCTTCAGGATCAGACTCGCTGCTGAATGCCATAAAACCAACTCCCGAAGCTTCAGCCTTTGAAGGAGGTCCAAAAACAGGTCCTTCTGTCTCGGGCTCATCAAATAATCCGCCAAAATCAACAAAATCATTGTTTTGTGGTTCAGGATCACCAGTAACGAATGACGATGAAGCCTCACCCTCACCTTCCACAACTGTTTTATCATCATAGGATATGTTTTCTTTGTACGGCATGTACAGAACTTGCGAATCTGCAACCACCAAAGGAAGCTCTTCCTCATCCCAAGGATTCACTGAAGATGAACTTTCCCCTAAACCAGGATCACCACCGATGCAACCAGCTTGATTGATTTCAGCAGAAATACCGCTTGTAGCTGTGCATTCATCAGACTGCGTAGCTTGTACATCTTTTTCTTCCAAGCTTGCTTCTGCCTTTGCAGATTCGTCGTTATCTTGGATCAGCATCTCTGCGTTATCTTCCACAGTCTGCTCACCCAATGAAACTGAGGTACTGGCAGGAATATTTGGACAGGAGACATTTTGATTAGCCTCAGTTGTTGGGATGTTATCACCAACATAATCTACCATATCCAAATTCGTCTCATCTCCAGAGGTTTCTGGTCCAATAATATCCAACCAGAAGCTATCAAAAACAGTATCACTTTCTGTTGCTTTTTCTGAGGCCTGCTTATTGTCAAGGGTTATAACCGAAGGAGTCTCTGAAACTGCACCATTATCAATGGGTGCAAAACTGGAACAGGATGTGTCCGAATCAGCTGTGACAACCACAGCTTTCCCCAGAGAATTCAATTCCGACAGCGCCTTAGTTGGGAGGACTTTTGAAACTTTACTTACCTTTGACATATTCTTAGGGGCTCTTTTAGGTGGAAGCTTAGCTTTCTTTGCTCGAGAAACTGTTTGCTGCTTTTTAGGAGGGGTTTTCTTGAATGGTACAGGTAGAGAGAGATCCAAAAACGGTTCAAAGACTTTTGAGGAATGCCCGCACTCCATACAAGAAACAATGCTTGAAGTTTCCCCTCCAAATACAGAATCTATGAGAGTTAATTTCTCATCATTACCACGCTTCTTTCTCAAGGCCGATTCTTCGGTGCTCAACGAATCTAGCAAACAGCGTAGCAACTCGTGGCTGTCATGCTGGTCATATCCCCTAAACTGGGGTGCCTTGGTACAGAAAGACCCAAAAAATGCTCTAGGATTAATCACACTCTTCAAGCCTGCCTCTGGTTTTGTTTCAGCAAATAATTTCTTCAGGGAAGAAGCAAGAGGGCCACCGACACCAGTGACATCCTCCTTGAAGAAATGAACACGTAACTGATCCAAAGAAAGAAGATTCTGCATTATCGAATTAAAGAAACATGTGTTCCCAAGGTTAACTAAACCTCGCACAACATAACCATCTCTTGCTTCAATACCACTAGTCACAGCGCCCTCTAATTTGATACCACTAGTGATACTGCCACTTCCTGAGCTATGTTCCTCGGTATCAGATGGAGGTAAATTGTTCAAAGATCGTCCTTTGATCAATTTTACAACCTCTGACAACACATCTTTCTTCTCACCGTTGTCTTCTTTTTCGACAGGGAGAAGTGAATGGCACGGGAAACACCATCTTAACAGAGGATTTTCCCATTGAATCACCAAACGATGACGAGTCAACCTGATATGCCTTATAACATGGCTCTGAGCTCCAGTTGGCAAACCAACACCTCCACAAACAAAACAGCCACATTCCAAACAAACCCAAATAGCTTTCTTGTCAGATTTTGGGTCAGAAGAAGAAAATGCATGTTTCCCCTTATTACCCTTGGCTTTAGCTCCTCTCTTATCGTGCACCCCTTCCTTGCATTCTTGACACTTAATCTGCCGGGAAGACTTAATCTTGTCCAACACTTTATCCAAATTAAGACCCTTATCGAAATGCACACAAGCTTGTTTCTCTTTCACTGCTTTAGCAACCCCCTCAGCTACTTCCTCGGCTTCACAAGGCTGGTCAGAGACATCCTTGGAGAGTGTCGTGGTCAGATTCTCCTTTGTTGGAGTTCGGGCCTTCTTCTTCGCTTTCTTCCCCATTAGTTCCTATCCAGAATACAATGAAATACAAAGCCAAGGAAAAGAAGAGTGAGTGATTAAAGATGTTCCTTCATCTACATAACCAAAAAACAACAAAGAAGCAATGAAGTGGATACTAAACAACACAGAAAAAAAAAACAACAAACAGTAAAGGATAACTGAAATAAGGTAGTATAAGATTCAAAATCAATATCAAGCTTCAGTTTTCGGGAATAATAGTGCGACAATCGAATCTGCCAACTCAATTCTATAATTCTCGGAAAAGTGAAAGAATTTTGAGGAACTTAGAAGTACCCATTAAAATTTCCCGGATTCTAAGGATTATCCCAAAAGAAATTACCAGACTTCTTAATGACTAGCAATCAAAGATCCCGGATTCAAAGAAGTAGAACTTACAAGGCATCGAAACAACTAAGATTAAAATTCATCATATATAATTACTACTCTCAGCTTGGCCGCTATCGGAATAGGGAACAAAGAGAACAAGTAGCTCAAAACAATCGCAATAAGGCAAAAGGAGAATCCAGAGATTTTACCCACAAAACACAGAAGGAGAAGAATCAAAGGGTTGCTTAGGAGAACATTCACATGAAAAGAATTGAAGGAGAATCGACACTCGAATACTTGGGATCTAGCCCAATCACACAGGGCGAGAGAGAGAGAGAGAGAGAGGGGGCAAGAGATGTTATCACTGCTTCGTTGTTACTGCCGCCGTCAAAAGGAGACGGAGAGTCGACGAAAGTATGTGAAAGAAATTCGCTCCGACAGAGGGGCATACCAAACCAAACCAAAAAAAAAAAAAAAGTAAGAAGGATCGATTGGTTTTTCCTTACCGGTCCGGAATTAGATGGTTAGGCGGGCCAACGATTTTCAGACCAAATTTGTTTTATATTGAAAAGAAAAAAATCGTAAAAAACAAAAGTGGAGACAGCTTTAAAGGATTTCAAATCTTCTAATCTCTCTAGCCCTAATTTACAGAGTCTCTTGGCGCCATGTCTGGAGAAACCGCCGGTAAGATTTCTCGGTCCCTTGCTGTCGTAATTTGTTTATTTATGGATCGATCTGTCATAGTTAAATTAATGGATTCGTCATATGTAATCAATTGTTTGTCCGTTTGGCAAAATAAAATCTCGCAGCTGAGGCTAAGAAGAAGACATGCGTATTCTGGGACGTAGATGATTGCCCAGTCCCTGAGGGTCTCGATCCTAACTCGATTTATAAGAATATCAAATCTGCTCTTGCGAATGAGGGTTATGTTGGTGATTTGGAACTCATGGCTTATTGTGCGGACGAAACGGTCGCCGATGGATATATGCTCGATGCCGGAATGACCTTGGTACACAAAGGTGATTTCTTGAATGAACACTCTTTTCTCATCATATTTCTTACTAAGTTATTGTTAGATATATATATATATATATATATATATATATATATATATGTCTGTAATCAATCTATTCGATCCTTTTTGTTGCTACCCATGTGTTTTTCCCAGTCAACAAACATCTCACACCGATGTTATTCGACATTTGTGAATGGGCACTAGACAATCCTAAAGGATCAAATCTGCTGCTAATCTCAAAATTCAACCCTGAAGAGAAAAAGTTGGTCTCTGTTGCTGTAAATTTGGATCGCAGAGGTTACAATGTTCTCTTAGCAACGCCTGGTGAAGTCAATTTAGGATGGGTGTATTTTACTCCAAGCTCAGTATGGCTTTGGACGAGCATTTCAAAGGGAGGAACCTCTATTAACGCAAAGGAGAAGAAGCGCAAGTTCAGTGCAGATACTGATACCAATTCTGAGATCATTGCGGATACTGATACCGATTCTGAGAACAGAGATGAAAGTAGCTGATGCAGGGGAGTCGACAATAATAATATTTTTATACATTATCATTTTTTTTCTTTTCAGAATGTAATATGTTTTTATCTTCTTATGCTAACTTTAAATTTATTAGATTATCTTGTGACTTATTGTATTTACTAATTTTTTATGATTCACTGAACTGTTTTTAGTGGGCAAATATCTCTGGTTTCTACCTTACGTAATAACTTCAGCTATTTTTTTTTTTTAATGTGTTGATTTTTCAATGTCTTTCACCCAGTCATGCCTTTGTTTTATTGTTTCAGCAGTTCACGATTACAAAGGCAATAACAGAATAAATTAGTCTGTATCTCTCTCTTTTTTTTCCATGAGATAAAAATTAAATATCAATGAAATTGAAATTGAAAATAACGAAATCCTTCAAAATCTCCAAAACAAGACTTGACATTCAAAAAGACCAATAAACTGTTATAACGGTTCACTCCTAAATCTGCCTTGTTGCCAAAGAAATCTAAAAAACAAAAAAAAAACAGCAAAATAAGAGTACTAAGCTCAACAGAAATTGTCTCGTGCCACAAGTAACCGATCTCAAATCTGATCATCTCTCTAACCTCCTTACCTGTGGCTGTAGAATACGAGATATGGCAACTGCAAAATGAAACAAGAGAAGAATCTTCAGTTCTGCTCAGCAGCCACCACCACCACAGTCGGCTCTTCAGTTTTCTTCATTGGAGATGTTTCCATCACAACATCGCCTGTTTTCTCCTTAGGAGCCACCACTATCTCAGTCGGATTAGGGTTTAGGTTAAGACCTGAAGGATTCGGAGATGGTTCTTCCAGTTCAGGATCAGACTCGCCGTTCTGATCATCATGTGGCTCGCTTTCGCCTGAAAGGCCACTTGAATCACCTTCTTCGTCTTCCTCATCTTCGGCTTCTTCAATTGGAAGATCAGCTTCAGCCATGTCTACGTTTTGCTCTGGAAGCCTCTGTTGCAGTGGAACAGCGTTACTTATGAGCAGTCCTGTCCTAAGCTTCTCTCTGTAGTCTTCCATTTCAGTTCGATATCGCTCTTTGTCCTCCATTGCCTTCCCTTGGTAAACCTAGAATCCAGAGAAAATCAGACAGAGCCACGAGAGAGACTCAGAGAGTTTGTGGGAAAAAAAAAAAAAACAGAGACTAGAGTGTGTGAAAATGTATATATACCGATTTTTCCTCTTCATTGAGCTTGTTCCAGAGTTCGCCGATCATCCTGCTAATCTCTCTATCCTTACCGGGATGAAGCGGTTTAAGCCTCGCGTGCTGCTCCGCGAAAAAGAAGTTATAACCGCTTCTGTTAGGTTTTGGATGAGCAGGATCACGTCTTTTGATCTCTGACTTCTTTCTTCTCCTGCGGCGTTTTGTTACTCCTCCAGTAATCCCCTGAGGATTGGAATTGTTGGGGAAAACACCATGACTCTGTTGCGGAGTCTGATGAGCAGCTGTGTTCTGTGGAAGAAGCTGATACAGAACTCCTTTAAGCTGCTCTGATCCCATTGTTACAGTTACAAGATAACCGTTTTCGAATTTCCCATCGATCACTCCAATCACATTTGAACCAGTTAAAGATCCTGAAGCAATAACAACAGAAGAGAAAAAGAATTTTTTTTTGGCTCAGATTTGTCAATTCACAATTTCTCATTTAGACCATTGATAGAAAGAAAGAGAGAGAAAAGTTGAGAGACCCCCGGGGAATTCTCCATAATCGGTCTTTGGTTGTGGCGTAAAGGTTAAAGCTTGAAGTTCTTGTGAAGGTCTTATGGTTCCCTGCATAAGTCCGGGTCTAGCGGATGGGGTCTGCAAAGAGTCTACAGAAGAAATCATTGTTAGCCAAAAAGACAAGTAACTAGAAAGAAACTGAATTTAGTGTATGGGAGCAAAACCTGGAGGAATCTGGCCATTAGCTTTGAAGTAATAGATCTGCTCGTAATTGTTAAGCAGCGAGAAGTAATATTTGCGCAGGACATATGATGCATTTGTTGCTGTTGGAGGAAAGACAAACGTAGCAGTGACTTCTTTCCATCTCCTTTCATGAAGTATCTACAATTCAAAGAAGGAAAATGATCCAAGGACAAATGTCAATGTCTATTTCAATATCTTAGGACAAAGGCGAATAAATGAGAGATCAAAAAAAAGGGAGATCATATGATATAAAATATCATTGGAGGGGACATACCTTATTGATACCACCACGAGAAGTTACCTCAACGAAAAGCTTGTGCAAGTCCAAATCTCTCCCTCCTATAATCGGAACCCTACAATCACAATGCAAGATGTAAAATGGTGAAATCTCAAAGATGGAAACTTCCTGAACACAAATTTCTGTCAGAGCCAACGGACAACCACTGAACCTACTCTCACAGGTAAGAACGGATAAAGGAAAAAGAAGAAACTTACATGAATTTAGTACCCAAGAGAGAGTGTAGCCTTTCCAAGGAACCCATGAAAAGCTTAGGGTCTGCAACCACAGCCTCATACGTTGCTTCAGGGGTAATGCAAATATTGTTCATTGGCACTGTCCCTTGCTTAAGACAAGAGGTTGATGCCATTCCTTACCCAACCAAAAGACAAAAAAAAAGAAAGATAGGTAAGTACTTTAAGATCATTTACCCTCTTTAACAACCACTAAATCTTCTTCAGCATTTACATTCCTTCTTATTAATGAAACAACAGTCAGAGACTTTAAGGCTCTGCACATCTAAGTGTATTTAGCCGTCTTCCAGAAAACAGAAACTCAACGATACACAAGAGTTCAGTTATAGCGTATTATCCACAGAGATGCAATGAAGAAAAACTCAAGGAACAAATTTATGATGTAATGACAACCAGTAAAGAAGCAGAAAGAGATTGCAAAGTCGATGAAAAGAAACAATAAAGGCTTTAAGGAAAAAGCTGTTGAAAAGGCCCCTTCATGAATTCTTCTCCTCCTTCTGTTTCTTCTATGCAAAACAAAAACTGAATAGACAGATTGCCATTAAATGTAAAGCGACTTGTGCTAGATAAGCAACCACACTTTAAGGATTCATAACAAAGACACATCTATCGCCCAATCTCTCTCTATCTGACAAAAAGGGGAATTTTTGCGCCGGCAACGTATTTTGCTTGAGATTTTTAGGAACACAAACCGAGAAATCCTTCAAACAGGCATATTAACAAATACATTACATGCATCTACTAAAAAGTTAATGCCCAACAACAACTTTTCTCCAAAGGAAGCCATTAATTCTCTGTTTATATGACCAAACAACGAATAGATTTTCGACAGATGCAACAGCGAAAATGAATTTTAAAAAAGAGGAACCCTTTTATGGGGTTTCCCGCGAGGCAACAACAACAAGCAGCAAAACCCCAGACGACAAAAAAGATAATTATTAAATAGTAGTAGTAGAGAAGATTTAAAAATGATGGTTAAAAAAAATCTCACCTTTGCTAACCATTTACCCTTGGATATTCATAAAAATCAAAGCTTTGGTATCCCTTTAATGGTGAAGCAGGGCATAGAGAATATAATGAAGGGACGCGTACGTTGATGCGTATGTATGAATGTGTAAATAAGGAACCCAGATGAGGAAAATAACAGATGGGGGAGGCTATAAAATAGGTCAAAATTATATATATTTACCAAAGGGTGAGAGAGAATTGAGCTATGAGAAATAATGCACGATATAAGGAAAATAAGAAAGAGAAAATCATGATATCGAATTAAAGGAAGAAAACAATTTTCTATTTTAATTTAGATCTTCAAGTTTGGCCACAAATTTATTGAAAGAAAAATTAAATTTTGTATTTAATAGTTAATTATGATAAATATAGTTCAATGAATTTTATTCAAACCAAATTTTTTCTATTTTTATATAAAGACGATAATAATTTTTTTATTGATATTTCTTTCGAATCGTTATTTTTGTGTGGTGTGAAAAAAAATAAACTATAAATTGAATAAAAGATTTATCAAATAAATTAAAAAAACATATAAGAAAACATATACAATTTTAATAAATGTTTTATTTTTTAATATAATGTCCTTATAAATTAGTAATATATATGGACAAGAATGAATAATGATGAACTTAATTTCTTTTCTGGATAATGAAACTAATATTAAAGACATATTCAATTTGCTAACCATGCATAGCCTAAACGTATTTGTGGTCCAATTAACAGTAGATGACAAAGACAACTAGCGCTTATGGGTAGTGTTGACTAATTATGTAAAAAAAATTAGAGAACTCTTTAGGAAGCCAGAATCAAATATATTTATGTTTTTAAAACGAATTTAAGAAGAAGAAAGGAGTGAGATACGAAGTGCCGTAACGTATGAACGACATTTTCTTTCTTTCACTATTGACCGTCCGATAGGATATATTAAATACACGTTCATGTGAATTTCATTTTCACTTTATGGAAATTAATAAATAATTATATACACTAAACATGTGTAACCGTTTAATTTCAAAAAGAGTGAGTCTAATATATTGAGATATATTAAATTTGTTATCTTTTGGTCAGATAGATATCAAGTTTGTTTATGATGTCACAAAATACTTATTCTAGATATTCATACCTTGACTTGGCACATTTCGTTAAATTGTTAACTAGTTGAACAAATTCAACCATATATGTAATAATGGTTAAAAGATATAACAAAACAATAAACTATTATCTATACCTTTTAATATATATATCTTAGTAGTATGGAGGATATCATCTTAAATATGACGATTCAAACCGAGAAGATTACTATCTCAACAATCTATAAAATATCATACCAGATCTTACAAACATTCAAAAAAAAAAAATTAATGCATAGAATACTAGAATAACAATTATTATTTTGTGGATATGAATATATCTGACAACTTAAAAACATTAACTTAACAAAAGACGTTAATATTGTCAGATAGATCATAGATGCTAGGCACTAATATTTAACATTATGGTTTCTAATCTATTTTCATCAAGAGATATTAAAAAAAAAAAACTAATCGATTTATCTCGATGTTCTTGTATGACGGTTTCAACGAATTTAAATAACGGAATAAAAAAAGTATATGATTTTTTAAAAAAATTCGAAAAAAATATTAACCTAATAATCCGAATAAATTGCTAGTACAAAGTTGAGTTTCAAAACCCGATCGAAGATATCAACAAAAAATGCACACGTTTTCTGATTTCTCTATGCTTATGGATACAGTATATCGGTTTATGTATACATTTCCATATTTTTTTAATGTCAAACAAGTTTTAACAACCTAAGAAAAAGAAGAAGAAAACATATAACCAAATTTACAAAGAATTACTGTTGATATATAAATCGATTAATCGAACAAAAAGAAAGAAGCACAGATGTGCAAATACTGTATGTGTAGATTTCAAAAACCATTTGACTTGTGACTCACGCTTCATCCACCACGAACACAGTAAAATTCCGTTACTGGTAACTCAACCTTGTATGTTGTATCCTATAAATACAGACCATGTATCTATATGTGTAAGTATTAATACAACGTATATATCTCAACAAACTAAAGCTTCAAGAAGAGTGAAGGTCCATGGAAGATCTTCTCCAAGCTCGCTTCTCTGACGTAACCCTAACCTAGAAGACACGGCAAAACAATATAAGTCTCAGATAAGCCATAACATATGATATATATCCCTAACACCAAAGAGTTTTGGAAAATTAACCTTTGATGACAAAGAAGGCAAAGATGCTCGTCTGGTAAGCTCCTCTCTTTCCTCTTGAACAGCTTTTAATCTTTCTCTCAACAATTCCACTTCATTCTCAATCTTTAACCTCTCATAATCAACCGCAGACATCGATTTTCTCCTTGAACCCGAAGAGCTTAGCGACTTCCTGCGTGGACGACATAATGGAGGAAGCTTTCGAGCAATCCCTGAGACAATGGTACTATTTTCCTGTAATGATTCTTCAGGTTTGCTAAAGGAAAAACCTTCTAGATTCTTCTTCTTCTTCTTCTTACCAAAGTTCTCTGTTTCGTCCTTCACCATATGAACATCACGCACATGCGAGTACGCAACTTCTGAATCCGATTTATACAGATCTCTGTTTCCTTCTTCTCTATAAGGCATATCAAGAACCGTTCCATCAACTTCTTGTACAAGCAAAGCTCTTCTCTCTTGAGAATCTTGATTTTGCTTACCTCCCGGTTTCACCTTCTTTTCGGTACTCTCAGGAAGATTCTGCTCTCTTGTTAAAGAACATTCCAATTCGTCTGTCTCGAAGAGTAGCTGTCTATAAGCTTCAACTTCTTTCTCCAAGAAATGCTTTTCCCTCTCACGCCGTATCAAAATGTCTTTGAGTATGACCATCTCTTCAGCATCAAATGTCGATTTCTCTTCAACCACTCTCTGGAACTGCATCGCTTCCATTTCTATCGCCGCCTTCTCATCTTGCAGCCTATGTATCATCGCCATGGCTTCATCCGCTGCTGATGCTGCTGCGCTTCTCTCTTTATCGAGCTCAACACAAATCGCTGCTCGAGCAGCTCTCTCTTCTTTCAGTGATTCCTCTAAATCCTTGACAGAGTTTTCCTCTGCATTTCTGACAAAAGACAGTTCTGCGGATGAATTGGAGAACACATTTTTTTCAAGTTCTGGCCAATGAGACAGATTAACCCTCTCTCCTGTCCTTACACCATCTGCAAATTAAAGCCGAATCAACACAAAATCATCCGAGGATCCATATCAGCATATATAAACGGAACAATGTTATAATCTTGAAAGGTCAAAAAGGATGGCCAGATCAACATACATTCAAGAAGAGCAAGGCCTAGCATCGAATGTAGAAGCAAAATCTCTATAAAAAAATGGACGATATCGATCAGTTTAAGATAAGAAAGAATACCTTTTACGGTCTCATCGAAAGCTTGTGATGAAGAAATTGATTCAAGGCCTCTCCTACGGTTCTTAAGACCGTTTCTTGATCTTCGGGTAGCAAAACGCTTTCCCTTCATTCCCTGAACGGTCATCAGATTATTGTTGATCGCATTCTGTTCTTCTCTTGACACATCATCCTCTGTTTCATCTTTACCTCTAGCGTTACTTATATCACCACCGTTCTTTCTCACCAGCTTCAGTTGGACAAACCGGTTCGAATCATCATCATCACTAGTAATCGAACCAAAGGGGATTTTTGTTTTTATAGATCGGTCAACGACCGAAATTCTCTCCGATGCACAATTCACTAGGTCTCCTCGAAGACATTTCTTCATGTTTGCATCACCGAAACGTCCACTGTGAAATCTTGGAAGAGTAAAACCTAGAAACCCTAGAAACTTCAACACGACATGTATAAAGAGAGCTGTACAGAGAAGGAAATAAGATATGGCGAGATTCAGAAATGCGCCTATGAGACCAGTGAGATCCCAGTTGTGTGTATCTAAACACGGCATTTTTTTGTAAATAGATAAATGGTTTCTATAGCCTTAAGAGTCTCTGCATATATGTTTTCTTTCAGACAGTCACTTGCGAAGAAATTTGATGTGGAAAATACAGAAACATTGATCATCTGCTCCAACTTTGATAGACCTGTTTCAGATTTCACGTCTCAAATTCTAAACCTAACATGTAAATCCGAGAATTTTTATTTATTTTTGATCCGAAATGAATAATCAATTAAAGAAAACGGATGTGAACCACATGTCTCAAATAGGTAGAAAAGTAGCTATTTTTTAACATATACATTTGAGCAATCAAATAAAAAAAATTTGGGATTTACCCGAAGCTGAGGTCTAGCATTAGCCAAGTGGGGAATTAGAAGTTGTTTACCAAGGGAGGAGAGAGAGAGGTAACGTAAAGCGCAAGAAAATATGCTCCTCCCCCTCGGCCATGAGATACCGGTTTATATATATATATACATGGTTTCGGGCATTTCCTTCGAATTCCCTCTGACTCCATTGACATTTGGTCTGAAAACGAGTAGCATTAAACTGATACTTTTTCACTTTTGTTCCCAAACTACCCCTCTAAGTTCAATGAAATATGTTCTTGGAAATATGTGGATAATTATGAGATTATTTTGTCCGGTTTTTATGGTTTCTGGCACTTATCAAAAAATCATTTCACCAGTGCGATTTTCATCTAATTCATTTTTAGTGACTCGTCCAGTTTATGAGCCGGTACACATAAAAAAAAAAGGGAACCGGGAAGATGTGGTAAGGAAAATTGGGCAGATACGGTTCGATTCTGGTTTTCAGAATTTCGACAACATTTAGTCATTTACCAGGGATTATGGAATTAGCGTACCGAACCGGATCTAAACCCTAAACCTCTGCGTCGCCTGAACCGGTTAAATCCTCCAGACTTTCCTTCCACCTCTCCAGCATCTCGGACCAATATCGATCGACTGAGCCGAGTTCATGGCCCTCGTTCGATTCATCTCTTCTCGGAAGCTTTCACAACCTTTTTGCAGTAGAAATGTTCATCAATTCGCGCTGCCACGCTTTCTATCTCTTCGAGCTCTCTTCTCGACTCATAAGCTCATAGGTGATGAACCAGTTCTTGTGAGTTTCTTCTTTATCTCTCCCTCGTTTTCGTCTCCCAGAGTGGCCTTGATAAGTTGAATTAGTGATAACTTTGATCAACTTTATTATGCGGCTGTTGAATCTCGGAAATCTGTACATGATAATCAAATCTAATGCACAAATCATTTTGAATTTCCTAGAAAATTTTCTGCTCTATGAATTTTGTCTCCGTTAATTTTTTTTCATAGAATTTTATGTTTACAGTCTCATATTCATAGATTTTACAGTTATCATATAGATCCGATTCTTGATGTTTTTATTTTCAGATTTCATTTTCATTTGGCGATTTCTGAAATGTGGGGACTAACTGTTTGGTTAAACCGAAACAGGTTCGAGATTTCATACACACAGCATTGTATGATCCAAAACACGGCTACTTCTCTCAACGATCACGATCTGTTGGTGTTTTGGAGAGAAGCATTAATTTCAACCAGCTTGAAGGTAAGCTAAAAGTTCAAGTTTCACTTGCCCTAAGTGTTTGGATTCTTCAGTTTTATACACGCCCTATAACTTCCCACTGCTTGAAAGAAATTAGATCTAATTCTACAGGATACGCTCTTTATTGGAGCACCGTTGACTAGTTTTCTGTTGTTTCTATGGGCTATAATTATCCTATCACCAGAAAAAAGTTATATTGCTTGTGATGTTATCTCTTCATACCTGTAAGTCGACTCTTTTTTCCCTGTCCTAGGGAGGAAGGCGTACATTAAATTATTGGAAAATGTTTACAAGCAGAGTGACATTTCTTGGTTTACTCCAGTAGAGCTCTTCAAGGTGAAATGTCGTGGATAAGTTGTTTGATGTTTTCTTGGAATAGCCTTCTTTTTTCTGTAATTTTCTTATTTGATGATGTCAATCATCTCTTGTAGCCTTGGTATGCTCATGGAATTGCAGAAGCCATACTGCGAACCACTAATCTCTCAGTTCCATTAAAGGTTTGCGTTTTGTGATCTTTCTGTGTTTTATCTATTTTCAGCACAAAACAAAACATGCGATTATATCTCTGATTTCTGTAGTTATATGGGAAGCCTTGAATCTAGTACGTCCTGAGCTATCTTTACCTATCAGCCTACACTAGAACTAGGTAGTAATAGCCTAGGCCTTTAACCTGTTCAGTTGTTCATGCCTCGAAAACTTGATATACAGAAACAATGGTTTACCTATAAAGGTTTATTATCCCGGTTGTGAGTTAAAGATTACATTTGCACTGATTCTTCTGTTAATCGATAACTCTTGAAACGTGTGCTTAGATTTATGAAATTGGTGGTGGATCGGGCACCTGTGCGAAGGGTGTATTGGACTACATAATGTTGAATGCTCCTGAGAGAATCTACAATAACATGAGCTACACGTACGTATGCCCAAAATTTCCGCTCTATTTTAAATTCAGCTAGCATTAATGATACACAATCATCGTTGGCTTGAACCTCAGCATAGTAACCCTGTTATGAAACATGTTACAATATTATTAACTGCATGCTATTTTACTGTATATCAGTTCTATAGAAATCAGTTCTTCACTGGCTGAGATTCAAAAGGAAACTGTTGCACAAGTTGGAAGTCATCTATCAAAGTTCCGAGTTGAGTGTCGTGATGCATCTGACCTATCTGGATGGAGTGAGGTTCTTTCTGTTCAGCATGAGGCAGATCTTTTTTTTTTCCTGTGGCTATGCTAGAGTTAGTTATTTGGTTAAAAATGACAAACTTAGAGAGTTGTTCACCGAATTCCGTAATATAACATTGTTAGAAGATTGAGCTAGTCAGAGAAACCGTTAGTCACATTAGATTATGCTGAAATTTTTCTTGACACTACTTATTGGTCAAGATTTTTATAAATTAGGGCACACGTTTTATCGAACAATTTTCAGTTTAGTGACGATGAAGTTATCTATCCGTGCTTATATAGTAATTTTTCAAACAGGGAATGTGGAGCAACAACCTTGCTGGGTGATTATGCTCGAGGTACGCAATTAAGTAAAAGTTCTATTTGATTGGTATTCTGTATTTGAAGAAGAATCTATGTCTAATATTTGTATCAACTTATGCGGTTATGACATTGCAGGTGCTAGATAATCTCCCACACGATCTTGTCTATTCTAAAAGTCAAGTTTCCCCATGGATGGAAGTCTTGGTGGAAAATAAACCAGAGAGGTGCATAGAATACCGGTTTGATTGAAATGAGGTTTTACATTTCTGCTTTATTGATTACGATCTCTTATAAATTGCAGCGAAGCACTCTCTGAGCTATACAAGCCTTTAGAAGATCCACTGATTAAGCGCTGCATTGACATTTTAGAACATGAAGATGATCCGGTTTCAAAACCAAAAGAAATTTGGTCCAAACTATTTCCCAAACCTAGACGTAGTTGGCTTCCGACAGGTTGTTTGGTAAGAAAAGATGGTGTGAACATATCTAAAAAAGATATTGTGTTGCTCTTTTCTAATTTTGGAAATTCCAGAAATTGCTGGAGGTTTTACATGAAAAGTTGCCAAAGATGTCCCTAATCGCTTCGGACTTTAGCTTCTTGCCGGATGTGAAAGTTCCTGGTGAAAGAGCACCATTGGTTTCAACAAAGGTCTGTTCTTTTCTTTTCCTTGTAACTGTGCATCGACACCTTTCTCAGTATGTGTGAACTGTTTTAAACACTGAACCATAGAGCAATGGCCAAAATTAAGTCTAGACGTCATTGTTTGAATCAACAAGAACTTGGTTTCGATATACAGTAAGAGAGTGTCTTTCTCCAATGCGTATATCAAACGTTGGTTCAAGAATACACTACATCCGTGAAGTTATTTATGATCTGATAAACAATGTTTGTATTTGCAGAAAGATGGATGTAGCTCAGATTACAGTAGCTATCTAAATGCAAAGGTGAAAACTATCTTCTTTGACTAATTGTATATGTTTTTCCTCCATTGCAAATTGAGCAGTCCCATTAAAAAAAAATTCACAAGAAAACTTGATTGATCTTGCAGGGTGATGCTGATATATTTTTCCCAACCGATTTTTGGCTTTTGGAACGAATGGACCATTATTGTTCCGGATGGAGGAAGATGGAAAAAGACGGGACACCATCGAAAAAAGGAAGGAAAAGGCGAACTCTCACTGTAAAACATTTTTCTCCTTAAATCATTACAACAAGAGAGAGGATGTTTCTTCTGAAAGTTTTCAGTAACAGTCTTTCTTCGTCTTCTTATCTTTTTTTTTTTTTGTTTCGCTTGTAGCTCGATACATCAGCGTTCATGGACGAGTTTGGTTTACCTACAAAGACGAGAACAAAGGACGGATACAACCCATTACTAGATGACTTCAAGAACACTAAGTTCTATCTTAGTGTCCCAACTCATAACACTAAGTAAGCACAAGGTATCGTCAGCTCCTATAGCTGGCTTTTGGTAAGATTCAGACATTACAAAATGAAAGAAACATCCCTCTTTAATTTCTGTTTTTGTAATAAATTTCAATCAAAATTCCCATTGGTGCCTTAAAAAAAAGCACGAACATGAAATGAAATGTGAAAGAGCTCGATTGAGAGAAACTCTGAAAACTAGTGATCCGGTTAACCGAAAATTTATCATAATATTACCAACCGAATAGTGATTGTTGTTGAATTGAATCAATTATCTCATCTTATACTTTTCTATTTGACGGTTCCGCTATATAAAAAAAAAACATGATACACTAAAAGTGAAAACAAATGCGTATCTGTGATGGCCCTCCATGGTTGCAGAATCGTGTGTTACAAGAGATCGCAGCTATGCAACTTACATTGCTAAAGCTGGCCCTCCATGGTTTCAGAATCGTATTGCAGCTGATGTAGCAAACGGCTAATCGACCAGCCCTTGTTCCCCGGTTCTTACTTATCGTTATTGTGGTCCATGGATCTCTTTGCCCTTTTGTCTTGTACTGGAACTGTTAAGAACTCTTTTCTTCTACAGGAACTGCTAAGAGCTTCGTTTTAACATTCTCTTCAGTTAGTTTATTAGCTTGTCTGTAATTCAGTGTTTCTAGATTAAAGAGTATTTTAATGTAATATAAGTAGTAGGAATAATCTCCAAGCCAACGAACCAACTTTTGCATAAAGAAGTTGAAAAGCCGTACTAATTTAAGATTCAGACGTCAAAATAGTAACAACCTTAACATCCAAACATCAACATAGGTTTATTCTAACATCCAGCGACCAAAAAAAGAAGAAAGAAAGCAGCCTTGATTTGATATTATGATAAGCTTCAAATCATTCTCTCACTTTTTCCTGAAAGAGCATCCTTCGGTGAGCCTAGCCTTTCCTCCAGTAGGCTGGCACAGAATTGTCTGGCAGTTTCCGCATACCACAACGGTCTGCGAGTGGCTGAACACGGTAGTACTGCATTTCCAAACACAATGCCCATAAGTTTATGTTTCTTCATCTAAGTAAATAAGTCATAAGGGAATAATTGTTTAGAGATCTTACATGTTGAAGCAGCCTTGGCACTTGACATCCTTCAATAAGGTTAACAAACATCAAGAAACAATAATCAGAGTCCACAAAGAGTAGATAAACCTCATGCATTAAGTTAGACTAAATGAGAGAATCAGATTTACAATTCTAAACTGAGAGATTATGCTTTTTTAGTAGGAAGAGGGTACTAAATCATTATACCATTATCGATGGTTGATAAACAACAAACATTGATCAAACACTAGATAAAATCCAAAGGTTGATGAGAAAACCAAATTCAAAAACACAAAACTTCCAATCTAAACAGAGATATGGTGTCTAGAAGTAGTAAAATGATTCAAGTGGTTTAACAGCAAAAACTCAATACTAAATTGAACCTTAAACACTAAGTCAGGGATCGTGAGAAAATCAAACTCGCAAAATGCAAATTAACAACTCAAAAAACGGTTTCAGAAGAAAGCAAAAAAGGTTTAAAATCAGTACCATGAAGAAGGAATTAGGCGACTGAACAAGACGCTTGAGCTTGTGCTTCCTCTTCTCAAGCTCTGCTGGTGGGTTAAGAAGATCGATATCGTTTTGAAGAACCTGTTTCATTTCATGAAGTTAGCTTCCAGAAAAATGACGAACAAGCTTAGCTTAGATCAATCAAAACACGATTCAAAAACATAGATTCCCGAGAGACACTAAAATTCACAAACGGATCCATAAAGCCTGTTCAAAAGAACATTCCCCCCAAAAGCTCAATTTTCAAAGACAACGGAACATTGCAGTCAGGTTTTGATCATCTGGATTCGAAACCCAACAAAATACAACATACGGGCAATCTAGAGAGACCATTTTATCCTAAGATACTTTGAATATCCATATCTATGTAAAACTGAGAAGTCAGTGAATGCACGAGAAACGGAATAAAAACACAAGACTGAGAGTATCTATATCTATGTAAAACTGAGAAGTCACTGAATCCACGGAATAAAAAGACAAGACTGAGAGTAGAGAGGAAGAGAAATTAGGACGAACCATGTTTGCAGGTGTTCCGGAGCTGACGACTTCTGATTCTTCTACGGCGGCACAATACGGTTCCCTCTACGCTTATATATAAAAAGGAAATAACTAAAACCCTAGAGTAGTTCCCGTAAATAATTATTGGGCCTATTTACTTAGCACATGCCCATTTATTTATATCCTGAATTGAACCAAGGGCCTGGTAATTTTTTTTTTGGGTAAAAAGGGCCTGCTAAATTTATTTGTTAGATTTTTTTTTTTTTTCCATAGTTCAATTAAAGGCATGAGAAATCCTCATGTAGTTCGGTAACAACAATACATCTCGGAACGAAAGAAAACAAATAATGTACGTATCTGTAGAATTTCATCATATACTTTTTCTATTTAACGGTTCCGGTATGAAAAAGCATACACTAAAAAAGAAAACAAATACTCTGTGAAATCTCATCACATTACTCTTCGGTTTTTGTTACAAATTTGAAAAGGAGATTCAAATCTATGCTTCATATAGAAAAACAGAGCCATCTGAACTGTATGAACAATAAAGCTCTCTCTTCTTCTGCTCTTCTTTTCTTTTTAACAAGTTTTGGCATAAAATGTTTCAAAGGCTCTGACAAGTTAAGATCCTCACCCTTGTAATCCAGTGACCGTGGAATTTGACTGAGAAGATGAATCTGGATCACCAACACTCTCTAACCGGCTGTCAAGAATCTCCAAAACATTATCCGGCGGGCATTTGTCACTCGGCTTCTTCGGATTCATCTGACAGAAACATTCAGGCCATGAGTTTGTGTAAAACGATTCAGGAGATACACGTTTGTGAGGCCCTCCAAAGTTTGTTTTCAGCATTACTCGTCTCACGGATTCTTCGAATCCCGCGGTTTTTCCTTTCTCTCTAGCTATGAAGATTGGAGCTAAAGCTTTTCTGTCCGGTCTGATTGTGGTACGGAAACCGTAGTAAAGACGATGACCCAAGAGATTGTTGGCGAAATTGCTCGGTCCATCATATGTTGGCATAAAAATGTCGGACAGGAGACAAACCATGTAATCCACAGCTGATCCTATTAAGCCTTGCGAGTTTGCTGACAGTTCCTCAGACGGGTCCACCGAGCTATGGTTGTCAAGCCTTGGGAATAACGTTCGAAACGGCTTCATGAACCGTTCCCCGCCGAAAAGTTCACCAGCTGCTAGGTATATCCTTGTGGAGTTGTCGAATCTCATCGCTCGTAATATAAGACCTACCTGCACCACAAGGATCAACCAAAATGTCATGTTGCATTTCTAAAGCCTACAACAATGTCATAGTAGCTGTAATCATGATCCCTCTATTGCTGTCTAGCTCAATCAGTTCTTTTATCTGTGAATATATGAAAACCAAGTAGAGGACGTACCTCCTCAGGGGTCAGTGGACACTTCCCAATAGCCCGTCTTTCGTTGTAAATAAGCCTTTTATCTGCGAAATTTTCTTTACGGTACTTCCTAAGTATCTTCTGTTCCTCAGAGTTAAATATGTCGAAGCACCTGCAAAAAAATAGACAATGACCCATTTTTCCCACGTGTATGTAAGATCATAAAAGGGCAACCAACTTCTTTGTAAAACACTTTCACCAAGAACCAACTTTGATATATAAAATGAAACAAAAGTTGATGGTTAAAGAGAGATTTTTGCACAAGAGCATACCCTGCAAATGCCAACATATCCATTTCGAAACGAAGATGGATCGACATGAAGTGGCCCTGTGACCGGAGTTTGTCAACAATCGATTCACTCAACTTCATGATGTGTGGCTTGAATCTCAAAGCATGGTAGTTCACTCTGCACCTTAACCGTTGATATTCAGGATTGTCAATTTCCTCCGCCAACCGATGTGAAAAAGGTGTAAGATAGATAGCACTATGTTCCTTCATTGCCTTTAGAGCAGTTGTCAGGTACCAGTCAATAGGAGCATCTCTAGGAGGACGAATCTGATTCAAAGAAAAAAACGAACACACATGTGTATAACCTTTACTTTCAAACTCTAAGCTTATATGAAAAAAAAAATTCCATAAGCCTGTACCTGAAAAGCTTTTATCTTCTTTGCTTTCCCATTTTTGTGAACATCGGGGATCTTTCCAACAATCTTAACATCATACTTCAGTGTCTCAATAAAATGTTCAACATCATATATACCTTGGAAACCACTGCGAATAAAACAATCATATATTAGAGAATACAAACATATACTCAAACATGCTTATGTAATGGCATTTGCTCTTCTCCGCACAACAACACCTATCCATAACCATTAGGCAAAGAAATCCACCAAGAACTTATATCTCATGATACTTAGAAAGGCATACAGATTGCATTACCTTTACATTTGTAACCAATAAAAAATCAACTTTTTATTTTACAGAAAGTATCTTATTTTCTAGAATTATCTTTGCAACAGATCTGAAGGAAGCAACATACCTGTCATCATGCCAAAACGAGTTTGCATCTAATTCCGGCAACACAAGTGTAGCATTCATGATGCGGGCAGCAAGTACTGCATTACATATCTGCAACATCCAGATGTCAATATTTGTCAAACCGAAGATCAAAACAACCCGATTTATAGTGGACGGTTGAAGCTAGCTCAACTCCACTAGATTTCAAGATTAGAAAAACCTCTCGTAAAGTGACCCAAACAGGACATCAACAGTATTGGAGTGTAAAAGGACAGAAGAAAGATGTAACTAACGACCTTGATAATGTAATAGAACACCTACCGCACTACGTTGCTGATTCAAACCACCATTACATCGAACACGAAGATAACCATTTGTCTCCTTGGTGGGAGCTGCAAAAGGAATAAGAAGGTTCGTATCATCATTTCAAGCTTGGAACGCCCTAAGACTTTGAGATTAGCATCGAGTTAAATCTTTACAGCTCAAAACACGAGATGAACATACGAGGCCAGTCAGATCGTGGCGCAGAAGATGGTCGCCAACCGCCAGACTCAGCACTCTCCCATAGCTCTTCCACGTTTATCTACTCAGAAATATCGTATAGAATCCATCACAAAGGGCTTAGATCAACAAAGACTGACTAAAACTATCATCCATATAGAAGCAGGTGACAGAATTTGGATCTTTGGCTCCTTCAATTATTTAGTTTAGAAAAGTCGAAACAAAATACTTCCATCTTCATTTCACTTTACGCATTTCATCGCCAATCAAACAGAAGACCCGATCTTCAGCTATAAATCGATGCTCCAAATACATAGCAAAAGTGAAGTAACCTTAGATGGACGGGTAGGCTCGCGATTAGCACCGATGTTAGCCGAGAAAAGCAGCGAGAGCGTACAGATCAGTAGAACAATGACTCCAATAGACAGCTTCGCCACCATCCCCTTTGTTCCAACTCCTCCCGTCTTCCCGTGAGGCCGGTGGTGCCCTAACCTGCAACATCACTCAAAGTCAACACCGATCCAACCGATATTATCTCTATTGATACGAAGGTTGCATCTTAGAAACCAGAAATTTCTCGAGAAGCCAAAACAATTTGCCCAGAGAAATGCAATGGAAGCAAGAGTTTTAGTAATAATCTACCTTCTCATCGCGTTTGAAATCAGGAAGGAAACGAGATCTTCTCCAGTGATTTGAGAATTGGCAATACTCTGTGTGTACTCTCTCCTTCGGAGTCTCTTTCTCACTGGCGAGATGTAGATTTTTCGTTAATCTTAAGTTAATTGATTACAGCTGATTCGGGTCACATTAGCAGGCGCGAGTCAGGCCCGCAACGAACCGACGTCGGTTCTAGGGATCAACCGGCCGGTCGACTATTTGAAACCAGGCTTACCTTTTTCTTTTTTTGCGAAAACCAGGCTACCTTTTTCAAATCAAAAATTTCCAATATATTTCCCATAAAACAACACAGAGCATTATTGATTGATTTATAGACAGCGATTAGTAAAATGAGGTTTCAGGATTTTTATATTTAGCGATTAGTAGAATGTTCATTATCAATCAAAGGCAATTTGTTTCTTGTTTCTCGGATTAGAATAATTGTTAACTCCTACGAATGACACTTCATAGTTTGTAACTTATTTATTTTACAAATTCCTATTAAATCATAATATCTGATCGACCAAAATACCAAAAAAGTAGTAAAAAAAAAAAATCAATTTACAAGGCCGAATCGGCGACTGGATGTTAGTTGAAATGTAGAATCAGGCGGGGGCTTTGGAGAGCTGCTTCAAAACGTCGGTTATCTCATTAACCGGTGAGCCAGCCTTGAGAAAACCGATAAAAGGGCTTTCTGATGGAACGATGTCGTCTCGAAGGTCAGTTGACCGCAGAAGAGCATCAGAGCCCAAAGTCACAAGCCCCTTGACGATCACCGTCTTGTGTGTGCCGGAGATCAGTTCCTCGTAGTCCGTATCGCCGCGTTCTCCGACCACCACGTACATGTTCGCCACGTTGAGCCTCCACCGCACGAACAAGTATCTGCCACCGCAAACATTAGTACAGAGAGACAGATTCACAGATATACAAATAATGGTGCGTTTTCACAAAAAGTAAAACCTAAGAGCTTGAGATCGAGAAGCAAGAAGAGGAACGATCTGCAATCTTGTTGAATTCCGACAGTACATCGGATGGCAACGAAGACCTCTTAGACGTAACTTCTGGCGCAAGTCATCAACTCTCATCACCTGTAGAAACCCTAATTAGATACCGTATTAACAATCAGTTTCAGCGGTAAGTAACGACACGGAAACAGAACTTTTACCTTGGAACGGTCTTTGATCAAATACGCAACGCAATGCGCATTGCTCGATGGCTGATCCTCCTGGATAAGACTCGGAGAGCCCTTGTTCCTAGCTTCTCCACCGACCGAGGTTGTGTTCATCAGTTTCCACACAGTGTTCTTAAGTCCTTCATTGCCCCACCGGTAATCGATGTGCGAGGCATAGTCAGGATCCGGAAGAAGCTTCCCGTCTTCCACTCCTGGATAATACACTTCGCTCCCGCTGCTGCATATCAACGTGTCGAACTCGCTCGCCTGAATCTTGGCAGACTTGAAGAAGCGAGTCAATTCATCAAGCGGCATCGAAGTGGATACTGCGAAACCAGAGTTCTTAGCCATCTGAGGATCCGATCGCACGGCTTTGATGATATTCTGAATCATCGGAACCATAGCCTTTTCATCTGGCTCTCCTTCGTCGTTGTAGCAATCAACCGCTAAAACTATCAGCCGTTCACGTCGCCTCAAAACCGGATACTTGCTTCCCAAGTTATCAACTTGCTTCTTCCCCTGTAATTCTGGTGGTTTAGTCTTTGTTTCTGGTTTCCTCATCCGGCTCATGATCTGCTTAACAGGATCAGCAGCATTTGGGTCAAGAGACCCGTTCCACGACGGTTTGTCTCCATCCACTGATAGCCGCAGAGACATGTCCTGAACGTCTTTAAGCGAGTCGTTTAGTGAAAACTCATCGTCTTGAGCCGCCACTTCGTCTGCATCCGTCTGCCACTGCGGATGTCTCATCCGGCACGCGGCTACACGTGTCAGGTAAGTCCGGCAATGCTCTGGCCATGAAAACAGGTGAATGTTCTTCCAACCGTTTATCCTGCACTCGTTCCATAGATTCTTCTCCGATACCAGCTTCAACAACGCGTTGGCTATGGCTTCTTGATCATGTGGATCCACAAGCAAACCGTTGTGCAATGCCTGAAATATTTATACATGAGAAAAAAAAGAAAAAAGTATTACCAATCTAATTAAAATGGATTCCAGTTTCAGGACACTTGGCTTACACGATGTATATCGACCGGTCCACCATTCTTTGTTGCCACAATTGGAAGTCCGTGAGCCGCAGCCTGCATTTTTCAGATTTTGGTTAATCCGGTTTGGTTTGTTTTCCTCTTTATTCCCCAAGGACTATATACATGTATATGCACACCAATGAGGGAGAATTGTAACCTCAATGAGTGTAAGGCCAAAAGGCTCAACCAAAGCTGGGTTTATGAAAACGCCCTTTGTATTTGCAGCAAGTCGGTATATGTCAGGAACATCAGACTGTTTATGATGCTTAGGATACGCAACAAACCCGTAAAGATCGTACTTGTCTATGAGTTTCAAGACGGTTGTAAGAACGCTTGCGTTTCCAGACGACATCTCATCTATATCATCTCTATTTCCCATAATCAAAGTCTAGCAAAAACAGAGCCAAAAAAAAACTTTAGAAACAGAGGATTCTTGTGTTTCTTGCCGTTAAATTTCTGCCTGAATCGAAAAAAAAATATATTAGTAGTTACGAGATTAGCTAGCTCCCGTAGAGGTCGACATTCTCCAAAGGCTTTCAAAAGAGTAGTTATATTCTTCTTTGGATCTGGTCTAGATAATGCCAAGATCATCGGTTTGTGAGGATTTGTGAAAAATCTCATAACCTGTCAAATTCACGCAATGAAACAACAAACACAATCCGGAAAGCAAAACTCGAAAGAAGATAGTGAAAGCTGCTTAGAAAAACTCACTTCAGACCATATAGTTGGAACCGCTTTAGGAGAAGATCCCTCGGTTCCTCCTACTAAGGAAGCTAAGTCTCCATCTCCCTCAGGTGTATCTTCTTGAACCACAACGTTTGTGAAATCCATTCCCGGAGGAATAACCTGCGCAAAAAAGACTCACTCACTCTAAACTTCATAGCCATAATTAGATGTTTCCAAGCCGGTTAGTTTTTGGAGTAACTTACCGCCATTCTTGGCATGTACCTTCCGTGACAATTAACACCGCGTCTAGCACGAGCTCTCAAGACTTTCTCGAGCTTAACATCGAACCCATCATAAAGTCCCCACTGCTCATCAATCTCCTGCCTCGTGCTCGTTATAACAAGCTCTGCAGCATCCAGAGAAAGCTCTTCAGCTTCAATCCTCCTCTTGATCTTATACGTGGAGTTTATATCCTCCTTTGATTGCCTCCCTTGTTTCAAAAGCTGCTCAAGCTTGTTCCTTCCCAGAGAATGACCCGTCAAGACCATTGGAACATTCAACGCACCAGAAAGCAGAGCGGCACTATCCCCTGCATCCGCGTAATGACCGTGAATCACATATGGCCACACGGGCTTCCCGTTCCCAATCTGTTCTCCCAAAACTTTTGACATGTTTAGGATGTGAGCTAAGGCTCCATCAACGAACTCTTGGATATAAGGCCAGAGAATCTCTTTTCTCAAGTACTTATCCCTTGGACCAAACGGTATCCTAATGATATAAGCTCCACTGCTTTCTCCGGTTTCATCGCCATCACAATCTTCAGCAGAAGCAGTGGTTAGCATCTCCGTTGGCTCTGCGTAGCTCCAATCAACTTCAGATGAGCATATCTGGCGAGTAAACAGATCTACTCTGTATACACCGGGCATTCTCGCTAAAGCTCGAGCTAGCTCCACAACATATTTCACCTGATAATTCAAAAGAGAGTTAAAACCCGAGATTCTGTAGCATTATTGAAAACTTGGGACACAATGTACCTGTCCACCGGTATCAGAATCGCTACCAAGCTCCATGTTTTCCCCACGAACCAGCCCGTGCAAACTGATAAAAAATTAACAGACTATCTTTATCTACGTACAAACCAATCAATGGGAAGCAGGAAGAGGAACAGAGAAGAGTACCTGATGAGGACAACGTAAAGGCGATTCTCCTTTTTATCATCAGACCAGACTTCGACATTGGATAAATTGCGTTGCAGGTGTCTTCTAGGTGTCTCCGGTTGAATAATATCTCCAACACCGTCTCCTTTCTCTCCTTCTGATAAATCCTCTGACAAATCCTCTGTCGCATCTCTTCTTCCTTGTTCCCTTTCCAATCTCCTGTTCGCTACTCGCTGCGAATCTTCCCATTCTAACTGTATATCATATTATATCATTGCATAACAACATCAACATAAAGTCGAGAAGCGAATTGATCTAAAAAAGAAATGGGGTACAAGAACCTGCTTCTTCTTGCGAGTGAGGTGCCAGATTCTCCAGCACATGTTCTCTAAGCGAGAGTTGCGTTCACGGGAATTGCGAGTGGCGACGACTTTGATCCAAGTCCGATGAAGATCGGTCTCATCGACTCCGGTCACGACTTCCTCCACAAAGTATTTAGTGGGGTTGAAATATTGTCCTTCTCCTCCGTCTCTCAGATTCAGAGCCGCTTGAGGTTTCTGCTGTTGTTCTTCAATCCCCTGAGCTTGGCTATCAAGAATCGCCTCCAAATACCCATTTATCCACTCGTTCCCCGCCATTCTTCTGACGGTTTCCTCTGATTCCTGAGAATTTCTTTTTATAATTCTTGAGGAAATTACAATCTGAGAGCTGAGCTGCGATCGGACTCTTCTTTCTTGGAGAGAGTGAGAAACTGAAAAAGTTGGGTTAGTGTGAAAGAAACAGAGTGCTGAAAGCGAAAAAGTGTAAACATTCGAGACAAAGAGTGAAAGGTGATGAGGGAAAAATAAGATTTTTTTTTTTGGGTAAAGCTGACAATTTTACAGAAATGGCGGATATAACGTGAAGAGATCGGCAAAAAGAAAAGAAAAGAAAAAAAAATTTTGGCGGTGGAGCGTGAAACGTATACGTGACGTGGCATTTGTAACTGAAACAGAGAGAAATTAGGACAGTTTGTTCTTTCTCTGTCCGCTTCCCCATGCGCCTCTGTCTCGTTCTATTAGTGACTTCCTCTACTTACTAATCTCAACTTTTATCGGGTAAATTAGGTAAATGACGATGCTTAGCTAAATCTTTGCTTATCTTAGTAGGATCTAAATTTGTTTGAGTACTTTGTTTGACATACCAAGTTCAAACCAAGATTATCTTAATAGCGTTCAAATTTGATCCGTGGGATTTACACACACACACAAAAAAAGAGAACAAATCAATTAGCAAATGCAAATAAAAAGATATCCAATCTAAAAACAAATGGAACACTCTAGTCCTACTAATCTATCGGGAGAGAAAGAAGAAGTAGAACACAGCTACACGTACGGTACGTGGTCTTATGCTAAGCTTAACAACAGTCATATAAAAGCTAAGTCCTAACAAAACTTTATCCCTTTCAATCGTTCTTCATGCATTGCTCTCCGGATTGTGGTAGAAGAAGAGCCAATCTTGCTTTGTACCTCGCAATCTTCCTCAACCGTTCTTCTCTTAATCTGTAACCAAATAAACCCAGTTTTCTTCGATTACCAAAATGTTCTGCTAGATTGCTTTGATTTATCAGAAAACAACCCCACAAATCTTGCAGGGAAGTTTTCCGCTCGGTGAATCTAGTTTAGATGCTATACAGGATTTGAGACGAGGAGAGTATAAAAGAGAGAGAACTATTGTGGAACTTACCGTGCACGGACCTTCTTAGCTCGTTCGATGTGTCTTTTCAAAAGATCCTTCTCTGATAATTGCTTCACGGATTCCTCGTCCTGAGTGAGATTACCCAAAGAAAAGAGTTGAGTCAAACATCACTTTATAACTGTTCAAGAGTTGAGAGACTAATGTGTTCCGTTCTGCTCAGAGAGAATCTATGGTTCTTGAAGAGAATACACAAACCTCTTTGTCTTCATCAGTTGGTTCCTCAGCTGCATCATTTGGCACACTTGCTTCCATAGTATCCACAGGTAATGGCTTTGGTAAAGGTTTCATTGTATCGCTCCTTTGCGACTGTCAACAGAGAAACCGCAAGTTAGATTAGTCCCACATTTGGTTACGCTGGAGAGATTGAAACTGCACTATTCCATTATAAAAACGGAATATGATATCTTAAAGTTTGCTTCTGGATCAAAACCCCAACAAAACAAGATCCCAAAACTACAACCCCTGAATCCTTACGTCAAGTGGTGACATTTAAGAAAGTGAGCTTCTCGCATTATACTAAAACAGAATAACATAAAGTGATGCGAACCTGGATTCCTTCATGAGCACCATTTCTCAACCACGATCGTCCAAGTGAATAAAGAGAAGCTCCATCAGTGATTCTAACCTGGACAAAAAATATGATAAGTATCACAATCTGAACTTAACCAATGTCTTTTCCACGTTGTCAATCTAGGCAGTTCAAAAGAAAACGAAAAACATAGATAAGGAGTAGGCTTACCTTTCTCCCTCTAACAAGGACAAGCGCCGAATCACGCCTTCTACTAACGTGGAAAAAATAACACAGCAAGGTAGGTAAGTTGCTCGAACAGGTTTCCTTATATACGCTTAGTGAAACAAAAACAAAGATATCATCGAGGTGGAAAATTTAATGTTCACCTGGCATTTTTATTCCTGCTAGTGTCTAGAATTGATGTTGGCGGAGGGGCAACCTGCGTACCAAAATTAACAAAAACTGAGAAAATGTGACAAGGGCAAGAGCAAAAACCAAAGTAATATGCTCAAGGCTGCATAATAAGATCCAAACAGCTTAACACTTGCTGAGATATAAAAGGAGTTGTAATGCTTCCTCATTCCATAAAAAGCGAAACTATGAGACGAAAGTAGAATCAAAATAATGATCACATAGCAGGACAAAGAATCTAAAATAGAAAGATAATTAGATCCACAACATATTAAAGAAATGTACCAATCTTTCATATCTTTAATCAAAAGGTAAAATTTTTGTGATATATACCAATTAAAGAATGCTGATAGAACGCAAAAGTAAATAAAAATACGTGCATTAGGTCGAACGAGAAGCAACTATGATTCTCCCTCGGAGTAAGAATCCAGTCAAGAAGACTTGGATCCAAAATTGCCAACCAAAATTGCCAAGAAAATCTATATCATCCTGGAATAAACTGAAACCAAATTTGAGTAATTAACGAACTGCACGAAACAAAGTTAACAGAAACCTCACCCGCGGTTGCAAAAAGTGAGGAATTCCTCTCATGGGACCCGACCCGACAGGAGAACCCGAAACGGGGTGAGGAAGCTGATGAATCTGAGGATTTCTAGCTCTCATGAACTGCATCATGGATTCCATTTGATTAGGCCCAAATTGTCGATGATTGTAAGGGCGAGGAGGGTATCCAATCTGATTAGCAGCCGCTACGGAAGGATCAGCAGAAAGCGGCGAACTCAACCTGACGGGTCGGGTCGAAAACCCTCGACTCGGAGGAGCAAACGGGTACAGAACAGTAGACGGGTCTTGATGATGAAGCTGGTGAGGCGTATGTGGGCGTCGGTTTGGGATTGGCTGTGCGTAGACGTTGTTTTGAGCTTGTGGAAACTGATTAGGATGGTGAAGCGGAGCTATGGCTCTATAAGGCGGTGGCGGTGGCGACGGAGCGGGAGGTGGCTGAGACGGCTGTGTTCTTACAATGTCTGCTGATGTTGCCGGAGTTTCCGATGTGGTGGTGAGAGATGGATTCACCGTCATAGTTGCGGAGGAGTTGGGATCCGGAGTCGACATTCCGACGGCGGAAGGAATTTGACGTTCAGATTAATTTCTGAGGGAAACAGTAAAAAAGAAAGAAAGTTTCAAATCTGGTCAAGGTTTAATATTCCCCGAACCCTCTAGCTCATTTGGAGGTTTTTGTGTTTTGGGCCGGTCTGGGCCTCAGGGTATTAATGTAATTATACTATAACGAAAGGCAAAGCTAGAAAATAAAATTTCCCGAGTGTTTTTTTTCTTTTTCTTTTGGGAGAGTGAAGGAGGATAGGATTCAGAGAGGATGAAGATTAGATGAATGCACTGTAAACCCTACTCTTCTTCTACCTCCAGCTTTGATTGTGATAACCTCGGTTTTTGAAGGTTCGTAACTTCTTCCCTATAAATGATTTCATGGGCTGCAGAATTTTTTTCCCGATTTTGTTTGCTTGTGTTTGCCTTTCTGAATTCTCATTCGTCCAAGAGCTGGGTATGTCCTAGCTTGTCTTGAGCAATCTATGGGGTAAAAATAGGAATGCGATTCTTTCTGGTGGTTGATTAAAATAATGAAATTTTCATTTTCGTTTTCTGTGTACTTTCGGAGATTCAGATTGTAAATGGCGATTGAGAAGCTTCAAAATATGTAAGAGAACTATATCAACTGTTACAGTATTATGAGGCGTTTATTGTTCTCGGTACAAGTCCGATTTCATTGCTAGGCCTGATAAAAGAAAAAGAAAAAGAAGGATTAAACTTTTCAGCTTCATTGCTGTTTTTTCTTTAGTGAGTGAAGATGAATAGAAGTGAACAAAGCTATATGAGTTTAGTTGTTAAGAAACGAGGAAAGTGCTGGAAAATCTGTTTTTGGGAATCGAATTAACTGGAATCCTTCGGCATTTTTTTTGTTCATTGGATGATATTTTGTTTGTCTTTACAGTCTTCTTCTGATTCCCATTTTTTATTTGGTGAAAATTAAAATTTTTTAATTTGTGTGACCTGATTTTCCTATAGGTAGTTAGTTTGTAAAAATGATGCTAAGTGGATGCAGCACGCCAAGTGCACATGTTCTAACGAGTTCTCGGGGATTCAAGTCATCATCATACAGAGCTGCATCAGGACGGACTCAACATTATCTTGCTCCAAGTCCATTGTCTCTCATTAAGAACTCTTTGCGATCACCTTTACCATTTAGTGAGCTTCAACTCAGAGTCCCAAGAGGCATGCAAATTTTCTTCTACTCATATGGCTCCAAACACTTGATATCATATATCTTTGTCATAAATTATTGCTCTAGATGATGATGTTCTTATCAAGTTTCTAAAACTAGGATAAGTGACTTTGGTGTTTCAAAGTTCCTGCTTTTGTTTATCTCGACTCAATCATCCATCCTTCCTAATTTCAGGTGTGCCTCTTTCATATCTCTCAGCCTCGTCTTCCCGGCTTCTGAATGGGGAACAAGGTAGTCTGTATGGTGCATTACCCGTGTTACCCGTCCGCAGAAAAGCCCTTGTGGTCCCAAGAGCATCAAAAGATGTACCGTCCAGTTTCCGATTTCCTCCAATGACGAAAAAGCCACAATGGTGGTGGAGAACTTTGGCATGCCTGCCTTACCTGATGCCACTGCACGAAACTTGGATGTACGCAGAAACCGCTTACCATCTCCACCCGTTTCTAGAGGATTTCGAGTTCTTAACCTACCCATTTCTAGGCGCCATCGGGAGGTTGCCGAGCTGGTTCCTAATGGCATACTTCTTTGTAGCGTATCTTGGGGTAGTACGGAGAAAAGAATGGCCTCACTTCTTCAGGTTCCATGTAGTGATGGGTATGCTGCTTGAAATCGCTCTACAGGTGATAGGAACCGTCAGCAAGTGGATGCCTCTTGGAGTCTATTGGGGTAAGTTTGGAATGCATTTCTGGACAGCTGTTGCGTTTGCGTATCTGTTTACCGTCCTTGAGAGCATAAGGTGTGCACTTGCGGGTATGTACGCAGACATCCCATTTGTCTGTGATGCTGCCTATATTCAGATTCCCTACGACTAATTACAAGCAAGGAATTGCAGCAGCATTAGATCGTTGTTAAAAATATATCTTTGTTAGTCCTTTTGTGTTGTAACAATGTCTATTTTTGAATGACAGTTTTCTGTTTCTAATATGTCATCATTTCATGAACTCAGCGGGCAAAGTTTCAAACTTTAGAACATGCATTTTGGCTATGACACCACAAATCTTCGAATCAATTATAAAAAATTATAAACCTGCGAATCAATTTAACTAAGAAAAAGTATGGGATGTATGTTGAAAGCAATTATAAGTAGGGGACTAAAATGTAAATTTGAAAACATACGAAATTTTTGTTTTTTTTTTGGTTCTTGTCAAAACGAAATTATTTAAACCCTAATAACGTCTCCCACCTCCAAAACCTTTACGAGGACCACGACGGCCAACGACGGCCAAAAAAAGAATGGAGAAATCGGTATGCGAGGAGTGCAAGCAGAATCCTTGGAAGTACAAATGTCCAGGCTGCTCAATTCGATCGTGTGGACTTGCTTGTGTGAAAGCCCACAAGCAGCGAACAGGTTGTACTGGCAAAAGGAAGGCCACCGATTTCGTTCCCCTCTCTCAGTTCGACGATAATCTCCTTCTCTCTGGTATACTTTTCTCTTGTATTGTTGAATTTTGTTTATTTGGATTTTCGATTGTTCAAAAAAAACTCTTAAATTTTCACACTTACAAAAAAAACAAGTTTTTGTTTGATTTGATTTTTTGATCTGCTGTATGTTTTTTAACAGTTCGTTTGGTTGACTTGATATGTTCTGTTTAAGTATTGATGAAAACTTTCTTTTTCTCAAATTAGACTACAATATGCTTGAGGAAACAAAAAGAGTGGCCGAGTCTGCTCAGAGAATGAGAAATCAGCTATGCGAGTACCCTTATTCTTTTAATTTACCCTTCTCTCTTCAGAGATCTCTTTTGAAGAGATCTCTTCAGAGACTTCGATTTGAAGCTCAGAACCGCAGAACAACGCTATGGTTTCTCCCTAGTGGAATGTTGAAGAGGGAAAATAATCGGACTCGATTTGATAATAGGTAATCGTTTTACTCTAGGATTGAGCATTACATTAGTCACTGTAATTGTTCTTGATCTTCTCTGTAAAGAAAGATGCTTTAACTGAACTGATTCTTTAGCCTTAGTATTGACCAACCTGTAACTTGGTTCTTGCTTCAGGAGAAAGTGCATCTCCTGGACAATTGAGTGGCGATTCCACTCTACAGATGTGGTTCTTGTTGACCATGGGTTAGTAGTAATCTTCTGGACTGACAATTGCTTATTTGTATTTTTATTGAGACACTTGGTCTTGTTCATTGGTCTGTCTCTCTATTAACACTCAATCCATCCATCCCAGAGTTGGAGAAGATACAAACCTTTGCTCTGTGATTAAGAATCATCTTAAGCCCGGCCCTTGGATTCACAAGCTCAAACCTTTTTGCGATGTGGATCTTGATTCTCTCAAACTTTTTATCCGCAAATACCCAAAGGTTTAGTTTTTGTTACCACTATCATTTTCGTCTCTGTTGGTTGCGCATTGTTCTGCTCGTCTATGCTTTACTCTAAATTACTTTTTGCTCATGGTCGCAGGGTGCTAAGGCTCCTTTCAAGGAGCTGGACATCAAAGCTCCTCTGAGGCAACAGCTTGCCAACGTAGCTATCTTAGAGTACCCGGTGATTCATGTATATCTACCTTCACAGAGCTATGACTTTAAAGTTATCAACCATGTAAACACCACACCTAATCCTAGTGGCTCCTTATACGATGATGGTCACGCAAGTACACAAGGTATAACCTTTCGAGAAGAGAAAGTAGGAGAAGAAGACGACATCGACTCCTTCGAGCCAGTGGTTCTTGATCTCATGAAACAAATGAACTACAACCCGTGTCAGCGAGCCAGCAAGGTTGAGGGCGCGGTTACCGACAGTTCACATCCTCAGGTTGATGATCCGACAGAACAAGGCGATGATGCCGGTAACATGGAGCTCGAGTTTGACCAAGGGTTGATAGACACATACGCTGATCTTTTCGCGGAGATGAACCCAGGTGATTATTTCAACTTTGAATGTGAATTTGCAAAAGGATTTGATTCAGATGATGATAACTGCCATCTCCAAAATCTAGCTACTGATTTCAACATTGATGAACTAGAAGAAGGGGAAATCGTAGAATGATGATGGGTCGTTTCGGCTCTCGATTAAACTCAAACCGAAACCACTACAGAGGCTTCTTATACTAAGCCCTGAGACATCTCAGGAGTTAGATATCCCTCAGTTTCATGAAGAAACACTATAAGAGCTGACCGGATAATGTATGTTATACAGTTTGATTCAGAACACAGATATTTACATGGGAAACACGATTCTTATTTCTATAATATGTTATAAATTTTTTGATATAGATATAATTAGATATACCTCTTTATTATATGATTTGAAAAGAATTTTAGTTTATTCAAAGCCGTGCACAACAAATAAAGCCACTCGAATACCGTTCACACCAAAAGAGCTCAAATAATATATGAAAAGACCCTTCCATGAGTAGCATCATCTATACCTTTATATTGGGACGTCACTAAAATTAATTCAAAAGAGATATCATAACAAAACAAAAGTAAAGAAAAATGAAGGATGTTTTGAATATGTTGAATTGGATTTTATGTCTAATAGTTTATCATTATAACTAAATCACAATTTGAAAATAAATCTAAAAAAAATTATATTCACAAAGCCCAAAGGCGAGTGTTTTCTTAACAAGGGCACGGCCCTGCAAGTCGTAATGGTTAGATGAATACTGACATCTCAGTGCAAGGGATAAAAGGAAGAACCCTTTCACCATAAAGTTGGTACAGTTTGAGCAAGAGTCGTCCGGAATCAAGATCATCTTTCCATATCTGATCAAGTATTGCTTTCTTCGTAATAGCCCGACGACCCTTGCCGCCTTCTTTCCCCCTTGCGTTTCTTCTTTCAGATTCGCTGGCATCAGATGTTTGTTCTGATGAGGATGGTTGAACAGAGTTTTGTGGCGGATTTTCATTTCCTGCCGGTTTATCTTCTTGCATCGGAGCTAGACCGCTGTCATGTTGCGATTGTAAACCATCTGTTGTTATCAATCTTTTCTGCGGTGACCGGTTTTCTGAAGAATCTACATTCAGCTTCCGCTTAACTGACATTGTTCATAAAGAAACGTTGGAAAAACAATTGTCCTATGCACCAACAACCATATTATGCAGAGAAAAGTAAATTGGTTGTTGCAACTTACGTGGCTCAGTTTTGATTATTCTTCCCTTCCCTTTATGGAGGAAACTTGGTGAAGGAGATGGTAAATTTGGGAAGATTTTAAGCCGGTCATGTACACACAGGCCTGCAGCACGCTGAAAGAAACAAGAAATCACAAGTCCCTTTAACGAGTGTTCCATATTTGAAAATTACTGAGATTTCGATTACGGTGAGATTATTCAAGGATGTATGCACTTGTTAATGAGGAACAAGCACTAACCAGCAACGCTCCATAAACACGCCAAGCTTCGTAGCTCTTTATCTGGTTCTTTTGCTTCTCAGCATCCAATTCTGGTTCGAGAAGACTTAGATACGGTTCGAGATTTGACAGAATAAGAAGGCGTACCTACACAATAAAATGACATTCAGCTAAGATCGGAGGAGTACTGTGCTTAAGTTTTTTTCTGGAACCAGCGATAATCTTGCTCATGGAGAAGTTGTTCCAAGACTATATAAATCCTAGTTTCCTATATGAAATGAAGAAAAGCAGGGAAAATGGTGAAGAAAAGCCAAGGACTTTAGATGCTTGAAGAGGCCCTAGATAGTAGGATGTTCTGGTTAACATTGTTCCGGGGAAACTAATAGAACTAATCAAAGCCTTGGAATTCGCCAAGTGATAGCAGTAAAACGAGGCATCAAGGCGCTAATAAATCAAGAAATTTAGCTTCAGAGAGAGTAAAGGAAGTACTTACGACATTATGCCCCAAAGCTGCCAGTCCTTGAATTGCACCATAGTGCTGAGTCAAAGCCTTCTTTGGGTCCAAAAGTGCATTGACTAGGGTTTTGGTAAGACGAGACTGAAGAGTAATGTAAGTGTTTCCAAACCTGGAACATTTTATTCATACCAAAGGATTTCAGATGTTAAAAAAAGATATAGGTTTGAGAAAAAATGACTAAAACCCTTCTAAACAGTGAAGAAAACTCTCCCAAGATGTCATTTAGCTCTTTAAATTCAGATATTCCAATTTGATTTTTCAGCTCAAGCCAGAATAATACCATTTGCTAATAGGCAATAGCAAAGAACCAGTTTCCATATAACGTTTCATTATCAGCACCAGTTAGAAATCATGTTCAGTGAAATGATCCCACAATTAGCCAAAAAATAAAAACAGAGTTACATGAAATGAAAGGGAAAGAATGAACCTTTTCAATATCAGTGCAACCAGATTCGCCGTAAAATCTCTAAGTTCCCAGTGGTTGTCGGAAAATCTATTTCCAAGCTTCCTCGATACAAGGCATGTTACAACAGATGGCATCAACTGGTGCAGCTGGAACCAAAAGGAAAAGTTTCACTTAGCTTCATGGTTATGAAACAACGCCCAAACAACAAACTTACAGTGAACACTATCCCAAGTCATGTGAAATTATCTCAAAACATATCCAAGGCATAATTTACTGTTATAAAAGGACCAAGGAGGGTAGTTGAACTTGCACATTGTTCTCGAATTCGGACTAATACTACCACTAACCATATAATATGCATAGTACGAAAATGCAACTTGAAGAAACACGCATCAAAAACCTAAGGAATCCGGAGCTACATGATTTTATAATCATTCTTAAGACAGTGGCAAAAGATAATCCAGAGAGCAACTTACATAAGGTTCTATGTGTATATGAGGATTCTGTAGAAGACTCCTAACAATGTGCATTAGATTAAACAGGAGTACGAAGTCATTTAAACCACGTGATACCTGCATCGTTGGAGAAAATAATATTGTAATATGCATCACGTAATTGGGTGCCTTATTTCTTTATAAGATTCCTCGTGGTGCATTATGTTACCTCATCAGCAATGAAATTTGTAAAATATGGAACTAGAGGATGAAGTCCTGAGTCTGAGGCCAGGCTCACTAATGCCTCTTTAAACAGAGCAGGATTTGACTTGCTCATTGCAAGTTCAGCAATCTTTTGGAAGTATAACTGTTCAGAGAGAACAACAGATAAGTCTTATGCATGTATGATATTTCCCTGTGGTATTTAGCCTACGCCATATACCTGAAGTTCTCTAGACAGTACATGCTTCACTGGTAGCCTAACGTCAATAAGAGGTCCGTCCTTTTGTTCATGGATTTTGTTTTCTGCAGGTGCTCTAATGACTACAAACACCATAAACAAGTGAAAATATAATCATGATCGGAACAATAAGGAGATTCTTCAAAATATCTTGCTCGTGATGATTCTCAAAGCATATAGACAGACGCATTTAAAATATCTACTTCGATCTCTCATAATTATCAGTAATTACACCACTTAACAAGGGTACAATCGTAGACAACAGTTAATTCACCTCTGAAACGTCACTGTACATGCTAATATTTGTTTTAATTTAGATAATGACTCTACAACTCTAATCCAAGGCATAAGAGACAAACCTTCTAAAGGAGCATTTTCTGGTATCGCTGGCTGCACTCCTTCAATAGCTAGCCAGTGACAGACAACCTCAGTATCAAGGGGAGCTTTTGGTAGTGGGGCTTCAATTACCTAGAATCATGACATTTCTTGAAAATATTAGAAAAAGAAAATGAAAGGTTTAACTGAATCGGAATAAATTAAGCCAGCTTTTCTAACATCTTACATCTTTGAAATCCACCTCTCTGTCATCAGTGTAGAACAAATCGCGATGCCCAATTGCTTTTCTAAAACGAAATGGTCCTCCAGAGGCAAAGCCATATATCGGCTACAATAAATATGCTCATTCTCAAATATTATATCGGCTACAATAAATATGCTCATTCTCAAATAGCTGCCTTTGATTCAACTAACGACTAACTCCACCAAAGAAATATCAACAAATTTTTCATATCATCCAAGGAAGCTATCAAACGTTCATTCTACTGACAGTGCACCAGAAAGACTCTAAATGATGGGAATTAAGAATCGTTCTCTAGTTTGTACCTCAAGGTTCCTTAAATTGAGAGCACCATCTACATCTGAAGCTGTTAAAGTAGTTCTCTTTGAGTGACGCATGCATTTGATAGCTTCCTGCAAAGACAATAAAAAAATGAGACAACATCTCTTCTTCACAACCTGATTCCTTCTTCCGGTTTTCTCAATTGGCAGTAAGAATCAATTGCTAAATACACTAAATCACACGACAAGAACATAAAGACATGACTAGAAAAAGAAAGAAAAAGGGTCACCTGCATGATCTCTCGAACACGATACTCAACATCGGGAGCAAGCATAAGAGCAGCCTCCGGTAACAAGTTGGTAATCCCAATACTTTGTGCTATAACCTCAATCGTTTCCTTAGGTACAATGCTCATCTTCTCTTCTCTTCTCTTTCCCAGACCCAACTATACTCGGCTCTATTGCAGCATACAAAATTGAAAAGAAACATCAACGTTCGTATAAAAAAAAAAAGCGTCATAGAGAATCTATGAAACTTCCCAATGAATCGCAATTCAACAACCAGAAACAAATGCATAATTGAATGCTCCGTACAGAGTAATTATCCCAAATTCGACAACAAAAGACTCCAAATTTTACGATATAACAAACACCCGAGCAGAAAAAATCAGACGCACCGATTCAATTGACCACGCGTCTTTGTCCACAACTATTCAGTATGGTTTCGACTCAGAAGATAGCACCAAAGATAATGGCGAACCACAGTGGGAACAAAATTCCTTCTGCCTTGTCCTCTTCGCGCCTTTACTTAGCGAGACTTACTCGAAAACGGAGCAAAAACAGAGAAAATTTTGGTTTGACGTCGAAGATCCAGACACTTGAGAGCAAAGAAGCTGCCTCCCAAGTCTGAATTATATAACCGATGCAAGCCGTCTCCGGTTAATAAAGAAGAAGCGAATCAGGATCCGGTCGGGTATTTTATTAATTGAGGGTTAAATTCACCCGATTTTCGGGTTCAATTATGTTTTGACTAACTCGAAATCCATATTGGGCCTTTATAGCCCAATAAATACAGAAATTTTCTTTCTCCCTAGCCCAAATCGAACGTCTTTAGTTTTTTTTTTTGGCACAATCGAACGTCATCTATTTTTAAAAAGAAAAAGGGATAAGAGCTTCCCCGATAGATTGCATTGCAGAGGTTAGATTTTGCGTCTAGTTGTAATGTAAAGCATCAATAATCACTGTTTTGCTTGTAACAGCAACATTTTATGGGAGTAATTGACTAAACTGTGATAATTCACGAGTTTATGATCTAAAAGAATATTAAAATATTAACGGTTGTTGTAATAGCCTATTCACAGCAAAAAAAAAAAAAAAAAGTTACCAAAAAACAAAATGTTCAAAATCATTAGGCCAAGAATCCACGCATCATTTTATTTTCATTCAACATACGTGAAAGCGTTTTTTACACTCTTTCTTTTACAAACATCCAGAGGAGACTATGATAAGGACAAAAAAAAATTTGCAGATGAATGCAATAACATGTGTTTACTTACTTCTCTTTGGAAATTTTCTCTTTTTTTTACGAGAAAAATAATAATTTCAGTCCCCAGTATCAGGAGTTGGGACGAATGAAGGCAAATTCTTTACAAAATAATCAAGTATATATATTACGAGAGTCTTGTAACGTCCCGTACCCAAGATATTCCACCCGGATAGGCTCGATGAACTCTGGTTCCTGCACCAGCGGCAACTTTTGTTTTTTCCTCCACCGGTTTCACCATCAACGGGCTTTCTTTCGCCAAAACCGGCTTGTGTATTACGTTTACACTCTCCTCGCCTTCCGTCAGAAACCGCAGACCCTGGAATTTCCGTAGTTTTTAAGCTTTAGAAAGCCAAAGAAATAAACAACTCGAGATAATGAAATAACAGCTACTAAAAACATTTTAAGTTCTATGTGCTTGGAATGAAGCTGAAGGACTTTTGTGCTTGGAATGAAGCTGAAGGACTTTTGTGCTTGATGAGTTGATGAGGGACTGTTTTCAGACTACGTAAATTCAAGAGCGATGATCTTGGTAAAAAAATTTCACTTAGTGACTACTAGAACAAAAATTCAAGTTTAGATGGTGAAAAAAGAATAGCTTCGTAGCACTATTACCGAGAGAGCATTGTCAGCTGATGGTTTTGTATCAAGTGGTAATCTCGCACCAACATCCTAAATCAAGAAGGCAGAAACAAGAGTTTTTCAATCAGGCCTTTTAATTAGGTAAGATAAAGACAACGTTGCTGTTTAATTTGTAAGTTACATTCACCTGAAAGACTTTGGTGCTTGTGCTGTCTTTAACGCCTGCAACTTGACATAGATGCCAAAGACCCGAGAGGGTCACATCCTGAGGGTTTAAACAGTAACAAAACGTGTGTTTCAGATAATTACGATTTACAAGAGCTGATTATATGAATTGGTTCGTAGTAAATACAGGATGGATGTAGATAGATTACTTGTTTGCTTTCAATACTTTCAATCTTCCCTTCCTGTAAAATTTGATGCAAGAGAGTGACAATTAAGAAACAAAAAATACTAATTTTCGTCCTTTTGAATTAATATTGAAGTTTAGTTAAATAGATATCATCATATCTATGAGAGGAAAAACTTGCCAGAATTTTACAAATAAGAGGGAAGAAGATGTGACTTACTAATCCAGATATCATATCATTAATTTGCTGAAAGTCAAACCCAATTTGCGAAATGCTTGATCTCATGTCGGTTACCTGCAATGAAACAAGATTCCATGTGAACAAATTAGCATATTAAATGTATATCAAAGAACGGGCATTGATGGAAGTAATTGCAGAGATGAGAATCACGGTGTTCTTTAGAAGAAACTAATCGTTCTTCTTTTGTGATTGATTTCACATGTGCATAAAGTAATATATATACAACTGAGCTACACAATGTCATAGTTGAAATTGATCTATCCAAACCTAAAACTGAAAAAAAAATCATAGCAAAACACAGCCAGGAATCTACAGTATATGTCATTTGGGGCCAACGAGATCGGAAGCTCGTAAATAGATACTCTAAAATATTTTGGAAATCCAAAAATGAGAATCTAGTCCTTATAGGATGCTATATGTACAAGTGTGTCAATCAAGTGCCAGAGAGATCGCTCGGACGAATGTACCATACAAGAAAGTGAGAAATAAGATGAGTGCCTTACATCACTTAAGATCATTTTAGACATCTCGGTCTGCTCTTCCACCTTCCAATCCAACTTCGCTAGCTCCTTACTAAGATGTTTCTTTGTTGACTGCGTCACAAATACTCCGAGTCACAACCCACAAGGAAATAAAATATATAATAAGCAAGGAACGATTCGAGAAAAATAAATAAATTCACCGCTAATGTTTCAGACAAGTCGTTTAGTTGCTTTGAAACAGATGCAACTGCATTCGCCATGTTTTTCTTTGTCACAAACATTGCATCGGAAAATGACCAACCCTGCAACATAGAAAGAAAGTAATAAGATGCGGGTAAACGTTATAATTCACTGATATATAATGCGTAAAATAAAACTACATGTTCCACAACTCTAACAATAGATACTTGGAATACACAAAAAATAGATTTAAATCAAAAGACGATCACCTTCCACCACATGTAACAGTATCCCATAGCTCCAACGGCGGCTGCGGGAACAAGGTAAGACGCATAGCCTGGATCAGCAAAAGCAAAGATAAGCTCATTAGAAACAGCAAGGACAGTGGAAGTATCCTTAAATTGTTAGAAGTTTTACATAAACACATATGACGATGCCTTACATACCATTGGAGTTTGAATCTCCATTAAATATGGTAACAGGATTAATCATACTTAGTTCTTTGATTTCATTTGCAAGCTGTCGAATCTGGTTATTAGGAAAAGAAAGGAAAACCATGTCATAAAACAGAGGAACCATAGATTGAAATTAGGTGATGAGAAGAAGATTAAGCAAACAGAGAAAAAGGCAACTACAATACCTGAGCAGCTAGGAGTGCAGTGTCATACTTGTATGGTGTGCTTTCAACTCCTTCGGCCCCCTGGAGTAACTCTTGAAGCTGCGCTATTAGCTCAGACAACCTCCCATGTCTCAATACGATCGAACCAGAGACACCTTGAACATGAAAGCAGAACCAAGTATCGAGTTTTACGAATCATAAGTATAAAATGAACAATCTTTGATGGAACATCCAAGTTAGAACCATATATCACAGATTTTCAGAGCATCAACATTAGATAGTTAGTTTCCTGCTTCGAATATTATATGCAAATCGACCGAACACGAATTCAATTCTAACAAGGAAGAAGAAATCCAAAGCTGTATTACCATCAGAACCACCACAATGATTGAAGCTTTAAAGCAACCAAAAAAGTTCAAAAGAAAAGCAGAAATTCTGAATCATTTTTGCATAGTGATCCAACAAATTGGCAGAATTCAAGATAAATTCCAACCTAAACCTTCATAAACTCTAGAAAATCCCTTCCTTATATTACAGTCAAAGCAATACGAACATAAGAAACCATCATTTCATAGTGAAGGAGAGACCTGCGCCGAGTAGGATGAGGACCTTAGAGGTCTGAACACCGGCTTGCATAGCCATGGATTCCGGTTAAAGCTCAGGAAATCGGCGGCCGACTCTTCTCGATTGTTCTGTTCCGTGACGCTCGGCCACCACAAGAGACTAATTACGACGACGATACACCCTTTTCCCTTTTAGACCTCAAATTTCGCTTTGATTGACTTATTTTTAAAATTTATGTTTTTTCTCGGAAAACTTCCAATTTCGATCAGATCGACCCCCACAAGTGATGGGGCAATGCAAATCAAATGATAAGGGTATTTTAGATATTTACTGATAATCCATATTATTACGCAAATCAAATGACAAGGGTATTATAGGTATTTAATAATAATTTATATCATTACGCAACTTGCTCGATACACACGACACGACACATCCTGTGTGTTAAACTTGTTCTTCGTTGAACAGCAATGCTTCTCTGTTTGGCGTGGAGATTAAAAAAAAACAAACAAACTTTGAATTTCCGCCATGGATGTTGGGTGGTGCTTTTTCTTTCTTCTTGTGCAAAGTCTCTTGTTCTTGCCTTCACATACGCAGAGCGATTCGTTCACATCGGTTCTCGTATCTCAAAACGGCCTCGATTTCGTCAAAAACCTGCTCGTTAACAAAGCTATAGCGTCGATTATACCTCTCCAGATTCCCAGAATCGAGAAATCTGTGAGGATCCCGTTCCTCGGAGGAATCGATGTTGTCGTGTCGAACCTCACGATATACGAGCTTGATGTTGCGTCGTCTTACGTTAAGCTTGGTGAGACAGGTGTTGTCATCGTCGCTTCGGGGACGACCTGCAATTTGAGTATGAATTGGCATTATTCTTACTCTACTTGGCTTGCTCCAATAGAAATCTCCGATCAGGGGATTGCATCTGTTCAGGTGATTTTCCAGGACTACATGTATGATCTAGATTCTAGACACAAGTCAAATTGAAGCGGAAACAAAGTCAACTCTATGTTCTATTGCCAATTTTTTTATCAATTACTTGGCAGATCATACAAACAGAAAAAAAAACCAATTTTGTGCTCATACTTCTTTTCTCCTCTGTGTGTGTTTGTGAATCGGTTGTGCGTTTTGGCCCTTATGTTTCGTGATTGTTACTTAGAACATAGTTGTATGTGGGAACATAGTTGCTCTCTGCTTTGCCATATCAATAAGTTGTGTTTTAGTCGGTGTGTTGCTCTGCTCATTTATATATCTGTTTTACAAAGGGAATCTGATGAGTGCTGATTCTCGCCTTCTCGGTAAGGTTGAAGGCATGGAAATCGGGCTGTCACTAGGCTTGCAAAGTGATGAAGGAGGCTTGAAACTCTCTCTTTCAGAATGTGGATGCCATGTGAATGACATATCTATTGAGTTGGAAGGAGGAGCATCATGGTTTTATCAGGGGTATGAAATTTACCAGTTATGGAACTTATTTGCTTACAGGTGGTTTCTGTAGCTGTGTTTTTTTTTTTAACCATTTTAGATTTATTTTCTTCTCTGCAATTCAGGATGGTTAATGCATTTAAAGACCAAATTGGAGCCAGTGTGGAGAGTACGATTGCCAAGAAACTCAGTGAAGGAGTATCAGACCTTGATTCATTCCTGCAAAGCCTTCCAAAGGAAATCCCAGTAGATGATAAAGCTGCACTTAACGTCACCTTCACTAGTGATCCTATATTGAAAGATTCATCCGTCACTTTCGAGATCGATGGCTTGTTCACCAAAAGAGAAACGAATCAAGACTTAAAGTCCTTCTTCAGAAATTCTGCATCTTCAGCTATCTGCCCTGGAAATTCTAAAATGCTCGGAATTTCAGTGGATGAAGCCGTCTTTAACTCTGCTGCGGCTTTGTACTACAATGTAAGTTCCTAATTGCTACTTGTAATGTTGGTATTCATCTCTTGAAAATTTCCGGCTGTAGCTTTCAAGCTCTGTGCAATACCCGTCGTTTGGGCCACACTACTGTTGATGTTAGTTACCTTGTGTATAATATAGTCAACTAGAAAGAACGCCCTTGAGAAAACTGGTATTTGATGCATCTCAAAGAATACTACTATACTCTATTCTTGTTTCTCATATGAGGATTTCTATCATTCCATATTCAGGCAGAATTTATGCAATGGATAGTGGATAAAATACCAGAGCAGACCCTTTTAAACACTGCTAGGTGGAGGTTCATCATTCCACAACTATACAAGAAGTACCCAAACCAGGATATGAACCTCAACATCAGTTTGTCTTCGCCTCCACTTGTAAAGATATCAGAGGAATATGTTGGAGCTAATGTTGACGCAGACCTAGTAATTGATGTTCTACAAGCAGACCAAGTGATACCAGTGGCATGCATCTCATTGGTAAGTCTTTAAATGACACAATGCTTGTTGTAATATTTTGTAATAGTTAACCAGTAGTAGATGATTCAGTGTTGCTTGGCTGCAGGTGATCCGAGGGTCAGGTGCTCTCAGAGTCATGGGTAATAACCTTGGAGGCAGCGTAAGATTAGAAGACTTCTCCATGTCTTTGAAATGGAGCAACATTGGAAATCTCCATCTCCATCTTCTTCAGGTATAACCACCATCTCAAGCATTCATATGTTTGAATCATAAAGATTTTATTCATTCTTTACATTTATCTTGTTCCCATCTTGTAGCCAATAGTGCGGACTGTAATACAAACGGTGTTTGTGCCATATGCAAACGACCATCTAGAAAAGGGATTCCCTTTGCCTATAATCCGAGGATTCACACTTGAGAATGCGGAAATCATCTGCTCAAACTCTGAAATCGCAGTTTGCAGCGATGTCGCCTACTTGGATTCATCCCAACAGCTTCGATCACGTTTGACCTTACCAAGATCTACGCCTTGGAAAAGCAAGTTGTTGTAGCTTACAGTTGTAAGTGTAGACTCAACTACCAAGACGAACTAAGCTTTGTATATTATCACTTTTGTATTATATGTTTGACTAAACTGTTTATGCTACTTTCTACTGTATAAGAAATTTAAAAAAAAAAAAACCGTTGTAATTACTATTGTCTAAAAGTCGGTAAGGTAATGCATTGGTCCTTTTTTAAGTAGAGCATAGGCTCCTTTCTTTGCGTTCAAGGCTACCATTGCTGGATAACCATATTCCTCCAACACCAACACGCTTCTCCAAATCAGGTTGCTTCCCAGCAGCAACCCACACAAAGCTGCAAACACAGTCAAAATCAGGAAAAGAAATCACGGAAGAAGAACAACCATGTTCAGCTGCTGTAGAAGCAAAAGTCTTGCCACTTGTATTACAATCTTAAACCATAAAAATCTGTCGACTAGAAAGATTCAAATTCAATGTGATTTACATCCCACAAGCGCAGGACATCACCTTCCATCTATCTCTAATTCCATATTCCAACAAATAATTCCCAAAATCTAGTTTATGTAGCACTATTCATCAACAGCATTTGGGATTTAGCCTTAAAACAGTAGAAAAAAAACTCAAACTTTTGTTCAGTTTCTCCATGCCGTTTGAATGCATCAAAAACAGAGAAACTGAGGGCTGGAACATTATGATAGTAACAAAAATAGAATAGATGGTGTTCATAGCTTTTACTTGTACGGGTCCCTCTTAAACTTCTCTGCAACTGATAATAACATCTTTAGATACTTGTTCCTTCCTTCAGCTTTTGAGTCCAGAATATCAGGTAAGAAAGAAATAAAGCAAATAGCAGCAGGACCACACTTCTCTTCCCTGACATCCATTCAATCAGCACACAACGAGTGTTCGAGACAAGTACCATCTGAAAGCAATATTTAGGGAAATAGTTACAGATGTGAACAGTACCGGGCCAGTTAGTTCAGTAACTTCAACAGGTCCAGAGCTAATGTTGACGCAGACCTAGTAATCAATGTTCTAGAAGCAGACCAAGTAATACCAGTGGCATGCATCTCATTGGTATGGTAAGTCTTGAAATGACACAATGCTTGCTGTAATATTCTGTACTAGTTAACCAGTAGTAGATGATTCTTGAATTGAATGTTTTGCTACTTGTATTAGTCAACGGGAGAAGACGTACGCTACGTGGTGTTTAGAGATTTTAAGAACCCTTTAGTGTACCAATAAAAGGATCTGCAATAAAGGTATGCCTACGTTTTCATCATATTCACAACAATTGTTTGCTAACAATGCCATAGCTATTGTTCCATGTTCAACTTAAACTAAAAAAAAAAAGGAAGGATTTTTATAATAGATTGCTACTCTGGGCTGCTTTTACCAATTGGGTAGTCTTCCTCAGAAGGCGAAAGCACCTAATAATTCCGTTGATTGGTGTCATTGTGTGCTTGATAACGGATTCTGGTTTCTTCTTCTTCTTGTGCTTTGCTGCAGCTCTTAGACAGCCTCGAAATCCAAGTCTGTCAAAATCTTCACGAGTAATTGGTCAAAACAGGCTGATGCTATCAAGGAATCACATTTCGGTTATTTACAATCCAGGTATATTGATCTTCAATCTTCTTTCTAAATTTTTGTTTTTTTGTGTAACATATCGTTTGGGGACATAGAAATGAAATAAGGAATTAACATCATTTTGACCACGACAAAAGAAAAAAATATCAGTTTGACCAAAAAAAAAACAAAGAAATTAATACCCACTCGCAGCAGGTGCGCGTTGCGCGCGTTAGTCCATCAATTTTGCTCTATTTTGGCCAAAATTTAAAAGTGAGCGAGTAGGTTGCGTTTTATTTTGTATGAGATTGTCGTTTTGATGTTTATTTTGAGCAAATAGTAGACATGTTGCTAGCTCCACTTATTAACATCGTTTTTTAATGCTTGCGTTTTGCTTGTTATCTGATGCCGTTTTGGTTTTTATTTTTTCCATTTATATGTATATATATTTTTTATAATGATGAAATAATCCGGCTCTTAAGATTTGGATTAAACAGAGGATGATTGCGTCTCGATTGTGAATGCAAGCGGCAAGCTCGAATATATCAGTGTAGAATTGAAACATAATCTCAATATTATTCTGTTCCATTGGATTCTGATAAGCTTCAAAGGTAGATTGTATGGAAAATTAGCGTCTCCTCCTTGTTTATATCTTTGGGAAATTTCAAGAAGACTGGTCATGTTAATGAACGTTTCTTTGCAGATTGGATGCTATTTCTTGGTGGTTTAGTTTCTATGAGTTTCGGTGATAGCTTAGATTAGGTCTCAGTGGCTCAGGTCAATCATTTTAACAATCCTAAGATGATTTGTTCATGTCTAAAGCCCTTATACTATAACATAAGTCTCTGTCTAAATCTGAAACTTATGCAGGGAAAAGCACGTTGCTTTGTAGAGACTTGTACAGCCTAGCAGAGGTAAAGCCACATTACGCCTCTTGATACAGAGCATAAAGTCTTCCAATTAAGAGACTTCAAGTAAATTCTAGTGGTGACGATAACAAGATGAAGGGGAAGCCTGCGTGTACCAACTTCACTAGAATTGATACAAATGGGTCTCATAGCCTCGTCTTGTGTGAACCAGTGTATTTTAGATACTTTGGCAAGAATCACCATCTCAAGCGTTTTCATGCATTCATATGTTTGAATCAGAAAGATTTCATTCATTCTTTTCATTTATCTTGTTCCCATCTTGTAGCCAATAGTGTGGACTGTAATACAAATGGTGTTTGTGCCATATGCAGACGACCATCTAGGAAAGGGATTCCTTTTGCCTATAATCCGAGGATTCACACTTCAGAATGCGGATATCATCTGCTCAAACGTAACTCTGAAATCGCAGTTTGCAGCGATGTAGCCTACTTGGATTCATCCCAACAGCTTCGATCACGTCACGTTTGAGTCTACCAAGATCTACGCCTTGGAAAAGCAAGTTGTTGTAGCTTTACAATTGTTAGTGTCAGTTCTGGTCTGGTATTCGGACCAGGGACTCAACTAGAACAAAGCTTTGTATATTACTTTTGTATTTTATGTTTTGACTAAACTGTGTATGCTACTTTCTATATGAACTAAGTAATCGTTGTAATTACTACTGTCTAGAAGTCGGTTAAAGTAGTTCATTGGTCCGCCATTTTTTCGGTTAAACGGCAGCTTGTTGGATAGACCTGCTATAAATCCAATCAATTGGCTAGATGTCTAATAAATCAGTAAAAGTTACGATATACTTGAGAGAGCTGAAACATTCACACAAAAGTTTTTGTATCTATATTATATCCAAAAGTGAATTTCTAACTCTGAAATCTTGTGTGGCATTTTAACAGTCCTTCAAGAAACCAAAACCATACTAGTTGTTCAAAACTCGTCTGTTGACTCAGTGGAGGCAGCAGTATCATCAATCATCTGCCATGAGTTCTTCAAGAGAGAACTCATCTGCATCAACCACCTCTCCGTCTTTACCATCCCAAGCTTCTGTCTTCACTATCTCCATTGTCCCGTCTATTGGCAAATTTCCTTTTCCTCCTCTCTTAGCTTCCTCCACGAATTCTCTGATAACACAAAAGAGAATAAGACCCGTTTTCAGCTCGCTACCAAAAAACGCATGGACTGTTGGTTTTGTACTTTATTTAAAAGCAAAAAAGATAAGAGAGAAAAACAAACTTACTTAAGGTGTTTAACCTCAAAACCGCTTTTAAGTGGAGCATAGGCTCCTTTCTTTGCGTTCAAGGCTACCATTGCTGGATAACCATATCCTCCAACACCAACACGCTTCTCCAAATCAGGCTGCTTCCCAGCAGCAACCCACACAAAGCTGCAAACACAGTCAAAATCAGGAAAAGAAATCACGGAAGAAGAATAACCATGTTCAGATGCTGTAGAAGCAAAAGTCCTGCCACTTCTATTCCAATCTTAAACCATGAAAATCTGTCGACTAGAAAGATTCAAATTCAAGGTGATTTACATCCCATGATCGCAGGACATCACCTTCCATCTATCTCTAATTCCATTTTCCAGGAGATAATTCCCCAGAACTAGTTTATGTAGCACTATTCATCAACATCATTTGGGATTTAGCCTTACAACAGTAGAAAAACTCAAACTTTTGTTCAGTTTCTCCATGCCGTTTGAATGCATCAAAAACAGCGAAACTGAGGGCTGGAACATTATGATAGTAACAAAAATAGAATAGATGGTGTTCATAGCTTTTACCTGTAAGGGTCCCTCTTAAACTTCTCTGCAACTGATAATAACATCTCTAGATACTTGTTCCTTCCTTCAGCTTTTGAGTCCAGAATATCAGGTAAGAAAGAAACAAAGCAAATAGCAGCAGGACCACACTTCTCTTCCATGACATCCTACTCAATCAGCACACAACGAGTGTCAATGGCTTGAGTTCGAGACAAGTACCATCTGAAGACAATATGTAGGGAAATTGTTACAGATGTGAACAGTACCGGGCCAGTTAGTTCAGTTACTTCAACAGGTCCAGCATTGGATTCTAGCTGTTCCAGAGCAAAAGATTCTATGGCTGATGCAGATCTAGCTCCCTCATAAGGTACTGGGCTGCTTTTGTCTGCACCAAAGACCAAGATAGTAGGAAATCCTTGCACTTTGAATCTGCTCTGTATCGACTGCAGTATGTAATACTTTGTCAGAACTTGTCGGGGACAAAATGAAGACAAGTATTTGGTTATAAGAAACAGATAATGTGCCAGCTTATGTGGATTCTGCTCTAAAGCAAATGGCTAACGTGCTATAGGAAAAATCAAGTAGCATGGCAACGATTAAGCTGATAGCCAGTACTTCAATCTAACTGCTTTTTTTGTCAGAGTAGTGAGAGATATATCAAATTTAACTTTTTTGTAGTGATTACCTTGTCAGCATCGCAATTGACATGACCTAGTTTGACCTTCCCCTTCAACTTGTTTGCAGCCTTTTTCCACTCAGGAGCTAGCTTTTTGCAATGTCCACACCTTGGAGAAGAATCAAAAGACGAAGGTTTTCAGCTCCAGATATCCCGAGGAAGATAAAAGGTATTGTGAAGAGTTCAAGAGTCAATATGCACTACTTACCAAGGAGCAAAAAACTCCACAATCCAAAGTTCTTTGCTTTCAATGACCAACTCGTCAAAATTGCTAGAGTTGAGTTCCACGGAGGCACTAGGCTCGGATTTCTTCTCACTGGATCCTCCTCCAGTTTTTGTGCCAGCTGTTTTACCATCCAAACGATCTTTTAACAGCCCCTTTATCTGTGAAGAAAAAAAAAGTAAGATATTTTTAAATATAATCAGATCATTTCCTTAGGAAGAAAATTACTCTGTAATCAAGAACGAGCAAGGATATGAGGCAAACCTGCTTGATAGCAAATTGAGAAATGGCTTTGGCGTCCCTTGCTCCTTGGTAATCAATTGGAGGCTTCCCGGGAACAAACACTTTAATGGTTGGGAAACCTCTGACACCATAATCCTATAAGAAAACATATTAATCACCAAGGATGCAGAAAAAAAAAAAAAAGAGAGAAATGAAGCATGGAGGGTGAGTTAAAACAAGACAAACCTGAGAGACGGACTTGTGGGCATCAGCATCAATGGCGGCGACAGTAGCAACACCTTTCAAAGTAGTAGCAACCTTCTCCCAAGTTGGAGTTAAGGATTGACAATGACCACACCATGGTGCAAAGAACTCTACCAAAACGACACCATTTGAATTGAGAACCTGCCAACCATTTGCAAGTAGATACCTTTTAGCTTAAAAAAAAATTTAAACACCTACGATATATCACTAAATGCTACAAACAGCAAAAATCAACTATCTGATCCTAAATTTGCCTTCCGAAAGGATACAACACAGACAGTGACATATACTAAATTAGAGATACCATGAGAAATGTATGTCAACAATGTTAAGCCGAATCTATACAGTAAGATACAATAAAGTGAAGGGGAAAAATAAAAGCAGAGAAGCAATGGTGGATTCGGCCATACTATACCTTAGACTTGAAATTAGAAGGGGTGAGCTGCAATACAGGTGAAGAAGATCCGTAGAGAGCATTGCCTATATCGAACAGCACAGACAGAATCGTTAGCAACGTTAACAGTGATTTGTACATTTTTCTTTCCATTACATAACACTTGTTCCTTTTGTTCCCACAACAACAACAACAAAAAAAAAAAGGAAAGGCTCTGCGAAATAGAAGAACTAAAAAACACGGCCTACGTGGAGTTACGTGTAAGCACCAATGATAATATTACACGTCAGCACGCTCTCCTCTCGTAATAAAAATCATTCCTGTTAATTTTACTATCCAAGTTTCTTGTATTATTAGCTTAGACCATGTTCAGCAACTCTAAAAAGGGTGCTTAAATATTATTTAATTATTAAATTTAAAATCATCTTTATTTTATAACATATGTCTGTTAGTATTTGTTAAGCATCGCTGCTTACAACTCTTATTTAAGTATCAATGCTCAAATTATTCTATTTTTATAATTTAATTTTTTTTTTAAATTATCTAAGCACTCTTCCTAAGCATCTGCATTGAACATGCTCTTATATTAAACAAGATACGTGTGTTGAACAAAAAAAAATACATGTTACAATTTTAATTTTTTATTAAAATAATGATTTTTTTGTCGACAAAATAATAATGATTATATATGATTAAAATACACATTATTTCTGGTTTAAAAATTGAAAATTACATATACAATCCTCACTAACAAGGAACAAAGACAGAGACGGCAAAAAAAAAAAAAAAACAAGGAACAAAGACAGAAGAGCCTTTGGCTTCATGACAACACCGATGTGTACACTTAGATCAATGTCAAGATTCGACAGAGAGTAAAAAAAATAATCAATCGAAACATGTTTCGATCAGCTATTGCTTTGAATTGTTACTCCACTGTGAACAAAACAGGTTTTCGAATCTTTCAACCCGCACTCTCTTCTGGTGTTTTCAAAGCACTTTCTGTTGTTTTGTTCTGCCTTGGGAATGGTCGTCTGAGGAACTTTGTCGTAGGCCAAGCTCTGTGTTGTTTGATTCTGCCTAACAACTTCCATTCTCTCGGTTTTAACTGCCCAGCCAATCTCATTTGTTCCCTTCTAAACTTCCTGTTTGCATACCATACCCCGCCTCGCCAACCCAATCCATACCTGAATACATATAACAGAGACGAACAAAAATGTCAATGAAAAAAACCCACATCTAGCTTTGATAACCTAACCGTCTTTGTGGAAACAAACCCGAGGATCAATGTGGTTCCAGCCGTGGCAATTGTTGAAGCGAACCTGGAACCCACTGGATCAACGAGCTTCTTTAGTTCTCCTCGTTCCAACTCATGTGTGTTTTTCATCTGCCGTGAGCAAAAGCAAAACTTTCAAGTGACAAACTGAGACACAATAACAGAGATGACTAGTGATCGTAAATGTACAACAGAAGAGCAGCTATATGACTCCAAATACGCAAGCACCTAGATCCAGTGCATCAACGTAATACAGAGATATTTATTATGTGCAATGTAACTTGGCCACTGAGGGACACTCCAAAAACGACTTCAAACATGCGATAAATAATAACTCTTGATAGTTTCTTGATCATAGACACTAACCGCATTCTCAATCGACTCCAGCCTCTGATTGATTCTGGTTTCATTGTAATGGCGTAATGAATAACCTGTACAATGATTCATCATCCAATGGGTGGCAACTCTCAGTCACAAAGTCAACTTGGTATAAACAGAAACAAAATATCAATAAGATACTTTTGCAACTCTCGCGAGTACACAAGAACTTCGGTTTCTAACTTATTTTACATCATGGCAGAAAAAAAAGAAGGGAGGACCCAGAAAATCATGTACAAAGTTCAAAGTCCTGAACTTCATGCAAATGAAAAGTTATTAGCAGATGAGCTATCATTATCACAGAATTGTAAACAAGATCTCCAAACACTTGGAAACTTTTAATATCAATCAGAGAAAATCGCCTCACAGATATCAGAGAATAGAATTCATGATTCACCCTAACAGATAAATTCCTCCCAATCACAATATTTCCGGCTAACACTCTACACAAGCGAATTAAGCGTTGAAACCAATCTAATCCAGGAACATAAACATCCAAATAGATTTAACGATTGCATATAGATTCTCTACAAATGCGAGGATTCGAGATTACCAATACAAGCCGTAGCAACTGATGCTATAGAGGTTCCAACTGTAAACACGACCCTGTGCCTCTCGAACAAGTCCTAAGAAATGATGACGAATCCCATCAAGCAGATGATACAGCATAGAAAAAGATTTAACGAAAACCCTGATGAACAATCAAATTCCCTAAACCCAATTCTTTAAAATTTGACAATTTTGTTCGATCAAAACAAAATCTTATATAGAAGAGAGATCGATCACCTTGGTGGAGAGATAGGAATCGTGGATAGCGACCAATGAATTTTGGGCTTTTTTCTTCAGCTGAGGCACAACTGCGTAACCCAGAATCGATGTCCCTCGGCCTCTCAGCCGATTCATGGTCCCTGATGGTGGTGAAGAGACTCGGAGTGAGTCGACTCAGCAGAGTAGATTGAGTAATCTGGTTTTGCGTCGGGGGCGATTCTCGTCACGCAAAGGACCAAGCTTCACCCAGATTTTTCTCCGGCCAAAAGCCTAAATTTCTCTAAAAACAAACCTTTTCAACTCTTTAATTCGAAATGTTCAAATGAAAATTATTAAGGGTTCCATAATTAAAATTAAAAAGTAAATTTTTTTATTCTGTTAATAAAGAAGTTTAATCAAATATCTGAAATTTTTCTAGTATTTTTTTTTAATGAGTAAAGGGTTTGTCAATTGTCATTTTCTTAATTAATAGCAGCAGTCTTCTATACTTAGAAGTTAGAATATCCTTGATGAAAAGCTCGAAGGGAGTGTCACAAATGCTCTGTTTTTAGTCCCATGTAAAATTTATTAACAGAGTCAAAAACAGAAAAGAGAGTTGTGACATCACTGGTTTCGTCCTATATAGTTTTCAGCCATGGCCATTGACCCATCTCCAAAAAAGACCCAAAAAACGAGTAACACTTGCACATCCCCTTCCCCTGCTTCATCAAAACTTCACAAAAAAAAGGCAGAGAGAGATCATTGAGATCTTTAGAAGCCTGAGTGGGGAGATTGCTAATGATTCTCGATGATGTGATCATAAATCAGGATCATGGCGATGACGAATGCTCAGACAAATCCTGAACTTCTGAGTTACTTAACTGTGCAGAACCATCGCCTGGTTTCTCAGCGTCTGAGCTTTCCTTCTTCATATCGGGTTTCTTATTAGACAGAGACTTTGAATTAGAGCGGCTTGGTGATGGTGAGATCTTCTGATGGGTTGACACACGTGAAGCATTAGGAGCAGGCAGAGAAGAAGGCATTGTCAAGCCCGGGTATGGCTGCATTGAGTGGTCGAATTTGCAGTTTGGCCCAAACTTGCAGAATCCATAAGACTTGAAGTTACCACAAGTTGGTTGTCCCTGGACAGCGAAAAGCAGAACAGTGGCTCATTGAATGGTTCAAAATTGTCATTTGTATACATATAGTATTATGTAGAAACCAAATCAAGACCGTATCTTTTTGCAAACCAAAGCTCTTCTTTCAGTTTACAAAAATCAGAACTTGAGCTACGAAAGAGAGCAAGAAACTTACAGGTCTCATTGGAAGAATAAAAGAGTTTATAAGATTTGGTGGTGGTGGTGAAATCCTTGCTCCGGGATGATTGTATTTGCAATCGTCTCCATATTTACATGTCCCGGTATTCATAAAAAACCGACATTCTGGTTGTTCAGATCTTTCAGGCAAACCACCATTCAATGTCACAGCCATGGGCATTGATGCACTAGAACCGGAGTAAAAAGGTTGGTTCTTCACATTATACATGGAGTTAGATGCAGCCTGCAAAATCACATGACATGTAAGGGAAGTCAAATTTGTTAAAAGCAGAACCTAGACATTATTGGTACCTTCTGTTTAGACTTACCATGTAAGTGGCCCAGCTTTGAGGAGGCAAAAGGCCTTGAGAGGGTGAAACCATGACGGGAACATAGGACTGAGGAACTTGCGGACGAGGCAAAGTTCCATATGTAGGCATCATTGTCAGTCCACCAGCATAATGTAAACCTGAAGAAGGAAAACTAGACATTCCGTATGCAGTAGAATGTCCATTATCAGGTTGAGGATGGTGGAATTTGCAAGCAACTCCGAATCTGCACGTTCCCGTTCGCAGGTAATATGGACACGGCTTCTCACCCTGGAGAAGAAACTCAAATAAATCTTCCACGTTCAATAAGAAAGAAAGTAAAAAGAAGAGGAATATAGTAACCGCGATGAGATTACCTGACGCATAGGTAAACTGAGAACATTGAACAACACAGGTTCTGCACCATTCCTGTCTTTTGGGTGGTGATATTTACAAGTTGAGCCATACTTACAAGCTCCTGTCTTCAGAAAATACTGCAACAAGAAGAGGAAGTTGTTTGGAAAACATTTTTCAAGAAAGTAAACAATACGGTTTCATCTATCAGACATGAGGAATATATATGTTCTGTGATTCATCGTAGAATCTTGTTACCTCTTAAAAAAAGTTACAAACTAGAATAAGTTCTGTTACATTTTGCTAAATGAACAAGCTTAACTCAAACGCATCACAATGAACAAAATATCGTTCTACTCTCTAGTCTCTATAGTGACACAACAGGAATCAATCGAATTAAGCAGATTTGAGATGATTAAAGAGAAAAAAAAGGGAAGTTCACCTCACAATCCGGCTGTCCAATTCTCTCCGGGAGCTCCTCATTGTAATACATAACACCCTATTAAGATGTTCAAAAGGAGTAAGCCATGAGCCAAATACTAAAGCAAGAGGAAGATTTTCCAATTTAGACTCAACCAAATAGATAATTATCATCTCTCTCACCTGTGGAAGATGAGTGGGATGATTGTAACGGCAACTGCTTCCATAGCCACACAGACCAGTTCTTAGATAGAACTGGCAATCTCTTTCACCGGGACGATCTGGATACAGAGTCGGATTCGATTGCGCCATTCCGTTTTCATTTACTTTCATCTTCTTAAAGGCATCTTAAGATCATACACAAAAACACAAACATAACATGATTATTTATAATGTCTAAACTCGGATCACTAGATATGAAAAACATCAGAAACGTAAACACGAAACTCGTATGAATCTTAAAGAAGATCAAATTCCGAAATGCTACAAAAATTTCAAACCGAGTGCAAATGGTAAAATCACAGTGAACGAATGATCAAAAGTAGAAAAAAAACCCAATAAGATATTCAAACGCATTACGGCAAAACCAAACCCGATCATGTGGATCTATCGAGATTTACAAACTTGCCTTCGATTTTACCAGAAGATCGAATCGACCCAGTAGAGCTCTGAACAAGCTGAGTGTCTGACATGGGTCGCATGTAAGAACAATGAAGACGATGATCAAACAGAAAGGTGGGAATCAAAGATAAAGAGTAATGACCATGTAAAAGAAACAGATTGCTATCCTCACTTTTTATTATCTCTGGGTGAGAAGAGAAAATGTCAATGAAGAACAGAGGTAGAAAGAAAGAAAGAAAAAAAATAAAAGCTTTAACAGTCTTCAATTTTAATTTTCCACTGAGATATTTCTCATCAGAACAGATCCAAATCTATGGTAAAATATTCCCGAGTGATTTGGATTTTCTTCCTTTTTTCTCTTCTTTTCCTTTGCCCAGAGAGTGTGAGAAAATTCAGAGGAAATTTTCGGATCTTCTTTTTTCTATTTGTTTTTGCCCTTTTCTCTCCTCCGATGTCTGTGTTATCAAATGTGAAAAGAGAGAAAAAAATTAAAGATTTTGAATGAATAAGTAAATATTAAAGAAAATTAATTAAGAGTGTCTTTTGCCCCCCTCGTGTACGGGTTAATAAATTCTGCATGTACTGTAAATGACAATCTTACCCCTAAACTGATATCTTCAACGTGACGGTTCGATGTGAGCCATCGTTCCGAGCTTACGTGGGACCTCGCTGCTTCTGTGCTGTTTGTAACCATCGGTTTTGTAATGACTCGATTTTTGCGTACTCATATGATTGCCATTTACATTTTTCCTTTATGTGCTTAATGAAAATCTTAAATTACAATTTTGTCTGACAATCTTAATACTATCATAATAATTTGAATCTACTTTTTAATGGCAATCAGACATTATCATTACTAGATATATTCAAAATTTTATTGTATATTTATTAATTTATATTACAAAATATCTTATACCTTATCATTTAATCAATGTCTTAATAAATAATCAGTGTATTTGAATTAAATTATTTAAATAGAAAATGGTTAAAAAAAATCCAAGTGGATGAAAATAATAATATAATAATAGTAGAAAAAGAAGAATAAAATTTGAAAGTGGGATTTTAGAATTAAATAGCAAACAAAATAATAAGATAAAGGTGTATGCTTCGGGGACCAACCAAGCCGTAGCCATCTAGCGAAAATGTCTTAAAAAGTCTCGTTCTTCATTTACAGAAACAAATAGGGGCAAAATAGTCAGAGTAAAGTAATTCTTCTGGCACAAGAAATCTTTTGCTTCGCAGTATATTAGAGTGGTTGGGGACCCACAGGTAGAAAAAGGAGTAATTAGAAAGTGTCAGAAAGAAGAAGGAGGAAGTTGCGATTCGGTGGTCAGTGGAGCAGCGTAAGAGCTGTGATCTTGAGACGTCAATATTCCGCCACGTTACCTTACGAGGTTGTAATCCTCTGCTGTGATGACCACCTGTTTACTATGTTGTTTTTCGTGAGTTTGACGCTTTTCTGTTCCACCGGTTTGACCGTTCCAAAGACTTTTTTACACGTCAGCATAAACAAAAAAGTAAATGATTCGGCTTTTTTTTTTGTTTTCCCTTACTCATCAAAAGAGCAAAAAAGGAAAAACAAAATATAAATATTTCTTTTGCTGACTCTCCTCTTTATGAGCTTCCTATGACTTCAAGTTTCCGCCTCATGCACTCTTTTGTTGCATGTAGTATAGATCTCGCTTGATTCGATTTCGAGTTTCGACACATTGAAAAGGTTTTTCATTCTGCCTTATGTGAAAATGGACTTTTCGAGTTTTACAGACATGTATTAGTGAAACTAGAGACTTTTGTATGTGTAATATCGAGTCAGCCGTAAGATATTGTGTATTATACGGAAAATTATGTACTAATAAACATTAAACGACATTCTCAAATTAAAAAATATTTTCTTGATGGCACAATGGAAGTAAACAACAAATGTTGATCTTGAATATAAAAAACAATGTTGAAAGTTTGTCCATATGAGAGAATTCAGTTGATGAGTAACCTTTTTGATCAAACTCCTTTTGCTCAGTTGGTCCAAGCCTCTAACAGTTGGGCCTCGGATAATGCCGGATCTGTTTTGTAAACTCATCACCTCTTCTGATATGGATGTTGACTTATTGCGTCTGAGGTCCAATAATTGGGCTTTCTAAACTAAAATGCCTTTTTTATTACTTTTCCATTTTTATGCCTTGATGTTCTAAAACTAAAACATGTTCTTTTTTCTTTGTCTTTTTCTTTTTCCTTTTTTTTGCAGATCGAACCATCAAAGACTCGACTTTGTTTAGTATTCTTATTTGCGAAGACTGCAAATGCTATGACATTTTTTATAAACCAACAAACAAAAGAATGCCAAGACATTTGAGTTACAAATCTTAAGTCGATTTAAACCAAAACCAAACTGAATAAAATTTGTGTTGTTAACGTATTTTCTTGTACGAAAGAAATTCTGTGTGCCGTTTTTTTTGGTGAGGAAATTCAAACATCTCTTTCGGTCAAATTTGGGCAACCTAAATGGCACAACTCATTCAATATGACAACAGTGACACACACGAGCATGTTCCAATACTTGAAAAATGAAATGTACAACTATATTTTTTTCGAAGATACTTAAGAAGATTAATTTTGTTATTAATGCTAGTACTGTCGTTGATATATTTCCTTTTTTTGGTATAATGTAAATGTCAATGATAAATTACCATCAAAATTTTTAAGTGAACTGTAGTGATTTAAACAATTAGTCCATAAATGTTCAAACGGCTACATATTCTGAACTAAAAATCAGACATATATAGAATGATCAGTGGACCAACAATAGGGATAGAAATGTGGGGCCAGAGACAAGAGAAGCAGTCACGATTTTTATCATGGATAAATGGATCATGCATGGAAAATTAACTTCTTTGATAAACGACAATAATTGATGAAATTTTACCAAAATCCATCGGAGACTTATAAGTTATAACATCTCCAATAATTTCAATTGAAGAGTGAGACAGAGTGCGTGAACGGTATTCTTGAATTGTTCTTTCTCAATCATCATTTTTGTATTTTAATACGCAACTTCGGAATCGGTATATTTTATCGAGAAACATGAATGCTTTTGAAATTGTGTATATGTATTTGTTGTTATTATCATAACCAAATAATTGAACTTTAAAAAAACGAGAATACAACTTTAGAGCATCTCCAACCCAAACGGTAAATTTAGTGTAAAAATAACACTAAATTTAATGTTATAGTGTTCTATTTTTTTTCCATCTCCAACCATAACACTATATTTCACCTTAAAAAAAATATTCTTTATTATTATATTATTATATTTAAGTTTTCTTTTTTTTTTAAAGTGTTGATCAATACTATAAAGATTTATAAGATTTCTTATAAAGGTTTATAAATTTTCTTATAAGATTTAAATCAAAACATGTTATATCAAATAAAACTACTAAAACATTCAGTACAACATATCCATAAAACCAAAAATTAAAACCAAAAATTAAAACTAACAAGTAAATATTTAAATTATGTAATCAAAATTATAATTTAATAAAAAATAAAATTAAGACAAAGAGACAGTATGGTATATTAAAGTTTTTCTTTAAAACTATTAAAACATTTAGTATAACATATACATAAAGCCAAAAATCAAAACTAACAAGTAAATATTTAAACTATATAATTAAAATTATATTTAAGAAAAATAAAGTTAACACAAAGAGATAGTGTGATATATTAAAGTTCTTCTATAAAGCCATTAAAATATTTAGTAGAACATATCCATAAAACCAAAAATCAAAACTAACAAGTAAATATTTGTGTATAATTTATAAATTTAGAAATAATGAATGTTCTTTGTAATTAATAATAAATAAAAATATATATTTAAAATATTCTTATTTGAGGGAAAAAATATTATGTTACAATTAAATTTTTGTATCACTAAAATGATTATACATAAATATTAATGTCATATTTATTTTTAGTTACAGATTTAATCAATGAATAAACAACAAGCTAATTATATTATATAATAGAACAACTAAAAATAATAATATTTTAATATTTAGTGTGATGAACAGTGTTACACCAAATATGGTGTGACACTGTTCATGAAACGGCAAAAACAAAAATATGCCGTCTCATATACTGTTTGGTTGGAGCAATTTTTACACCAAATTTGATGTTTTGTCGTTTGGTTGGAGTTGTTCTTAGAGTTGTACATCTATCCGTCTGGTTGGAGTTGTTCTTAAAATTGTACATCTACCCATTATAATATTATTATTTATATCATGAATCATGCTCTTAAAAGACTCATAGAGATCAGAGGCTCTTATCTCAATTGTAAAAAAAAAAAAAAAAACACCGAGTTTTTCTTATATAAAATCATTCTTAAAGAAATCATGAAACATGCGATCATGCATGCATACTATTAGCCGTCAAGAAAGTAAAGAACACGTATTATGATCATGATTCATGACAAACGTCCACAAATCAATTAATCGATGATATAAGTCTTGGCGATGGAATTAAATATTTAAATTTAATCCAACGGAGGTTGTTTTGTTTGGTCGAAATCAATGTTTTTATTTTTGATTTAGAAGGTGTATCATTTGATATTTCCCTCGCTAGGACAATTAAAAAAATAAGGTTTAATTAGGTTGCATACACTATATTACACTGTTGGATGAAATAATCAATGAAGTAACAAGGTTTAATTATTCATTAAGTGAAGTGAGATATTAAAGAGGATTAAACTGGATGCTTGCACCTTTTTAATTGAAACAAATCCATTATCTAACCTGGTTTTGGTGGAGAAGCAAGAGAAATGAGACCACTAGTCGTCTAGACCACATTTTCTTCTCAAAATATTAGACTGGCGCTTATTTAAAACAGTTTCATCCGAAATAAAACCAGAGCACCCGGAATCCGAAAATGTCACTAGATGATTGATTATTAACTTTTCATATACATCTGAGTTTAAACCAATTTCTTAGAGATTATTTGAAGGCATTATGATTTTTTTCGTACGTTCTTTTTAAGGTAAGTCCTTTACGGTGTCAAAAACACATTCGTACGTGGCGCAGTGCTCGCGACCCAATAAGCCTTTTGAATCAAATGGTATATTCCTTGGAATGTACCTTTTGGTTCTTTTTGAAGAACAAATTATTTTGTACATTTTAATTTTTATGGAATATTTATCCAATAAAGTTCAGTGTAGACACTAAACATTAAGAAAAAACTGTTCTGTAGGTAGTTATTATCTGTTTTTATTATAAAAGTGTTTTTTTCTGTTGTGAGTGTTTATGTAGAAGACAAAGATGTGACGTGGATTTTAATTATTCAGTGTCGTGATGTGGTTCTTTTTTGTTGCTTCGCATTATTTCGTTATTATTAGGTTGATTGACATATATTTGAAGGTTGCAGTGACATTTTCAGCATCTTCATAAGTAATGCATGCGGCGCCTAAGAAAACAATTTATAAAAATGAAGATATCAGCAACACTTAGGCGGTGATGTTCATTGCAAACACTAACACAAACCATTCCATTAATATATTTCATTCTTTTGCATTGTAAAAAATGGTATTTGAAATTGATTATATATATATTGTCCTCGTTAATTTGGATCAAATCTTATTTTAGACTCAATGTTAGCATTATTGACTGAATTCTAGTTGGAATTATACATTGAAAACAATGATAATTTTTGTTATATAAAAAAACAACATAGTTTAACAAAACAAAACGTAAACTAGGATGAAAAATGATAGTCGTATTAATATACTAAAGATTCTATAAAAACGTATACATTATATAAAGGTGTGTGAATGACTGCCACATGACTCAGACTCACTGATTGTTCTTCCCACTTTAATTTGTAGAGGAAGCTCTTGTCCACTGGAATCTCTCGTTCTCTCTCTTTCCGCTGGGAATCTCTCTCCTCGGCTCTTTCCTCAAATAATACTGTACATAATTGTTTTTTTTTCAAGGATAAATCATAAATGTATATATCATAAATTTCATCATTTTACATATTTTAATATCGATTAGAAACTAGTCTTCAATTAATATTTCAGTGGCTTGATTAAGTAAGTCGTAACAGATACATAAGCCCAGGCGGGTCCAATATTTTGCGCGCGGATACCTTACGTTAAATTAAAAAAGAACTCTTACCATTTTTCATATGTTTTATTTTACTGATGTCAACAAATTATATATTGTCCCTCTTTTTCTATTAGTATTATTTTTCTTTTATTTTGGTTTCACTTGCTCATGTGTTCGGACCGGACTTGATTAAAGCTGAAAATGTGTACAACTACTTGAGCTACATAACAGTGTATATATATATTAAAACCATATATAAACTTGAAACCGTCTTACTCGTTCATACTTTGATGTTATAAAAATATTAAAAATATATATTAAAATATAGCTAGTTGATGGTGCGTCAACCGGTTGTCAAATATGATTTGTTGCATGAAGTTGATTTCTGATCAAACCAATACAAGTTAATCTAATGTGTGGAAGGTTTATTATGTAAGTTAAGGGATTAGAGATCAAATGTTTTCAATGCAAGTTCATTTATGATTGACCATTCAGAAATTAGTCTAGATTTTGCTTCATGATCCTTTGATTATATACGAAAAATTAAAGACTGATATCTTTAATTAATCAAGAGGAAATATTCCGCATATATATAAACGTAAGCCTCTACAAGTTAACAATTGAAGCCTCTCTTTGAAGAAATTGTCCAATGCCTCTCTTTTGTTTAGTTATTATAATCCGTGAAAATGTCAAAAACCATTATTTTTGTTCATTCTTTATTTGAATTACATCAACCCTTCATGGGCTTATGAAAACACACACACATATATATATACATATATAAAAATGTAATTTATAGCATGTTCAACTAAGATACGCCACCCAAAAAAAAACTAAGACCGTTACAGATTCGTGTAATATGATACTGTAATGTTTTCAGCTCAAGTTGAGTAATATTAAACTATTTCTTCAAATTTTGGATTCTTTTGTTCGAATGTGTTCCCTTAGGAGTTAGGACCATATATAGTTTTCTTTTTATGCCTTTTTTTCCCTACTAATTCAGGATTACAGTATGGATTATATTAGAAATTGTAGATCAAGTACATAGTCATATGTACGATAACAGAAAAGAATTTACACATTATATTGTATATTTTTTTGGGACTAAAAAGTTGTAAACACGATTCTTTACAGATGAAAGAAATAAATAGTAAAAAGATATAACAAATAAGTTTTTTTTTTTCATCTCTTTAGAAAAAAGAAAAGAAAAGAAAAGAAAGTAATGTTAACAGTCACAGCTGCGAGTCTATATAAACCAAAGGTCGCCGCTACGTAACGACCATCTCCATTACTCTCACCAAAGACTATAATAAAACCAAAGATTCTTCTTTCTTCAGATATGCAGCTTGTCGACAATTCGACGGACAAGTTTACGACTTCGGAGGAGGAAGATGTCTGCCGTACGATCGAGGTTTGTAGAAATGGGTTTCAGGAAGCGGAAGTTAAAGCTGACGCCTTTCCGGTGGTCTCCGGCGAGGAACTTAACCTAATACCTCCGCTTAACTTCTCCATGGTCGATAACGGTGTTTTCCGGTCTGGATTCCCTGATTCGGCTAACTTCTCCTTTCTCCAGACTCTTGGCCTCCGCTCAATCATGTAATCACCTCCTTCTACGTTCATGTAGACATTTTTCCGTATACACGTTTTCGAATTGCTGATTTGGGTTTTCGAATTTTGTGAAAGATACTTGTGTCCGGAGCCTTACCCGGAGAGTAACATCCAGTTCCTCAAATCCAATGGAATCAAGCTTTTCCAGTTTGGCATTGATGGCAAAAAGGTTCGCATCATTCTCTGTTCCTCTCTCTCTCTCTCTCTCTCTGTTCATAAGTCTTGACCTCCTAATTGTTAAACCTCTGGCTTGTTCTGTAATTCTAATTTACCTGGATTTTTTCCATTGGCTGATCCGAACTTACTTTCACTAGGGGAATTGAAAATCATATGTCTTGGACTATTTAAAATTTGCAGTGTGTTCCTGACTTAGAGAACGAGATTTGGTTGCATTTATGGAGTTCTAAGCATCACAAAGAGAGTCCATTATCGAAAACTTTGCTACTCTTTTATATTAACCGAGAGCTTAATACGATTTGGCGGAATATGTCAGGGTTCTTCAGTTTTGGGGTTTTAACTGCTTGATATTTTGTTCTAAAATCCTGTCTCATCATTGTTACTTGAGATATTGCTGTTTTCAATTTGGTAACTTTGTTCCAATCCATTTTTTTTTATTACGAGTTACCAGAAAAAGCTCACTTCTTTCTTCATTGTTGGCTCTTTCCGTCTCTCTTGACCTCCACTGCTTCGGTCCCACTCTTTCTTTTCTGCCCCTTCAGCTACTCTTGGTCCTAATAGTTTCTTATGTATTTAAAATTAGATAATGGGCTACGTCAAAATTACAAGAACAAAAAAATATACATTTTGCTGAGCTGCTCAAGTGTTGTCAACGATCCACTACTCTAAGGCTTACTTTCTGTTCTTTCTGTTGATATTGTTTTCTTGGTTCATGTTAATTGCGTGTGCACTTTTTTAAAAAACAGATATGATATCTTATGAAATCATAGATCAGCAAAAGCGTTTCTTGAGGATGGACAAGTAGTAGAACACCTCAACCAATTTTTTTCTATGGTAAAAACTTGTAGAAAGCGTGTTGATTGTGGAATTTTATACATTTTAGCTGTAAGTTATTAAATCTAGATAAGGTTAGGAGTTGCTGGGAAACTGATAGATGGTTAAGTTTTAAGTCGGTTAGCGTTGTTCAATACCTACACTTTTTGTTCCTTCCTTTCTTTTTTTTTTATTGTTTTAGTGGCTCATGTTTGGGCAAACACTGCTAAGTGATGGAATAACCAGAAACTTCAGCACAGAGTCTTGAACTTATTATTCTTATTATGAGTCATGAAGAATGTGACTTTGCTGAAGAGATTTGTATGGACGTAATTTATTAGTTGATCTAGAATCTTGATAACTGAAAGAGGGGCTAAAATTAAATATGCGGTTTGCAGTAGCTATCTTTTTTTCTCCCAAAAGAATCAGCCTTTGTGTGTCGATTCTGTTCCTAGGATAGTCTCATGTTTCTTCTATTGAGAGTCTTTATGTGGGGAGTCGTTTAGATACTTATTACTACCATGTTTGCCTTTTATGCTTTCATGCTAAAAAGAAAACTAAACTTCTCTTCTTGGTGGAGTAATTTTATTGGAAGTGTTTATGGAACTATTCCACATTCACATCGTTGGATCTCATTGACTTTGGTTTTAAAATCGATTTTCTCAACTCAGAATCGTTATGCTCAGTGTGACAACTTTGAGCTTGATAGGAAACCTGTATCGTTGATATTCTTGGCTTGCTAAGCTTTTACTCTGTCTCTCTCAAAGATTCGTATTTCAATGGACCTTTGTGTTTATTCCGTGTGGTTGTTGTGTGTGTGGAGATAACTTTTAAATACAAAAGGAAGGGAATCTTTCTCTCAGTACGCAACCAGTAAAAGGTATCACATTTGACATGCTTAATGACTTGTATACTTTCTCCTGTTTATGAACCTTTACATGGTTGTCTCTCTCAAGACTAAACGTTGCTTTGTGTATAGACCTTGCTTAGAAGATTGCCTTTTCTCATCCTAATCTGCTCAATTCAGTAGTGCGATCGATCTTTTGGCATAAAAAAAAAATCTTATAATCTAAGAAAGACATCTTTTTTTACTTATTTTCAGGAACCGTTTGTGAATATTCCAGACCATAAAATCCGCAAGGCACTCAAAGTCCTCCTAGGTACGTATGAATCATCAAAGCCCCAAAAAAAAAAAAGAAACAGAAGAAACTACACGTTGATGCCTTCTTAATCTAACTCTCGTCTTTTATCAATATCTCTCTCATTTTTGAATCTCCAGATGAGAAAAACCACCCGGTTCTGATTCATTGTAAGCGAGGCAAGGTAATTCTTTCTCTCCAATCCTCTAACATTTCCAGATGAGAAAAGAACTGAAATTTTAAAGAAGGAATTTTGGAATTTGCAGCATCGGACAGGTTGTCTGGTTGGTTGCTTGAGAAAACTCCAGAAATGGTGTTTGACATCAATATTCGATGAGTATCAGCGATTCGCAGCAGCAAAAGCTAGAGTTTCAGATCAAAGATTCATGGAGATATTCGACGTTTCCAGCTTCAGTCATATTCCTATGTCTTTCTCGTGTTCCATCAGGTAAGCAGATCGAGAACCTGAAATCTTCTCTCAAATAAAGACCAAAAAAAAGAAGGAGAGATTTATCACATTCGAGTTCCAGAGGATTCATTCTTCTGCTTCTTTCCCGTCCTCTGGAATTAAGTATTATTAATAATATTTTCGTGAGAAAAAGAGGTTAAATTTTCTTGATTGATAATGAGTTACCTTTTATTTTTCTGCTCAGTGTAACCACTTAGGTAGATAAATACGTATACTAATACGTATATATGTATACGGAATCTTATATATATAGGAGTTTGTTTATAATATATAGCTTTTCTTGGGTATCCCAATTGTTGCTTAACGATTATTACGTGGTTAATGAATGTATTACATTTATTTCAGAACATGCTTTGGAGAGTTGTTAGGTCACGAATATGAAACAGAATAAATTAGTTTTCTAAAATTGAAAAAACATGCATAATATATGCTTTGGAGAGTTGTTAGGTCACGAATATGAAACACCTCTATATTGGAGAGTATACTCGGTAGCCGAGTAATTTAAAGACGTTGTGTCACAAAACAGTGTTGAGAGAAAGTGTAAGCATGACGCTGATTCTTCAACAACAAGCGAGGCAGATTCTTGCTTGCAGTTGCAGGAGGAACAAGTCGAGTTTTTCTTTGTCCCGTTCCTACGGAACTCTATGGTCACCGGCGAACCAAACTCTGCAAAGTCTGATAAAAGCGGCTTCAGATCACAAGGCACCAATCATTCCCGTGCTCGATCAATGGCAGCAACAAGGGAATCAAGTTAAGCCGTCAGATATCAGAGGCCTCATCAAGAGTCTTCGTGATTCTAATCAATTTTCTGATGCACTCAAGGTTTTTTTTTTTCCTTTCAAACTTTGATTTTAAACCTACAAAATCTTATAAATGGCACGCGACGTGCTTTTTTTTTTAAAATATGTTACTGTGTTACGTTTCATCAATTGTCAACTTGAAAAAATGAATGAATTAACTAAATGATGCTTTACATATTAATTGTTTTACTTAATTGTGTAATATATACCGTATTATATATATATATATATATATGTCTCTCATTGGTTGGTTGTTGGAAATTGAGTAGGCATCAGAGTGGATGAGTGAAGCAAAGGTTTGTAATATTTTCTCGAAAGATTACGCAGCTCGGCTTCATCTGATCGAGAAAGTGTTGGGTTTGGAAGAAACAGAGAAGTTCTTCAAAAGAATCCCTGCGAACATGAGGGATTCCTCAGTCTACTCCACGCTCTTGACCTCATACACGAGAAATGAGAAAACACTTGATAAAGCCGAGTCCACTTTCAAGGAGATGCAAGAACTCGGTTTCCTCTTGAAACCTTCAGTACCGCACAACGTGATGATATCTTTCTACAGTCAGCTAGGAAAACGAAACAAAGTCGAGAAGCTTTTGTATGAGATGGAAGAGAACAAAGTGAAGCCCGACAATGTCACCGTAAACAATGTTTTAAAGCTATACGCTGATGCATCCGACGTAAAGGCGATGGAGATGTTCACGAGAATGTGGGACGTTAATAATGAAGAGGAAGAAGAAGTAATCAAATTGGAGCAAAGCACCATCATTGCAATGGCAAAGGCTTACGTTCGAGTTTGTTCTGAAGAAAAAGCGATAGAGATGTGTGGTAACGTGGCAGGGAGTACAAGAGAAGTGCACAGTCTGTGGAACAAGTACTGTAAGAAGACGGGAAAGGTGAAGGAAGAGGGACATCGAACGGTGATTAGAGCTTTGTTGAAGCTGGACGATGTGCAAGGAGCAGAGAAGATATATGAAGAGTGGAAAGATAAGGATATAAGCGTAGCGGGTTTGCTCCTCTCTCGTTATTGCGCGCAAGGTAACAAAGTGAAGGTAATTAATCTGGTCAATGGATTGGTTTCCAAAAGTCCAATGGCAAAGCTAAGAGCGATGTGTGATGATGGTTTAATGATTTTTTTAATGATGTTTTTAGTGGAAGTTAGCCTCATTATAACTTTCATGGTGGCGACTCTGTGTTTTATTAGAATCATTGTGGGGTTGGCATTTGGAATTTAGCCTCATTATAGCTTGGATGGTGATGATTCTGGTTTTTATTAGAATCATTGTGGGGATGGCCTTTATATAAATTTGGAATAAATGTGTGCCCTTTGTTTGGGGGCGGCCTTGAAATAAATTTGTGCCTTTTGTTTTCTGAAGATTCTCTTATTGTATATAAAATAATAATAAACAAATCTTATTGTATAAAAGAGCATGATTTAAAAAGTTAGTGACTCGCCCCATATCAAAAATACATGTTTTATTAATTTATAATTGTTATAACATATATCATATATGGACTCTTATACCGGCCCATTAGGCCCATCAGGGCATTGTACTTAACCTAAATTCCCTATGTACTCTATATATACATTCCAGTGATTAATAAAGTTTCTAAGTTTTCACAACACGTTATCAGCACGATAAGACTCTCTGAGCGAAAAACCCTAATAAATCCGGCCACCACCAAAACCCTAAAAGCAAGTCGAAACTTAAAAGACGCATATCTTCCAAACCGTGAGGAACCAGAAGACGATCTACATATCAAATCGAAGCCCTCGACGAGACGAATCTACTGGTGAAAACCGTTTGTCGATCCAACGTCGGACGCGCCCTCATGCACACTTACAGTACACGACGATCAACCGAAAAAAAAAAAAAAACCAGATCCGAGTTTTTCCTTCTTCAACCAGCAGCTTCTCCATTTTTGGTGATCAATCCTTGGAATTTGTAGCGGCTAACTGAGGTCTATTAGCTCCCAGTTTCATTAGCCTGTCAGAAATCCAAAGCACACCAGCAAATGGAAACCATAGTCGTAGATAGTGGATCCAGCCACACTATCTTAAGAAACAAAAGTTACTTCATAAACCTAACCTATCAAACCGCAAATATTAGCACCATCGCGGGTCCCTCAAACCTTATCGAAGGATATGGCCATGCCTATGTGTTGCTATCAAATGGCACACAACTTGAAATACCAGATGCTCTATATTCTCCTAGTTCGAAGAGAAATCTTCTGAGCTTCAAGGATATAAGACAGAATGGTTTCCACATAGAAACCCAAGGTCAAGGGAACAAAGAATCCCTCCTAGTCACTAAAACCGTAGACGGCCATAAACAAATCCTCGAAACCATACCCGCGCTCTCTACTGGACTTTACCATGCTAAAGTCAGTATGATTAAAGCTAATACCACTCTCAAAGCCCGGTTTACTGATTATACTATTTGGCACGACCGGCTCGGTCATCCCGGTGCAAATATGATGCGTAAACTAATTCAAAACTCTCAAGGGCATACCCTCAAAGAAAACCGAGCTTATCCTCAACACCTCATGTGCACAGCTTGTTCTCAAGGCAAATTGATCACTCGGCCTTCACCAGTTAAAATCTCTAAACAAACACTTCATTTCCTAGAAAGAATCCAGGGCGATATCTGTGGACCTATACATCCATCTTCCGGACCATTCCGGTACTTCATGGTCCTTATAGACGCATCGACCCGTTGGTCATATGTTTGTCTCTTGTCCTCTCGGAACCAAGCCTTCGCTAGGTTCTTGGCCCAAATCATAAAGTTGCGGGCCCATTTCCCTGACTTCCCACTAAAGACTATCCGCCTTGACAATGCTGGTGAATTTACCTCACAAGCGTTTAATGACTACTGTATGGCCATGGAGGTAACCGTGGAACATCCTGTAGCACATGTCCATACTCAAAATGGATTGGCTGAATCATTCATTAAACGCATTCAATGGATAGCCCGACCATTACTCATGAGATCAAAGCTCCCGGCCTCAGCATGGGGACATGCAGTATTACATGCTGCTGAACTCATACGCATCCGGCCATCTAGTGAACACAAATATTCCCCATCCCAACTACTCTCGGGTCATGAGCCAGACATCTCCCATCTCAAAACATTTGGGTGTTCAGTATATGTACCCATTGCTCCACCACATCGAACCAAAATGGGACCTCAAAGAAGGATGGGAATATATGTTGGTTTTGACTCTCCCACCATCATAAGATATCTCGAGCCAACCACTGGAGATCTCTTCAAGGCCAGATATGCGGATTGCCAATTCGATGAATCGGTATATACCTCTTTAGGTGGTGAGACAAACAAGCTGGTCAAAGATCTTTCATGGAATCAAACATCATTAAATTGGCAAGATCCTCGGACTCTAGAATGTGATTCAGAGATCCAAAAGATTATTCATTATCAAAAGCTAGCTAATCAATTGCCAGATTCCTTTGCTGACCCGACCAAAGTAACCAAATCGTACATCCCAGCTTGTAATGCACCAGTACGAATAGCTGTCCCAACGGGACAGACCCAAGTTGCTACAGAGTCTGCACCACGTCTCAAACGGGGCAGACCTCTCGGTTCCAAAGATAAGAATCCCCGGAAATCAAAGAAAGGTGCAATAACCGAAACCGGGATTCCTGCAATATCAGACATAGCCGCGGCTGAGACTCAATCTAATGAACCCTCAATGGAAGTTCGGGACGCCGAATCTCCAGGTTCAGAAGATAACAATGAGATCTCCATCAATTACAATATGTCCGGAATACAATGGAATCGAAAAGAAGTCGACTTAAATGCACTCTTTGCATACAAAGTAGCACTTGATGTTGCGCTCACGCAAGAGGATCTAGAACCCACGTCAATAACACAGTGTACACATCGAACAGATTGGCTAAAATGGAAAGAAGCCATAAACGTGGAGTTAAAGAGTCTCAAACTCAGAAACGTGTTCGGTCCGATCATCCGGACCCCATCACACATCAAGCCAGTGGGCCACAAATGGGTCTTTTTGAGCAAAAGGAACGAACTCGGTGAAGTCGTTCGATACAAAGCACGGCTTGTAGCACAAAGATTCTCACAGAGACCCGGAATCGATTATGAGGAGACTTATTCTCCAGTGGTGGATGCAACAACATTCCGATTCCTCATAAGTCTGGCCATAAGAGAAAATCTTGATCTGCGGTTAATGGATGTTGTAACCGCATATCTCTATGGGCCCCTGGACAACGAAATATATATGAGACTCCCAGATGGCATTGAACTAAAAGACAAAATTGCATCTCGAGATCAATACTGCATCAGGCTGAACAAATCCTTGTATGGACTGAAACAAAGTGGGCGTATGTGGTACAACCGCCTCAGCGATTACCTCATCAAAGAAGGCTACAAAAATGACCCCATCAGTCCATGCATCTTCATCAAGAAGTACTCAAACAAAGGATTTGTAATCATAGCAGTATACGTGGATGATCTAAACATCCTCGGAACATCTGGTGAGATCTCCCAAACAGTCGACTGCTTAAAAGCAGAATTCGAAATGAAAGACCTAGGCAAAACAAAGTACTGTTTGGGATTACAACTTGAGTACATCAAAGGAGGAATCCTTGTGCATCAATCGGCTTATATCGAAAAGGTACTCAAGCGATTTAATATGGACCAAGCTCACCCATTGACCAGCCCAATGGTAGTTAGAAGCTTAAGTGATGACCCTCTTGGTCCCAAAAAGGATGATGAAGAAATCCTTGGTCCTGAAAAGCCATACCTCAGTGCTGTAGGAGCGTTAATGTACCTGGCTAGTCACACTAGACCAGACATATGTTTCGCCGTGAACCTCCTCGCTCGATATAGTTCATCTCCAACTCAGAGGCACTGGAACGGTATAAAACATCTCCTAAGATACCTTCGAGGTACTCAAGACTTAGGACTCTTCTATACTAACCAAAATAAAGATGGGTTAGTCGGCTTCGCCGATGCAGGAGATCTATCAGATCCGCACACTGCCAAGTCTCAAACTGGCTACGTTTTTACGCATAGAGGAACAGCCATCTCTTGGAGATCAATGAAGCAGACACTCACTGCCACTTCATCAAACCATCTGAAATCCTAGCCATTCATGAGGCTAGTAGGGAATGCGTCTGGCTGCGCTCCATGACTCAGCACATCCGCAGAGATTGTGGTATGGACGAAGACACACAGCCCACGGTGATGTATGAAGACAACGCGGCATGCATAGCTCAGCTCAAGGAAGGATATATCAAAGGAGATCGGACGAAGCACATTCTACCGAAGTTCTTCTCAACCTCAGACTGGCAGAAGGACGGCACTCTCAGCGTTCAGCAGGTCCGATCCAGTGAGAATTCAGCTGACCTCTTCACCAAATCATTGCCTACTTCAACACACCGGAAGCTCGTCAAACAGATAGGAATGTATAGACTTAGAAATCTGCAGTGATGCTACAATCAGGGGGAGTAATGCGTGTTGTACTTTTTTTCCTTCACCATGGTTTTGTCCCACTGGGTTTTTCCTGGTAAGGTTTTAATGAGGCAACATTCCCCAGCGCATTATCGAGATCCCGATTGAGTAGCTGACCCGGTTCACTCGTCCAAGGGGGAGTGTTATAACATATATCATATATGGACTCTTATACCGGCCCATTAGGCCCATCAGGGCATTGTACTTAACCTAGATTCCCTATGTACTCTATATATACATTCCAGTGATTAATAAAGTTTCTAAGTTTTCACAACAATAATTATATTTTAATTAATCTTATTTGAAAAAAGAAAATTTATAGTTGATTTCTAATAAATATTAAAAAAAGAAAAATAATAAAATTACAATTCATAAAAATAAAGAAAAAACCTACATATTTCAATTTACCATAAATGAATTAAACAATACATTACAATCTTAAGAAAATTATTTTTACCTACTATAACAAAATTATCTAATTACACAAATAAGCTGAAATTAGATAATTAAAAATCACTCATAAGTAGAACTTAGATAATATTGAAAATAAAAAAATAAAAAAAAACATTTATGATAAATTAAAAAATAGAAAATTTTCTAAAGGATATAAAATTAAATAATAAATTAAAAATTCATAACCAACAAATATTTTGCTAATCTTTTTAGTTTATAAATTAAAGATAATTTTTATTTTGTGACTCATGTTAAGTTAATGCATAGAATGATTTTTATTACGTTAATTATTATAATTTCATTAGAGTGACATGTTACTCATGTTTGTTTGTAGTGAAAGTTTTCTTATTTGTTTCCAAATTTATCTGTACTAACTCTACAAACAACAAACATAAAATCACATATACATATATAAAACACATTTATGAAACATACAAACAAGACATGCCACATAAACAAGATTTTTAGGATATTAAATAGTTAAGTTTCTACGGCAAGAAAAATATAGCAATTATAGGCTATTTAATTTATTATAGTAAATAATAAATTATTCATGCAGTGGCCAATGGTCCAACATTGTTGGCCACGGTTGTCTCCATAGCTTTCATGGCTTCGAACCTCGGTTCCTTGGCCTGAAACTTGACAGCATAGTAAAGCTTCATGTAATCTTCGAACACGAATTTTGGATACTTGTCCTTCTTATCCTCCTCCGATTCTTTTCCGATCAACTCCGGTGCCGGAAAAATAACGGAGTCACTACCCGGATTGTAGAATGAAGCAATTGACATTCGTCCTTCGCCGTCCGTCTGAGCTATCACTCTATGCTCCACGCTCTTGTACTTCCCATTCGTTATCACCTGTTTGGTTTTTATTCCCATTTTTTATTTTTATTTTCATAACTGATAACTTTGCAAAAATCGCATGAAACAAAAAAAAAAAAAAAAAAAATATATATATATATATATATATATATACCCCAAAAAAAAAGTTGAATAACGGAATCTCGTGGTAAATAAAACTCTTCCGTAAATAAAATCACAACTCAAAAATTCTAAGGTGATCAGTTTGGTTCGGTTTATTACGGTTTGGTTAAATATTTGCGGATTTTACACATCATGTATGTACGTACCTCAAGTTGATCGCCGAGATTAACGACGATTGAATGTTTAACCGGAGGAACATCGACCCACTCGCCGTCCTTAAGGAGCTGAAGTCCACTGACTTTGTCGTCCTGGAAAAGGAGTATGATTCCTCCGGCGTCGGTGTGTGCTCGGAGCCCCTTGATTAGCTCCGGTTGAGGACAAGGTGGATAGTTGCTCACTTTGGTTCCAAAAGTCGGTCTTTTCGACCCGTAAAACATCTTTTTCAGATAACCCTTCTCCAATCCAAGATTCTCGCACAACAGATCTAGTAGCTCCTCCGACAACTTCTCAATCTTGCCGGCGAACTCTTTCATCAACGTCCTGTAGAGAAAAAAATAACACCCAATACGGCGTCGGTTTACTCAAATTACTTGTTCCAAATAAACAAACCGGTTTTGTGTTCATCAATTAGAAGCAAGAAAGAAAACTATTGGGCACTTCACTTCATCGGCAATAAACCGGTTCACGTTGAGTCACTGAACTTAACCAACCCAAATTGTTGAATTGCTTAACAAAAAACCGGTAAATTCGAGATCTCGTAACCGGAGAGAACAAACAATTCCCGGATGGTTCAGCAGAAACTAAAAGTTACCAACCTGTAATCGTCGTCGAGATCAGGGACATCGGAGATGTTGGAGACAGGAAGGTGCTTAAGGTAGAAAGTTGACTCCCAGTCAACGTCGTTGACTTCAGACCGAACAGAGTCGAGTCCTCTGTTCTTGATGGATTCTTTGAATCTCTCTTCCATACACTTCTTGTAGTGTTCCTTCGTCATCTTCTCCACTCTGTCCAGTAGCTCGTGTGGAATCCCATGATTCACACACTGTAATTACCAACCGATGATTAAATTAAAAAAAATCATTTTAAAATCCATAGTTTCGAGCTTCCATTATATTATGAAAAAAACAAAATTTGAAGTACCTCAAAGAATCCCCAGTTTTCACAAGCGTCTTTGATCTTCTCCATCGTGATTCCTCTCTCTTCTCCATTAAGCTTCTCGAGATTGATGATCGGGAAACTCTCCATCTCTCTCTCTCTCTCCAACTTCTTTTCTTATTACTTTTTCTTTTTTTTTTGGGTTTCTGGGTTTTTGCCTAACTTTATGTTGACTCTTTTGAAGTGTGATCTAAATCTGATGACCAGAGCATCGGTTTTATAGAGAGAAGAGTTTATTAGGTTTGAGTTACTTCCACGAGTTATCATTCTACAGTAATTATTTGGTCTTTGGACCCACATTATTATCAATCAATTAATTAAGTTTTATTTATACATTCTCTAAAGTATATTAGTGTGGACCAAAAAGATTGATGACTTACTTTATTGTTGTTGAATTGTTTAGTCATTAGTCCTAAGATACTTGGTTGTTGTTAAGATATTTGATCTAACCCATATTACGAGAATAGTAAACTAGTAATCCCAAATTTCAAGATACACATGAGCAATCAGAAAATTAGAGTTACTACTACTATATATCCTATTCGAATGCTGTTTTGGAAATCCTCAGATTTTTTGTACCGTTAAACAATGGGAAAAATCTAGTGTATGATCATCCACTCTATATAGAAATCATATATTTCTTTCACATGCTTTTCATTGATATGACCTAATACTCGAAAATGTCATTTTTTACTCATTTTTCTACTGGCCCAACTGCAGCTTTAATAGCGACCACATCGATGCTTCATAAACTCTCCCCTTAGCAACAAACAAGGGTTATAATTGGCTCAATAACAAAGTACATTCTTAATTTGACCCCCAAAAAAAAAATTCTTACGTTAAGCATTTTGAGTCCATAATTTTTGACGGCTTAGATCGAATAAAAAGAATTGTGTCATTTCAGCGGAGGAAATCAGATTCAACCACGTGCTTCTTTCTAGGCCACAAGGGTTATCTAAAAGCTGATAAGATAGATATAAAACCTATATAGATAGATAGATTTTTCCTCATAGTGGATTTTGCTAAGTTAATGTTCCCTACTTCCTGAATACATTATGTTTTATCTGTTATGAATATCTCAAGAATTGGAGGTTTTGGTAAGTATCTTGGTTTGCCTGAATACATTGGCAAGAATAAAAGCGATACATTCTCATAGTTGGTTCAGAAAGTTATTCGAAAAGTGGAGAACTGGTACACTAAGTTTTTATCTTCTGCTGGTAAAGAGGTTTTAATTAAGTCTGTAGTAACTGCCCTTCCTGCGTATTGCATGTCTTGCTTTAAGTTGCCATTGAAGATTATCAAGCAGATTACTACAGTTATTCGAAGATTCTGGTGGTCATCTCAACCAGCGAAAGGAGGCATTAACTGGATCTCTTGGGATGCTTTAACAAATACAAAAGACCAGGGAGGCCTTGGAATTAGGGACTTGCAAGATTTCAACATCTCTTTACTGGCTAAGCAGAGTTGGAGACTTCTGAAATATCCGTCATCACTATTAGCCAAGGTATATAAAGCTAAATATTATCCTAAAAATACCTTATTTGAAGCAAAGCAGAAATGGAACTCAAGTTATGCTTGGAATAGCATATTGAAAGGAAACCAATTGCTTCGGAAAGGTATCAGGTGGATTGTTGGCAATGGAAATCATATTAGAGTGTGGAAAGATAGTTGGCTTCCACTTATCCCATCAATGTCACTTAATGGTCCAGGAGCTCAAGTTTACCCGGATATGAAGGTTAAAAATCTCTTTATTGACGGAACTACAACGTGGGATGACTCAAAATTACTCTCTACTTGTGATGAATCTGACATATCTTTAATTAAATCAATTCGCCCATCTGCTTCAGGCTGTCAAGATACAATTAATTGGGTGTATACGAGGCATGGAGAGTATTCAGTGAGATCAGGGTATCATCTTATAAGAGCTAGCAAAGGTCAGTCATCTAACCTGCCCATGCACTTATATAAATTCCTTTGGAAGCAAAATTTACCACCTAAAATTAAGCATTTTTGGTGGAGAGCCCTTCATGAAGCGCTTCCTGTGGCAGAAACTTTAAGGTATAAGAGGATATCTAAAGACAGCCTATGTCATAGTTGTGGTGAAGCAAATGAGTCTGTAAGCCATATGCTCTTTAACTGTCGCATTAGTAAAGAGATCTGGGAATTAGCTCCGGTGAATAATCCCTCATTTCAGCATGAAACCTCGACTAACCTATGTGACATTTATAACTCCTTTATTGAGTTAAACCGAGCAGTTTCTGATCAGTTATTACTCTTTTTTATGCTGGGATGGAGAATTTGGAAGCAAAGAAATAACATTATTTTCAATAACAAGAGATGGTCTATTCCAGATATCATTAGTAAAGCTTTGATGGATCTGAAGCTCTGGTTAGAAGCAAATGCATTGAATCAGCAAACCTTACCATCTCTTCAGCAAGCTTCAGAACATATGGAAAATCCAGGTCTGACTAATGCCCTTCTCAATATGCAACAGGTTATTCAAAATACAAGGCAATACACTTGCTTTGTAGATGCATCATGGATCTCGCATCATCAGAAGGCAGGAACTGCATGGCTTCTTTATGATTGTCATGGAAGAAAATTAATTCAAGGATCAGGTGCCATTCCTCCTATCTCCTCATCATCAGAAGCAGAAGCTGAAGCACTACGCATTGCTGTTATTAATCTTCGCAGGTTAGGATATTCAATGATCACATTCTGTGGAGATTTGCAAGTTCTTTATGGTACTCTGCAGCGAAAGCAATCTAATGGGAATTTTCAACAGATCATATCTTCCTCGCTAGCTACATATATGCAGGACATACTCAAAGTAGCCAGGACATGTAATTTTTCTTTCCTGCAGATTAATAGGCTTACTAATGCTAGTGCAGATCAAATAGCTAAAAAAGCTAGGCAAGAATCACAAAGATATGTAATCAAGTGGATGTTGTAGCTCTTCTAACAATGAAAACAAAAGGATGACCCAAAAAAAAAAAAAAAAAAAAAAAATGTGAAATTAATTTGGTTTGCTCATATCTTATGTTTTATAAGATACACATGATTGAAGAATTATTTAATAAATAAAAATATGTACTGTTCACACATCCTCACGATCTAATCTCACCATATTCTTAAGAAGCCTCCAAAACTAAAACCACAGACGAGTTTTGGCAACTATTGATTTAAAATTTCTTAGTATTTGCTATTATATCGGAATATTTACGATAATTGATTTGCACGATAGCTAACAGACCGTGGTTTATTTTCAGTTGACTAATATTTTGGACTCGAAATCTAAATCAAGAAAATCATTAAGAGGTTATAGCAGCCTGTTTGACTTGCAAACAATTTTGTAATAATTATAACTAGAAATAGAGTTTTTGCTCCAAAAAACAAAACAACAAATTGAGGAGTCAAGAGGGAAGACTTGTAATATGAAAATCTAATTTAGTGGAACCCTACGTTCACGTACTCCAAAAGATTTTACCAATGTGTAATTTTGAAATATAAATATAAATGTAAAAAAAAATGAAAACGACTCTAGTCAATGGGGAATAGAAGTTTTGGTGTATTTCTTTTCTTTTTTGTTTGTGGTTGGCTATATATTTAAAAGAAAAAGATGTGTTCTGCTGTAACGATGTGATTGGTAGATCTCCCTCGTGGCTTTGGGGTCAAGCTACAGCCTTGGTCAATCTCATGCAATCGACATTACAAAACCCACTGGACCTACTCTCTTTATGCCATTTGGCTTCCAACTTCATTATCCTCCACCGATATGCGATACATGCACATGTATCATTTCACATATACATGTAAGTACACAGGACTTGATGAATATATGCATTAAGGCATATATCTCATATAGTCGAAAAACATGTGTGTTGCATCATTGAGTTTGCGTTATTGATCATTTGAAACGTTACCTTAAGTTATGAGTTTTGATATTAGAGAACAAAGTGAAAAATCCTCAGTGTGAATCTGTGAATGTGAATATAACCCCAATAGTCTTAAAGTGTTACTGTAATATTTTTGAGTGTTAATCGTTGAGATATGCTAGATATTAAATCCTCAATGTTATTATGTAGAGGGCAGAAATTATCTTGTGTATATATCTCTACAGGAAGGAAAAATTTGAAGACAGAATCCCACTGTGTTGAGCAGATATATTTCAAATCAAACAGTTGTAGTATTAAACTTTTCTCCTAGCTAGTTATGAAAAAATGAGTTAGATTTTACAATGTAACAAAAGAATATACCAAGGAAACATCACAATCACTGGAGTCAAATTAAGATCATATCAATTCAAATGCTTAGCTATGATCTTCTTTTGATTCACCAACCATAACTGTTGTTCTTGCAACACAGATTGCTGATGTACCACTCCATTTTCTGAAACTGTCTCTCCGAACCCAAAACTCTCAAATGTTGCAAATGGGTCAAAGTTCACCGGCAAAATCCCTGTGGCCTTGAACGTTGGCGTAGACGACGGCTCAAAATCTTCAGGAACGTCTACCTGAAACGTAGGTTCCGGCTGAAACTCCGTCACAGCCAAGGCATTGAACGTGGTCATCGGTTCTCCAGCTGGCCCAGCCAAGGGCGCAGCTGGTTCTTCCAAGAATGGATTGTATTGGTCCATGGCGGCTTGAGACGCAGGCACTGGACTGTCTAATTCGAACGGTACTATCGCCATAGAGTTAGTATCCTGAACTTGCGTAGCTGTTTCTTCCAGCGCAAGCAACCAATTCCCTGAATCCGTGTGATCCTCAGAGGTCGAAGGTTTTTCGGGAATCGTTTCTATGTTCTTCCTGGGATCATCTCTCAACATCAAGGCCTCCCAAGGATCAAAAGTTTCCGCCTTTGAATCTTCCTGCTTCTTCTCGTCCTCGACATGTTTTGTTTCCGTGGTGTTATCAACATCATCCAACAGGTTTAATGTGAGACTGGAAGCAGAAACAGAGGGGTTGTTCGGAAGAGATTTAGTCGAAACCGTGTCGAAATTACGATCGTCTCTTCCTCCTCCGTAAGGCTCGGAGTGACAAGACATTGGAGGGCTACTAGTCCCTGCTTCAGTCCTGCTCATCAGATCCTCCAATGAAGTACTACGAAACGACCCGTAATCCGAATATCTCTCCGACGTATCAATCGTCGAATCACCAAAATCAAGCGAGCTCGAATCTTTAGACGAATGAGGCGGAGGAAGAAGACTATTCGGCGACGGATACAGCCCCGCGCTCGCCGGGAACGAAGATTGATCTTTTAAAAACTCCTGCAACGTCTCTAGAAGCTCTAGCGAGATCTTTTGAACGCTCGGATACTCCGACGTTCGTCCTACGCCGTTGGATTTGCAGAGATCGTAGAATCCGTTAAGCTCTTGGAACTGTTTCGAAGCTCGAACGCAGGCTTGAAACGCGTGGATGCAGGATTGGTATTGAAGATGGAAGAAACTGTCAAGAAGTAGAGCTAATCCGTCGGAAATGTCTCTGTAGAGATCGAAACTCTCTTGCGCGACGGCGTAAAGAGACATCTTCACCAGCTTGTTCGATTTCGCGTCTCCCGTTGGCCGCGTCGCGATCGCTCTGTCTAGTAATCTCTGCCAATACGTGATTTTGTCCAGGAGCATTACCGGTTTCATGTCTCGGACCGCCGGTTCGTGGGATTTATTCGCGGTTCTGGGAGTAAACCGGGATCTGGAGGAGGAGGTGCTGATTCTTCCGGTTTGGTCCCGGTTGTTAGTGTACCGTCTCTGTAATTTCCCGGTGAGGAAGCAATCGAGCCGTTCGTCGAGGTAGAGCGCGAATGTACGGACGAAAGCGGTGAAATCCCAAGGGCACGAGTTCGAATCGTCGCGGAAGCTGGAGAGGTTGAGGATTTTGGCGCCTCGTTTCATGGCGTGGAGGACTTCGCGCGGGAAATAAGGATCTCCGTCTTGGAAAATCCGGAGGACGAGGACTAGGGATTTGAGCGCGACGATCCAGTTCCGTGTCCGCCCGATACGGCGACCGATCGCGGCGGCGCAAGCGGCGGCATGCGATTTCTTCGAGGTTATGATCCCGAGGATTTCGGATACGAGTCGATCGTCGATTGGGACCTCCTCGTCGTGGCTCGTCGCCTTGAGAATCGCTACCTCGAGAGTCGTGAGATCGCCGCCTCCTCCGGTAGCTCCGCTGGCGACTTTCGCGAGGCTGATGCTCGTCTGATCCTTGACCGCTCCAATCGCTTTTTTCAGCTTGCTCGGCATTGTCGTCTCCTCGCGCTCTCGTCTTCTTCTTCTTCTTCCTCTGCCTTTTCTTAATCACTTTGGTTAACCACGGAGGGAGAATTAGACTAAATTACAAAATTAGCTCTTTTCTTGTTTTCATTTGATGGAAGAAACAAAAAGATTTATTACTCTAATTATGTGTTTCTCTCTCTTAGGAAAAAAATTTCAACTTTTTTCTTTGTCTTCTAAATATAAAAGAGTGGAAGACAGAATTAAATGGCTGGAGACTCTCGGGACTCTTTCAAGACATGACAAAGATACACGTTGACTTTACATCACAGAGACTTCCATTAATTCACACACGCGCGCTTTTTTGTTAGGAGCATTCATAGAATTGTATTTCAATTTCGAAAACAAAAGCGCTATTATGAATCTTATGATTTTTTTTTCTTATCAAAGTAGATATCAATCTTGTGATAAAAAAATGTATATATTATATTTCGTAGATAAATGAAATTATGTTACAGAATTTTGTCAAGTGATTCGACTAAAGTATTATTATTTCACGATTTATATAAGTTTGATGAGTTATGTTCGTATAAGTTAAAATCCAATGACAAGCTGGTACGTTACTTTTAGAACTAAAAGAGTGGCTCGCATCTTTTATCTTCAATATTCAATATCTTAGGCGAAAAGATAATGTTTACGTTTCTTATTTATTTATTTTTTTTGCTGTAGACGTGCAAACCATTATATATGATATTTATAGATCATGAGTTGTTAACAAGAGGCTTGTGAGATAGACCATGGAAAAAATTTACTCACGATCAAAGAATGTTTCAGCGTGGATTGATAGCTTTCTTTTATTTTCACTTTCACTTTGAAATTGACCATATAATGATAGATTCTTTTTGCTTCTCGTAATTTCTCCTATGATAACAATTGGACGTGAATATTACGCCTTTTAAACGTGTCCAGAGGTCACTAAATGAAACTAGGATTTCCACAAATCTAGTTTAGAGAAATGGTGTGCTCAAGAAGAATTTAAGTTGTGTGTATGATGAAGTTTGTGGTTTAAGGAAATGTTGACTAGGAAAGCTAGATTGGATTAACAGAAGCAGCCACGGCGAGTCTGATAATTGGTCAATGAAACAAAAACCAATTCATGAATAGGCACAAGAACCAATATATATATCTGCTCCTCTGCATCAGCCCTTCTTTGAGGAACAAGAGCAGCTTAGGTTCGGTGTATATTATTGATAGAAGAAATAGTATAGCCACCACGCTCTAAAATACTGTTTCAGGAGCTGTACAGTTTTTTTGGCAAGAGAGCTTTGTTATATTATTCGAGACAGTTGTTTTCATATACAGTTTGATGATGACTGAATCAGAAGTAATTTTAGAGTCGAGCAGAAATAATAATACTATAATAAAAAAAAAGTCTTGCATGTAAAACCTAAGAGCGTAAAGAAAGTATCAAAGGATTCATAAATCAAATCTGCTTCTATCTAAAGAAAAAGGCACACTAGCTAGCCGAGTCCGAATCAAGACCCCAGAAGGGCAAGTCAATATTTTCACACATCTTTGCAGCTAGGGGCTGATCCCTGAGGTGATACAAAACAAAACAGTTAAGAAGAAAGAGATGTGACTATAGTTATAAGTAGGAGGACACAGACTCACAGTCATAATGGAGGACAAGTCAAGGAGAAGATTTTTACCTCTTCTTCAGGCTCGCACTTCACAGGATCAGCTCTAAACGCCATGGGGAGTCTAATAGGCTCTCTTCTATCATCCAAACTGTACAAAAAAGTAAACAAGACAACATCTTAGATAATGAAACATCGATATTAACTTACGAAATACCTTTAGACTTTTGTATAAGAGAAGCACGTTTTGGACACTTCATCTGCATCGTCCATCTTAGAACTTGATTTCAAGGCAGAAGTAGTAGTGTATCTCGACGGAGATCGCTGCAACTGCGGCTCTTTGATCGGAGGAAGGCGACCTTGGAGAAAACCAGAGACGGCGTTATCGAGATCCCAGCTGAAACCTTCGAGGAAGAAGAATGCTAATTCACGAGACTCATTCGTTGCCTTGCAGAAGCTGAGGATCGGATCATTTTCCCCCGGAGAATGCTTCGTCTTCATGTTTGTAAAGGGGTTTCTCAGGTTTATTGTTATAACAAAAATATATTCTTTCAATGTTCTAACAAAATATATTCTTTCAAAGTTCTAACAAACAGAGCTATATTTAAGGAGATGATAAGTCTCGTAGGTTTAGTGTTCCATCGTAAAAAATAACTTTTTTTTCTCTTTGAGCCCACGTTAAATACAGATTGAAAACAATTAAAAAAAAAAAAAAAAAATTGGCCCACGGAACACACTCTCATTCTTCCATCAAGGAAACTGATTTGGGACGGCGAATGCTCTCGCAGCCAGGACAGTTGTGTAAGCTCTCGTGGATGTATATGTCGCAGTCCAGACAGAAGTAGTGCTTGCAATTACGACATGTTACGCATGCCCCCTGCTTGTTCCCTGCACAAAACAAAAGCACCAATGAGCCTTTATATTCGAGCGAATGGCTCTCGGTTGATACACTTGTGTTACGAAAACTGCGGAGATACACATCGGCAAAACAGCACAACCTTAAACAAGGTGTTAACTAAGCCTGTCTTTACTTATGTTCAAACAATTATGCGCTTTATATATACCTGCACCAAGTAGGCTCTGTTGGCAACCAAAACAACACTTTCCCAGTTTTCTCCGAGAATCATTCAGACTTGAAAGCGTAGGAACCTCATCAAATGGAGCAATTGGGAAGAGATGATGGTATGATCTAGCAAGATGTGGCGACGAAACAAGTGTCAGACCACATATTGTGCATTCCGTAGGGAGCTCACATACACGAGCTTTGCATCTCGGGCACGTGTAACCAGCTCCGATCTTAACGTCCTTATGACACGAACATATTGCCATTGAACCCTCAGCAGCTCTCTGTGGGAAACCCATCTTGATTAAATTTGCTACGGCAAATTCTGCTATTGCCGGAGGTGGAGGCGCATGTTCGAGCAGAAGATCCTTTAGATGTACCTGCGTCATAGAAAATAAGACACAAAACATACGCGAGAAACTTCCATTTCAAATTTACAAAGTTGAAAGTAGAAGGTAACTAAACTCACCTCATCTACTGCAACGGAGTACAATCCACCCGTTTCTTGGCATAGGTGTTTGCATATGAACATCTCTGCAGAAAGCCCGATTACAGAACATCTTAATTTTGATTTCTTGCATTTCTGAATGGTCTCCATGATATCTCCTGGATCACAGGTGCATAGAGCTGAATAGAGTATCAGAACCTCGCGATGACCATAAGACGGAACCTGGTTGAGATGCTCATGTACAAGTTCCAGGGCGTTCTGCAAAGAGGAGTCACCCAAAGCTTCCAGCTTTCCCATCAACGCTTGTATGTGTGACTCTGGACTACCACCAAGATCTGTTAGGGTATGCGCAACTCCATTTTTTATAGAGACCAAACCGATCTGACTCAGAGGGTTCTGGTCAAAGAACTCTCTTATGAAAGCTTCAACATGTTTTGCCATTATGGCCATCCGGCTTGGTCTGAAATCCGTTTCCGCAGCAGCCTAAACACCACATAACAGACCAAGAGTAAGACATTGCATGTCACGGAGCTAAAGACATTTAAACAACCATGTGGTAAGACAAGCTTCCTCCAAGTTGAATCCAAAATCATAATCTTGCCAGAATCTCAAATAAAAGAAAGTAAGGATCTTCACAAGAAACAGTATCTCCATTTTCAAACGCTCTTACCAACAATAAAAAAAAACCAACTTATTATAGTGAGTTTATCATTACAAACAACACAGAGCCACCTATAATCACTGTTCAGAAGAGGAAAGTGTAGAGATCTCGTAAACTCAAACGAAGATTCAAAAGTAGAAGCAGAGTACACTGCTCTATATATAACCCCAAACCTCATAGTTTCTCTTCTCGCAATCAACTCAATCGAAACGGCATTGAAATTCAAATAATCAGCAACTCAATTCCATAAAAAGGAATAGAAATTTACCCGAGAGAAGTCAATGACGATGTAGAGATAGCGAATGAGGCCCTTTTGGATGCGAGTACCAGCGGCGGCGGCGGAGAGTATGCGGAGGCGGCGGCGATACTGAGCATGGTAAATGGCACTGTTATCAATTGGGCGTAAAAGTCCAGACTCATCCTCTTGCAACGCCTCCCAGGATCTGTCGTCAACGTAAGCTCTCTCCCACTCGCCGATGCCTTCTGCATCTTCCTCGTCATCTTCTTCTCTTTCTCCGTTTAATCTCTTTCTTTGATTACTCATCATCCTTTACCTCTCCGCAAAAAGACCTCCCTCCTAGTTGCAAAATAGACCAGAACCACAATTGAAACAATTACATAACAACCCTTAGTTATTATAACATTCACAATTTAAGCCATAATTTCCTATTTGTGTCTATAAACTCCATGACTTCAATGCAATCTGGAACTAATTAGAAAAACTTTATTTATACAAAACTTCATTAATCACTCAATACAATAAATTTTACAAGCAACATTGAAACTTGATACAGTCTTACAGCAAAATGTGATATTTTTACCTAAGATCTTATATCTGACATACATATAGACTCTTGTTTGTATTTTCTCTATTGATATAATAACACGTTTATCCAAAGTTTCAGCCTTTTTAAGATTTGGGTCCCAAAATTCTTGAAAGCTCCTTCAAGATTGGTTTCTCCTTGATACTACCATCGTTATTCTCAATATGCCACTTCTTCGACATGTTTTCCGCCTGAAATTGTAGTCTTTCGGGTTAGTATTAATGGTTATGACCCAATTTTGTTGAACAAAGATGAAGATGCAAGCATCATTTTTAGCTTACCCAAGTTCTTAGGGGCTGTACTTGTTCTTTCATTGACTCCAGTTTTGGCTGAAAAAGATCTTTGCCTTTCGTTCTTACGTCATCAGCCTACCATAAAGAAAATGGTTTTATTTCAAGATCAGTCAAGCGAGCTTACAAATGCGAATCTAAAAGATTTATGTAAGAACAAAGAAACATTTGCAATCTTACATTACGCATGTCAAGTTTCGAGGCTGCTGTTCCCAAAACCAAAGTGGCTGAGCCAAAGATGATAACAGTAGCGGCTGCAAATGCTTTTCCAACTGCAGACACCAAAAACAAAAACACAGGGCTCAAGGTTAGGCAAACTTTGCAAACACTAGGTTTACGGAAGAAAGCGGACAAAAGCTCTGTTTCTACACAAGCAAGAACAAAAGACAATCACATCTTGTTTTAATCTTGTTTACAGTTTCTTGGTGGCAGAAACTACAACACAGAACGATACTTGAGAAGAATACTAATACACTTACAAAAAACTGCCAGAACTGCCTGATGTAAGTTTTGCTGAAAGTGAAATGCTTAAATAATATTTTTCATCACAGTCAATAACAGACACCCAGAATGCTTTTGTTAACACTACACTCATGAACCCTAGCCATTGGAAAATTCTGATTCTCATAACAAAAAAAAAGGTTCTCTAAAGAAGACTAAAGATGCTGGAACCTCAATGGGATTACTACCATTGCAATCCTACAGGGTATAGTAGACACTAAACTTATGAACCCTAGCCCCAGGTAAATTCTGACTTTCAAAACAAAAAACGGTCCTCTAAAGTAAGCTGGAACATCACCGGAACTACCACATATGCAACCCTACAGGGTGTAGAAGACAAGCATTGGAAAGCATTTTACATGATAAACATAAGCTATAATACCAATGTTTCTATTGCCATCCATACTGTACAAGCTGCATATATACACTTATACATAGTGTTCAGTTGGACGCAAAAGCAAGGAAGTATTAACATAACACATCAGTATTGCAATCTCTCTGCCTCTATCAAACACCCCAAATCGACGCAAAACGCGTTCTCTGTAGATAAGATAACTCTCCAGTGTCTGTGAATCCAGGTTCAAAGAGATTGATTTTCCAGGTAAACAAAGAAGAAAAGTGAACATACTATGTTGAAGCCCTTCACCAGCAGCTTTCAGTTTTTCAGGATTTAAAGGAGTGTCGTATCTGTCTCTCCTCAATTCATTAGCTGTTGACGCCAAAACCGAATTCTCAGAATCCGGCAGCTCCCATCTGCAATTAAATCGACCCAAAATTACCAGCAAAAATCGACATCAAAAAGCGAGAATTGTGAAATTCCCATCAAGTAAAACGGAATATAAAACCCTAACTGCGATAAAGTTTGGACCTTCTGCGGCCGAACGTGACCTGAGGCAGAGACACATAACCTCTGAGAGGATTCAAGACGTCAGGCGAAATAGAAACGGCTGCGTTCGGGTCGGATTCAAGAGCCCATTTAGAGAATTGGGAAAGGGAGGAAGGGTCAGGAGGAGGACCATAGATTCTAGGAGGAAGAGAATGGCGTAGAATCTCCGGAAGAACGTCGGGTTGAATATCCGGTGGATCCGCCGGAGAAGATGGAAGCTTCTTGGCGGTGGCCGGAGATTTCTCTGCGATACGATTAACAGCGTGCTTGGATTCCTGGAAAAAGTAGGCAGCTTCTTTTCCCGCGAGTCTCCCTGCAAGAAAACTCATTTTCTTTTGTTGTTTTCGGTCCTCTTCGCGCCGCTATTTATACATCATCTATCCTTTTCGGTGGAGTAAAACAAATTTTCAAAAGATAAGGTTTTTTATATAAAGAATAAACAAAAAATTTGGGATTATAATACGATTTCACAGCCTTGGAGATCAAGGTTGACGATGGGAGCAGATTGGATAATTTCCACTTTCTTGTAGAGAAGCTCTTTTGACTTTCAACCAGAGGTTGAAGGAAAGAGACCAACTTTACTTTCTTACCAAGGCGAGATCAATGGACATTGATTGATTCACATGGACAGCAAATTGTCCACAGTCTCAAAACAACGGTTCTGAATCATTATCAACTATATATCTCCTCAACAGGACGACCAATGAGCTCATACAGATTTTAGTGTGACGAGTATCTATTACTTTTATTCCGAGCCAAGGACAAACCCGAGATCATCACGGTACCCTTTAAACCCATTTCGTCAAAGGGCCTTGCTGCTTCATCCAGATTTACCAGAAATGAATTCTCTGAATATGAGCGACGTGTGAGTATATGAATTCGGGACCATCCCTTTGGCTTCCATGTCAAATTTAGTTTCCGAGCTTCCTTTACCTTCCGTTTAAGGCCTCACGCCTCTATCAGAACAACCATTGCTTTGCATCATCATATTGTTTCGATTTACTTAAAAGGCTAGCTAGCAATCGTGTTAAAAATTATAAGTAAAAACATCGGCTTGAAAACCTTAAACACCCCGTCCATGAGCACACTGTGAGAGTGGCTACTCGGTGAAAGACTCTTCTCTATCAATTCAACGAACAACAAAAAACTGCTCTTTGAATGTTCCACTTTTTTGCAATTCTAACTTATAGAGAAGTATACACAAGAATGTCTGATTGTATTCCTCTCTCTGCATCAACCAAAATGCCATTATACGCCACTAAGCCACTTTATACACAACAGAGAAATATCTCGCCGATACTCAACCCTTTCCCAGAAATGTAATCGAAGATCCTCAAACTCACTTCGAACATCCCGTTGTCCGCATAAACCCTATACAACAAATCGAAAAACTCCTCCCAAAATTCAATCTTTCTTCGCCAACTACGCAATCCACCATCGCCAAACACAAACTCTCAACTGGGCGCCCGTAAAACCCATGGATAGCAACCGAATTCGACAGAGAACACATTACTTTGAGCTCACCGGCGGAGTAAACTGGCGAGATAAGGTCACTACTGCCGTGAGAACGGGTTTAAATCGGGATTCAAATCGATGGAGAAAGTTGACCGCGAGAGTTTTCCAGAAGTTATGTTTCGTATCTCAGATGTTCATTATCTGTTGGAGAAAACAGAAGAAAAGAGATATCTGTAAACAAAACTGATAACTCTTGCCGGTGACGGCGAGAGAGTCTTGTGAGTTGTGACCCATGGCTAATGCCTTGACGTCAATGAAACGGCGTCGTTCCAATTTAAAACTGAAATTATTATTTTTTCCTTATTTTTTGGTCAAACAACACAATACACCCAAACTTGAGAAGGAAAACAAAAAAAGCAACTAATTACGCTTAATAAAAGCCATTACATTTGTTCCTCGCATCTTTTTGTTGTTCTTCGATCTAAAATAAATACGATGAACTAAAACTGTATGTTTGTACAATCATATTATTGAATCACGCATCATCTTATAAACATATTTACTAAGTATTGAGAAGAAATGGAAAAAATTTGGATAAATCCTACATTAAAAATGTGTAGTAGATATACATATGTGATATATATCTATGTGGTTTAAAAAACGAAGAGAGAGAGAGTGTGTGTGTGTGTGTGTGTTAGGGAAACTAATTATTGTATATCCGTCATCGCTTGTTGTGCAAAGGATTTGATCCCGTCTTAACCTTCCTTTTCTCCGGTAATATTTCACCGGCGCCGATGGCCGGCAGAGTTGACTGAGAAGGGAGAAAACCTCTGCTTTCGGTAGAAGGTTTTGAGGAGAAGCGTCGTCTTTCAACGTGAATTCTTGAAGCTTTAGATAAAACAACGAGGATGAGAAAACCAATGAGACATAGAAGACGACCCGGATTCATATTTTTATTTTTGTAATAAGAACAAGAAAACTGTTTTTATTTTCTTGAAGAATGTTTCTCTTTTTTTTTTTGAGAATGAGAGAGAGAGAGAGAGTATGATTATGAGAAATGAGGAGGTGTGTGATGCACAAACTTCCATATGTGTTGTTACGAGCGTGTATATAATTGCATTTTATTTAGGGATTAGGTATAGACATATATGGTCCACTTCATAAAGTTTCTTCTTTGTCAACATAATTTTTTTTAATATATTTTACAGTGTGTATATATACAAGTTTGAGGTGCCATTATAGTCAATACATTACGTAACTAGAAAAATATTTTACCATTTTATGTCACACATGCATACTACCATATTTTAAATCTTAAAGCGTTTGTTGATAACCAAAATTTAAACATGAATGTAATTAGATGGAACTTTGATTAGCAGTAATAAAAAGAGAGAAAATCATTATTTGTTTTTTTAAGTAAGTAAAAATAAATATTTTATGAAACTGGCAGTAATTTGAAATGTAGAGAATATGATAAATATAATGGTGAACGGTGAACCCCACTTCCCACCTAAAAATGGCCGGTTTAAAAGTGAGTATTGATTATAGATGCAACGATTTGAAATTCAGCTCAAATTGAAAAACAAAACAAAATATCCAGTGGCAATAAATGTGGGAGTTCACACACACATATAAATACAGGCATCTCTATAAATATACAGTATATATACTAGAAATTTACCATGCGGTTGTACATATTAAATTCCAATTTGAAATTTTTAACCATAAACAATTGATGTCAAAAAAAAACCATAAACAATTGAATTGTTGATGAAAAAAAAAAGAACGAGTGGATTTGTGTTTTCTTCCATCCAATTGGGGTATTTTGGTGAAAAACTAAAGGAGAATTTTGTATTGATCGATTGTTTTCTTAATACTCTTTTTTGGGTAAAATTTTCTTAATACTTTTCACATGAAAAACGTAAACTTTAAACATATCAGAGTTTGCTACTTACGCGTGAGTATAACAAAGCTTTTAAGGTGAAAGTATTCGTATGCAGAATGATGAAGCTTTGAATAGCGACATGATTTGTTTGAATCTCATAATTAAGAATATGAAATACAAGAGACAAAAAGTTACTTCTAAAGTTGCATATTTTTGTTGACCTTTTAGAAACGAGTCCGGAAAAATCTCCCTTCGTTTTCTCCAAAGACTAAATTCAAAGTCATGATTATCAATAAAAGAAATACAACCTATAATTTAAATATTTTAGCTAATGAAAACGACGTTGGTCTAAGGCCGATGGATAGTAGATTTACAAAATATCTGATGTTTAATTTTAACAAGGACTATTGATGCAAAATACTCAACATTAAACTGTTTGCGGTGGTTATATTGTGAATTGAATTGTCTATTTTCATAGTTTGCTGCTGATTCAAATATCAAATGTTGCCGACCATGAGTGCAACATTGACGAATTAATTGCAACATAAACAAATCTAGTTCGACCAAGATATGTAGTGTGATGGTTTGTGCCTGATATGTTATGACCATGTTCAAATTTGAATTGCCACATCAGTCACGATTAGTCCATACAAACGGTGAACATGATGATTATGAACCTACTGAATCCTGTGTGCGTACGATGATTAAAATGGTCAAATTGATGCTAACTCATTAATTTCCCTGGGTTATTTACTATGGAGTCACAAAGCATATAAATTTGTCTAGGCAATACTTTGTCGGTAAAACTGTAGCTAAAGCAGCAATGAAACATTATTGTAATTATCTACGCGTTTTCGAAGTTTAATTAGGTCAACAAAATTGAAGTCAAAGCTTCAAAGCAAGTTAACGTAGCTAATAAATAGCTAATTCACAACACTGCTCCGCCTGCTGTCAGTTTATATTATTCTAATCTGCGTTGACAAACTCTTCTCTACTATCTGACTAGCTCGTATAATTGTGTAGCTCATATAGATCAATAAAATTTTAGTATGGGTTATATTTATTGTTTTAGTTAGGTAACGCCACATACTTTCACATGAGCTTAAAAGTCATCTTCTTCTGCAAGAATTTATTTTTCTGCCTTGTGCAAGAATGTTTAGTTTGTGAAGCTATTTTTGAAAAGAACTCTGCATATTCTGCATATGATTTCATATTTTGAAACCCAAAGTTTATTGATCTATATGAGCTACACAATATGCGTATTTCTTAAAGAAGCATACAATTTGCTATTGTTTTGTTGCAAAGTTCACTAATAGTTGGCATTAACATTGTTAAAACACCGATTCACAATTACACGAGTAGAACTAAGATCCCTTTTACTGAATCCTAGAGTTTCCTAAGCAACCTGAACATTGCATTTGGTTTTAGCCATTTGACTTGGTGGCTCCTTCTCTCCATCCTTTTTGACGAGCTCTCTCTTCCCACTTAGATGTTAGTTTTTTCTGCTCGGCGAGTGCTAATTCCGCTTTTTCCCTAGCTTCTTCACATGTTTCCATACCCGAATTGCACTTATCTGCTTCCTTTTGGTATGACGAAGTTACCTTCTTGGCCTCTAATAGCCCCATGTCTGCTCGTTTGTGTTTTTCTAAAGATTCTGCTTCACGAAGCTTCAGCTCATCGGTTAGAAGCTCAGCATAGTTCTTCTCGGTGTCTTCGTTCATCTCTGGATCATGCTTCGCGCAATCTACACGTCAAATACGATGATTAAGACTAAGACACACATTACTGAACTTTAATGACTCTTAAACTGATACAGTTGCAGAAATGCACTTCACAATTAACTCACCAGCAAAAGAAACATTGCTTAGTTCTGCAAGAAGAAAGGAAACAAGTTAAATAAAAAAAAGGATCAATCTTTCGGATTTGGTGACATCCGAAAAAGAATTTAAAGCTCGGCTTATCGAGAAAGATAGATTAACTTAAGAAATCTGTTAATAAAATATGAGAACAAACATTACAGACAGTAAAATTCAATCAACCAAATCCGTAAAACAAACGCAATGCATACTCCACACAAACTGCATTGTTCTTTTGAACTGCTATGACCTGAACACTCGCCAGCAAAATTCAAGTACCATATTCCGAGAATTTAAGAGATCATAACCTGGACCGTTACTGTCGTTTTGGCCTCGAGCAATAGGAGAAACAACAGTGTGGACAACTGAGGAAATCTTTCGTGATACTTGATGGTTCAAAGACACAAGTGTTAAACCACAATTCTCGTAGATCTACACTTAATTAGTACGCTAATTATAGTTGTCTATCCATATGTTCTCAGATTCAATCTCAGGAACAAACCAAAAATTCATACCACCTAGTACAAATCGTTAGTTCCAACAGCTATATTACCAAATTTTGATATAAGAAAACAGAAATCAGCTTTGATGCACACACAAGAAGTTACTAAATCCCAATCTCTGCAAAAATCAAAAAGAGCATACTTTCCCCATAGATTTACCAAGATCTAACCACGGGCACAGATTTTTTTACCCCAGCACGAAGCAAAATTGCAACTTGTATAACCTTTAGGAATCGTGAGAAGAGGCTGGGAAGAGCAATCACAGGTGCAGAGAGGACAAGAGGAGGCTGAAACGGCGGAGGAATGGCTAACGGCGGCCAAAGCCTCAGTGAGATGCCAGTAGAGAGGAGGACCAAGAATGTAACCCACCATGCTCAGCCCCAGCAAAGCTAGCCCGACCTTCAATGCCGCCGCGTGACTCGCCGCCATTAACACGAGATCCGTCGACCTGGGTCTTCGTAAAGAGTCGATCTTTCGGTGAGTGTGAAGGAATCTCGAACTGGGATTGGCTGGAATTTCAGCTGTCTGATTCGATAACGTAGAAAATTTGGCGAGCGAAGCGGTTTTGTTGACAGGATTTTGACTCTCTGCCTCTCTAATTTCGTCGACAGTTGCTCTATTGATTAGGCACATGACAAAGTGGCAAATCTACCCATAAAGTTAGTTAGTGAAGCATCAAAAATGCAAAAAAATTATTACACTATAATTTTTAAGGTATTTAATTTTAATAATTACCTTTCTTTTGACCAAGAAACAAAAAACATTACCTTTCTGATAATCTTATGTAAAACAAATATCTGCACTATTGACAAATATTGTTTGAAATCCAATTTATTACATGACTCACTCCAATGTTTCAGAATTTTACAATGTTCTAATTTCTAAGGGAGGTAAAAGAGAATGAAAACCTTGAATATCTAACTTCTAAGAAAAAAATAAAATACAAAGAAGATTCATTTTCTAAATTTCCGTTATCATTTGACCCAAAACAAATTCCCTAGTGGAAAAAAAGTAAAAGATCCATGAATGAGTGTTGACCCAAAAAAAAAAAGAAAAATGAATGAGCCATAACCGTTTACACATTGTATGTATAGGTTCAAAGAGAACCAATTTGGGTGTGGACGGATCGGATAAACCGGTTTCGATACGGTTTTCTGGTTATCTGCGGTTAAAATTGATCTCAGAAGCTTTTGGGCAATGCCTCACATGGCTGGTCTCTTCAAATTCATGTGTTTAATCACAATCATCCTTGGATTTTAGAGCGTTGTTGACAGATAGGGACACTCAGAATCTCACGTTTTCGAAACCTCAGATTCCTTACGAAATGGCGACGGAGATCTCGTTGGATCTGATTAACCAACTAAAGGTCTCTCTTCGAAAGGAAGCCAAGCTCTCCTCCTTGGATCCTGTCGGCGATTACACGGATTCCTCTATCCCCAGCCTTCCCACAGCCGCGGAGGCAATCTCAGAAGTCGATGCTTCGGCCTCTTACCTCCGTTGCCGGAACTGCAAAGGAAAGCTTTTGCGAGGGATCGAGTCTCTAATCTGCGTTTTCTGCGGCAAGCAGCAACGGACGAGCGATAATCCTCCTGATCCCATCAAGTTTACCTCCACCTCTGGTTACAAATGGTTTCTCAGCTCTCTTAATCTGGATGGATCGGTAAAACATCAATATCGTTCATACAAATTTTTTTTTTTCCGTTTTCGGATTTTTGCTGGGAAATACTTTTTCATTATGTTGATTATGCATTGCCTGGAAAACATAAATTTCATTGCTTTTCTGTGAACAATTTTTGGTACTTAAAGTTAGTCGTTAGATGTAGAATTTGAGGTGTTGTGAATTGATTTCCATCTGCAGGAGATGGTAGAGCCACTGAAGGAAACGAATGGATCAAGCAGAGGAGCTAAGGCACCCGTAGTAAAAGGAATTGCTGTGTCTAAGTTTCTTGATTTAGAAATACAATGGTCTGCTAGAGAAGAAAAGTCTCTAAACAATGGACCTGACGATGGACAATCAGTAGAGAATAAAAACCCTCTTAATCTAGGAGGAGTTAATCTTGACGATTATTTCGTTGAAGGAAGAGGAGTTCTTCCCAAAGTGGACCCGGTAGAGAGCGAACCCAAACCCGTGGAGGATGATTTTAAGGACCCCCGTAGTCTTAGCTTGTTCGATAGTGTAAAGAGTCAGGGAGATGTTGAATCAAAGCAGTATGAAAGTGTTGGTTTGTTTAAGGGAGAAGATGTCCAGAAGAATGTTTCATCTGAAGAACATGAGAATCTTAGTTTGTTTGCGGGACGAGATCCCCAGGATAGTGTTTCTTTAGCAGAGCAGGGAAAATTTGGGTTCTTTGAGGAAAAAGATGCTCGGCACTCTTCTAAAGAGAATGAAAACCTTAGTTTGTTTGAAGAAAAAGATGCTCAGAGAACTAGTTCTTCTATAAAGGATGAGAGCTTTGGATTCTTTGAGGGTAAAGATGCTCAAAGAAATAGCGCTTCTAAAGACGATGAGAGTTTTGGTTTGTTTGAGGGTAAAGCTGCTCAGAGAAATAGTGCTTCTAAAGAGGATGGTAATCTTGGTTTGTTCGAGGGTAAAGATGATGGTCAGAGAAATAGTTCTTCTAAAGAGGATGGAAATTTTGGTTTGTTTGAGGGCGCACCATCATCAAATGCTGTCCTCAAGTCTTTCGATGACAAAGTTGTTGCCTCTTCTTCGGATCGGGATTCTGACTTTCAATCTGTTTCCCCGAAGAAAATTAATGGCGATCCATTTGTAAGTTCTCCGGTTGATTTGGCTGCTCATATGGATTCTGTCTTTGGTTCCGGAAAAGATTTACTGTATGAAAAAACAGCAGATTCTTCAACAGCGTATGTTTCCAAAGCTGATGACTGGTTGCAAGATGATTTATTTGGTAGTGTTACTGGAAAGCCCCAAAACAACGACCCAGCTGTCCATGATAAGAATGAGGGACAGGTTGTGGGCCGCAACGAAAGTTCATCCATGGATATTGATTGGATTGGAGATGATCTATGGCAAACCAGTGAAAAGAAACCAACTGAAAAGAAACCTACAGATGATAATGATGATGACGCTGGCTGGAATGATTTTGCAAGCTCGGCTAACTGTAAGACTCCTGATAATTGGATAGGAGATGATCTATGGCAAACCAGTGAAAAGAAACCCATTGAAAAGAAACCTACAGATGATAATGATGACGACGATGACTGGAATGATTTTGCAAGCTCGGCTAACTCTAAGACTCCTAATAACCCGCTTTCTCAAACTATGGAAAGTTCCCAAGAGGAGTTTTTTGATGGGCTAGCGCATGTTAAGAACGATGTTAAAGAGCAGAGCAAAGATGAGAAGCAGAATACGGGTCCAAGCGTAATATATGGCGTAGCCAAAGGTCAAGAAGATGATCTCTTTGGAACTTGGAATAGTTCATCATCTCCAATCCAGTCAATGGATATTGATTGGATTGGAGATGATCTATGGAAAACCAGTGAAAAGAAACCCATTGAAAAGAAATCTACAGATGATAATGATGATGACGATGACTGGAATGATTTTGCAAGCTCGGCTAACTCTAAGACTCCTAATAATTGGATTGGAGGTGATCTATGGCAAACCAGTGAAAAAAAACCCAGTGAAAAGAAACCCATTGAAAAGAAACCTACAGATGATAATGATGATGACGAGGACTGGAATGATTTCGCAAGCTCGGCTAACTCTAAGACTCCTAATAATTGGATTGGAGATGATCTATGGCAAGCCAGTGAAAGGAAACCCATTGAAAAGAAACCTACAGATTATAATGATGATGACGAGGACTGGAATGATTTTGCAAGCTCGGCTAACTCTAAGACTCCTAATAACCCCCTTTCTCAAACCATGGAAAGTTCCCAAGAGGAGTTATTTGATGGGCTGGCGCATGTTAAGAACGATGTTAAAGAACAGAGCGAAGTTGAGAAGCAGAATACTGGTCCAAGCGTGATACATGACGTAGCCAAATGTCAAGAAGATGATCTCTTTGGAACTTGGGATAGTTTCACATCCTCGACCGTTTTGCAAACACCTGTGCAGCCTCCCACCAACCATGTGAATCCATCTGCTGAACAGAAGCCGGAAATGAACTTGTTTAGGGCAAATAACAATCATCGAGACCTTGATTCTGATTTCTTTTCGGAAAGTATTGGAGGCCAAACCTACTCAGAAGAAGTCAAAGCCATGCCTTCTGGAGCATCAACCTTAGAAAGGTTTCTTATTTTCTCCTAAACTTCTTTTTATCTAATCCCCTGTATGCAATCTTCATTTCATACTAACAAGAAGCTTCAGAGCTAATCACATGTTCTGTTTTTTTTTTCAGAACGATTGATCCAACAACAATATCTCACAAATCAAAGAGTGATGTCGCGGAGGAGCTGATGTCACAGATGCATGATCTCTCATTTATGTTCGAGACCAAACTCTCTGTGCCTCCAATCTCCAAGACAGAGTAATTACATCTCACCTCTCCTGTTTTTCTTGGGGCTCGAAGATTGTGTGTTTGCTCGTAGATGTTTCATTTTCAATAACTTGAAAGATCCAGTTTGCTTGCTTTGTCGCCAATACTCTAGTGGTATGGTCTCGTCCATTGATTGATTATCAGTGCAACTACTGGGCCTCTTTGGTACTTATATAGAATTTGTAAGTTCCAGAATTAGTTTGGATTTCAACTAAGTCTAGTCTCTGAAATATCAAGGTTGCGAGTTCATTTAGAAAAACGTATACGTAAGATCTTGATTGTTTGTGTTTACGGTTTACCAAAATTCAAATTTTAATGAAATTTTTTGTATCTTAGTGGAAGTTTTTTTTTTCATTGTCTTAATCTTCTTGATAAGTTCTTACCAAGGCAATGGAACAAGAACAAATTGGATGGTCATGATCTACTCAGAGAGCTGATTAAGATCTTTCTTATTTTCATTAATTCGCAAACTGAAATAAGTTTTTTTTTTGTTTGTTAGCCTGTCATAAATCTATTAAAGGTGATACATCGGGTATTTTCTGTGTTGACAAGATAAACAGGCGAAGGTTTTATTTTATTAATTAAAACGATACGATGGTTTCAATAATTCACTCTCTATATCAATTATCAAAACAAGAAATCTAAGAAATACAGAGATACATTACTGCTTCATCACTTGAAATACATATAAAGAAAATTTTCAAAAAATAGTATGTACAACAGACGAAACCATTTTAGTCAATCGTTTTCTCGTGGTTTCTTCAGAAATAATTTTATATTGTCAACTATATATTTCCACATGATACACGTTATTATTTGTTAAAGATGAAGATTGATTTGATATGGATCTACAAAAAAATTAGCACCCAACTATTTTCTTCTCATCGATATATTTAATTCAACCGATACATGCTTTGATTTAATAGATCGGTGGCGAAAATCACAATTTAATACCATACGTATCCCGACTAAAGTCTATTTTATGTGATGATTGGTGACTTTATTTTCGGGATTTAATAAGTGAAATTATCAAAATACTTACTATTAGGTTTACAATTGGGGTAACTGGTAACACAATAAGATATTGTAAAGATAGACAAATGTAACTTATTACTAAAATAGATATATTAACAATATTAGGCTATGTAATGTATATACGAGAATGAGCATGACGCAACACAATGAATTGCTTGTTGTTGGAGAAACCACTTAATTTGATTAGTAACTTATAAGCCACGCCATCAAATTATGTTTCTAAAAGTAATTAGTGTCCCATAACTCTTTGTTTCTAATCCTCAGATTTTTTTTGTCCTCAAAAATGAAAATTGAAAAGGTGGGTAATACTTATTTTATATATTTTTTTGGTCAACTCTTATTTTTATTTACATTAATGAATAATATATTATTGCACTTATTTTTATTTACATTTATGAACAATATATTATTGCTTGGTAACTACTAAACTATGGCCACATGAATTACTGTGATTTGTGACTAGTGAGAGTATGTAAACTTTATTGACACTTTTAAATTTGTTTTTTCTTTTCTTTTTCTGTTTGTTTATTTCCTCTTTTTTTCAACTTCTCCAAGCCAGCGCCTTTCTAGAAATAATATCTCATGCTTTATCATGCATCTTTTTGTAAAAGTTTTATATTTTTCGTAATGAAACGATCGTCTGGAATTTCATTGGCTTGGGCGTATTATCCAATGGATATAATCACAACCTCAAAATATAGACTGAATTAAATTTTGCCACGTTGGGTTTTGAGTGCAATCAGTGACTGATGTGTAATGTAGTAAATCATTCGTAAACCCATGAAAATATCATTTAAAGGTCCTATAACTGAAAATTCTGACAGAAAAACCATCGGCATGAATAGTTTTTTTCTTTTTTGAAGAAGAAAAACCACCGGTATAATATGAATGAATAGTTAACACACTGCAATAAATCAAATTCATTTTTCAAGTACGAACTCGACTTCGAATTCGGTAAACAGAAACATGCAGTCTCATTTAAAAAGTTTAAACACGTTCGAGCCACATTGCAATAAATTGAATTGAATGTTAACATCTTTTCTGCAAGTTGTATATATACATTCGTAGTTTAGTTCACATTTATGCTCCATCTGATTGTTTTGTACATATTTTAAATGATCGATTGAGTTAACATCAAATTTTTATTTTATTTTCTTACAGAAGTGGTGTATATAGTGTTAACTTTGTGTCCAAGTCTGAAATCATTAATAAACCTTTTAGAAAAAAAAGGTTCTGAAATCATTGAACCAATATAGTCTCGCACGCATATTTGCTTTTTTCATATTATTTCCTTCACAATATGGTTTCATTTTATTTTCTTCACAATTTGGCTACAAATAACCAGACATTTAAAAACAAATGATGCCTCAAAATAGAGGATACCCCATGAGCAATAGCAAAATTTAAAAACATGAATGATATTACATATAGATAGTAACACTCTCACCAACTAAAATCTCTTGTAGATATCAAAATGTCATTCGTAACTACTTAAGATCGACAACGTTCTTAAACCGTAATGTTTTGGACAATTAGAAAAGTCTTTTTATTTGTTGCCGAAGCTCATCATCCACTATCCACGTCAGTACTTCACTATATGACTCAAGTGTATGTAAGATTCAGAAACAATTGGTATCGATATGAGGGCCATGCCTGATATGAGATATCGATTAACCGCTCCGCTCCCACTAGATTTGATATATTTGAAGCAAAAATCACATGGTTAATTATGTGGTTATGCGTAGAAAGAAAAACTTTGTGGTCGTGCATTTTTTTCATGGCCCATATAAAAATTTAAGCTTAGCTTCAAGTTCAAGCAAATTGTCGAATTTTTTGTTTTTGCAATTACCAACTATATCTTTTTATTAAAAATATTCTTTCTTTTTTTTAGAATAAGTGATGTTTTTATAATGTTTTACAAAATTAAGTGATGTTTATTTTGAGTGCAATATATATATATATATATATATATATATTAAAAAAATATTACTATCTATATCATGCAATCTTTTATTATTGGTTTAATCTTTTTAACTAGATAATAAATGATGTTTCAATATGAGAAAAAAGTACTTTATTTAATTTCTTAGATACATATGTTAAATTTGTGGACAAACAGAGAAAGTATTACACTGTACTTGAATGACTATGACTTTCTAATAATTGGGGATTTACGGGTATTTCTTTAATCTACGAAAGCAAGTTTTCAACTGCCAATGTACAATAAGTTTCTTAATAGAATTCTCTTCAGCTACTTATCTTTTTTCTCAACACTCTGTCCCTATTTTGAAATTTTCTATAGTAATACTAAAATAACTTTTCGAAAAATTGTGAATGTTGAAAACACGTGAATGTGGGATTTATTTTGCATGTGGTTAATAATAAAGCGTACATGTGCGTATGAGCTGTGAATGTGCGTATTGCAGTGGACAGCCGTAAATGTCTGACCAAATTCGTTTTCCTTATCTTTTTACCCAACGGTACACTTCCTTTAGGTAAACTCATCTTGTCGCTTCTTCATATAAACTATACGTCAACTTATAAAAAAAAAGTCTCTTTCTAAACTAATGTCCAAACAAATGTTTTCGTCTATTTTACCAAAAAAAAAAAATGTTTTAGTCTATTATAAAGTTAAATTTGAATTATTCTGCGTCTCTAGCCAGAATATATATAAAACATTCATTTGAATTGTCAATTAATCTGAATATACGTACCAAATGTTTTTTTCTGATAAAAGTGCTAATTCAAAATCAACCTAATGTTATTAATTATATATACATTCGATGATGGCGAGGGTACTACACGAAACCTTCAAAACTTTTTTTTTGTCAAAAAAACCTTAAAAACTTACGGATACACATAGAAACTTTATTTTGTTTGTATTTTATATAACTCATGTCATGTGAGCCTATAACAAAAATAGAAAAATGCTAGTATTGTTTACCTAAAAAAAGCCAAAGGAGAAAAGGGAGAAAGATTTGGGCACTTGTCGACACCACCTCGCGTCCTAACTCTGACGACACGTGGCTCGAGACATATACGGAACTCCGGTCTGAACAGAAACAAAATAGTCATTTTGACTACCTGAAACTCGACACGTCATCACCTTCTAGACTCAAACAAAGTACAAAGACCAATAAGCACTCTACCATTCCTAACCCAAGTCCAAGTGTCACGTCACTTCCTATCGAACCTTTCATTAGATACTTTCCCTGCCACGTCACTCCTCTTTGGTCACGTTTCTTTTTGCACTTATATACTTTTTTTTTTTTTGGGGCTCGAAATATAGTTTTCTTCTCTCCACATTTTGTTGGTTATAATCACATCAAAATTGGATCACATTTGGTAATCAACTTTGTCTTAAAGACTCCACGTGTATTGACGACACTATGTTATACAATTACTTATTCCATTTTTTGTTTTTCATTGCGTTGGTAGATAAACTCGATGTTACCAAAAGTATACACTATCTAATTACCCAAAAACATAAAAAAAAAAAAAACAAAAACCCTTATATATATAGCTTCTCTCGAATACCAGAGTGAAAGCAGACATTTAAAAAAAAAAAAATCCATTCTCTTTTTTGTGTTTTATACTTTCAGAATAGTCATTCTCCAAATGAATTGGACTAGAGGAAAAACCATAGGCCGTGGCTCATCCGCCACCGTTTACGCCGCCACGTGTAAAATATCCGGCGAAACATTCGCCGTGAAATCCGCTGAGTTTCATCGGTCGGAGTTCTTGCAAAGAGAAGCCAAAATCCTCTCTTCTTTAAATTCTCCTTACGTTATCGGATACAGAGGATGCGAAATTACGAAAGAGCCCTTCAACGACGGAGAAGCTACTTACAATCTTCTCATGGAGTACGCACCGCACGGAACGTTGACCGACGTGGCGGCCAAAAACGGCGGTTCCATCGAGGAGGCTCGAGTCTCGAGGTACACGCGCCAGTTACTTCTTGGATTGGAGTATATTCATGATTCAAAGGGAATCGCGCATTGCGACATTAAAGGAAGCAACGTGCTTGTCGGAGAGAACGGAGAGGCCAAGATCGCTGATTTCGGATGCGCCAAATGGGTTGAACCGGAATTAACCGAACCGGTTAGAGGAACTCCGGCGTATATGGCTCCAGAGGTGGCGCGTGGAGAGAGACAAGGGAAGGAGAGTGATATTTGGGCGGTGGGTTGTACGGTGATAGAGATGGTTACCGGCTCTCCGCCGTGGATATGTGCGGATTCGACAGACCCGGTTTCGGTTCTGTACCGGGTCGGGTATTTGGGTGAGTCACCGGAGCTGCCTTCCTCGCTTACGGAACAAGCAAAGGATTTTTTGGGAAAGTGTTTGAAAATAGAAGCCAAGGAGAGATGGACAGCGACTCAATTATTAAACCATCCGTTCTTATTAACCAAAACGAACACGGAACCGGTATTGATAACCGGTTTGGTGACGAACTCACCGACAAGTGTGACGGACCAAATATTCTGGAGATCAGTGGAAGAGGAAGAGGATGATCTGGACCGTCCAAGCTGGTGGGAATGTCACGAGGAGAGAATTGGAGTGCTAAGCTGGATTGGTCAGGTTGTGGCGGATCCCACATGGGACATGGACGGTGCGGATTGGATCACGGTTCGACGGAATAATGATTAGTCGGTCACATGAGGAAGTGTTGATTATTTGAGTTAGGGCAAATTGTTTTAGTCTTAGAAGATGGATAGGTTTTAAGTAAATTGAAGTTTTGAAATTTGAGTGAATGTAGTAGGTGATAGTAGAAGTTGAGGTTTTAAGAAATTCATGTACATTTACTGATTCATCATTTTTTTTATTCCCATTGTTCCAAATTTTGTTGTTCATTGTTATAATATAATCCATTTTTATAAAAACAAAAATGAGCGAACACAATTGCCTGAAAGTGTAACTAGTAATTTGCCAATATCCTTGAACACAATTGTATGAAAATTATAGGTAGTGAAGTTAGGTAAAAGAGTAAGAATTGTGGTAAGCATACTAGAGGAGGATTTGTGGAGTGCAATGATTTTTGCTTGTTGGGAAAGTGAGAAATTAATGCAACAAAAGATGCCGAATATTAGGCATTTTTCCCTTTGTATAGGATTCGCATTTTTCCCTTCGTTTATTTTATTTTATGTATTTTTTGATTTGTGTTAATTTGGTAAGCGTATATTAGGCCATTTTTGATGATTCATTCATCATGCCTTTGCTTCCACACAAATCTACTTATCGTAAAGTAGATAGTTGACAGGTTGAAACCTACCTTATTATACTAGTTAGTAAAAACCTCATTTAGTTATTAATTCATTTCCCCTTAATTAATCTAGTATTCATAAGAATCATCCGGAAACACTTTTCTTGCAAGGAATAATCACATTATAGATGAGTCATCATAAAATCTCTTAGATATAAGATGGTGAAAAAGAGTTGATGGTACCAGATCTTATGATCATACAAAAACGTTTGTTTCTTCTATTAGATTTAGTTATGGGTAAACAGAAATCTCATATCTTCCTCTGTCAACTTTCCTATGGCCTCCTGAGAGCCACCAACGGTCCTGTAACGAACAAAAGTGTGTTCATCATTATAACCTCTCCAAGATAATATAGTTTATGTTCGGAAATAAAAACAACAAAAGTAGAGAATCTTTTACTTACCCTTCAAACACAAGTTCCTTCTTCTGTTGAAGCTTCAGAATCCTTTCCTCCACTGTGTTCTCTATTACGAATCTCACAATCCTGTAATTTTTCACAAAACCACAATCCCGTATTCAACGAAAACTCTCTTACCCACCAACATACTAGAGATAAAGGGAGAAACTAAAGAGTGACCTGATTGGCTTGTACTGTCCTATCCTATGTATTCTGTCCTGTGCTTGCCTCTCAACCGCTGGGTTCCACCACGGGTCCATCATGAACACCTACAGAATTTCCCGCACAGACATCAAATGTGAGAGCATGTTGAATAAGCGCACATCTCTCTATAGTTGTTAACTTAGACACTTACATGTGATGCGACTGTTAAGTTGAGAGCAACCCCGCCAGCTTTCAAACTCATTAAGAAAACTTTGCAATCTGGATCTTCTTTGAATTTATTGATGGCAACATCTCTAGCTGCCATAGACATGCTTCCCACCAATTGAGCGCAACCAACCCCACACTGTTGTAAGCAAAAGAGTCATTGTTCGCATGTTTCATCCTGATTAAAACTAATGTTAAAGAATAGCATAGTCGTAGAATAGTTGGTTGCCCCTAAAATTACCTTCCCGAGGGTGTAATTTATCAGGTCCAAGAATGATGTGAACTGGCTGAAAACTATTGCTTTGGCAGACCCATCTCTTTCAACCATAAGCCTGATTTCTTCCCTCTGCATACAAACATGATCACGAAATGGTTAAAGAAAGGTAAATGCCAAAGAAACTTAACACGGTGCATTATTTGGACGAGAGACATAAGCTGTATATATTCAAGAGCGTATACCAATGCCTCTATCTTTGTACTTGTCTGAAAATCATCTAGCTTTATCCGATTTAAAATGCTCGAGGCTCTAAATCCTTTAAGCGTTGTCTTGCTTGCCTGATGCTCTGTACCAGCTTTGGTAGTCAAATCCACAGTCAGTAATTCCGAGCATGTCGGACAGGTTACTTTTCCCAGGGATGTAGAGAAATCAATCAAACAAGCTTTACAGAACACATGTGCGCAAGATGTCACCTTCAAAATTAAAGAACCAAAGGAATATATTAATCGAACAAGTCAGTTAGTCCAGCAACAGAATATAACACATTCCTGCACAAAGTGTAAGAAGAAAGCAGCAGTTTCCAGATGATACAGTTACTGAGAAACAAAGTAGATATACAATAAAATAGCAATAGATCGAGAAAATTGATACACTTACAACGTAGTCCTCAGCCGGGTCGTGGCAGAGACCACATTCGTGCTCATTTTTGTTCTCATCATTCATGTTAGCATTAGCACCACTAGAATTAGAATACACCACAAGGTATGGATGATCAACAGCCTGAGAAAATTGCAGAGAAAATACATCACAAACCTACAATCTGGATCATCCAACAAGTGCATTGCCTAGTTAGTTGAACTAGAAAACTGTAGATGCCACAGACCTGTCTTAGACGGGTGAGAAGATCAAATATATGTGCATAGTTATTCATCAATGTCCCAGACTGAATATACCTGCAAACAGAGATGTACATGGCACAATCAATAATAAAACTTTGTAGTACTTGAGCCAAGGAGCAAAAGATAGTGGATATCCATAGAATAGAATGTAACTTAACGTATTAAATTCCGCTTGACTGTTTTTGTATAGTGATTCGTAGTAATCAAACTCTTTTATATCTAGTGCATCCCGCCTCAAAGAGATCTACAAGAAGTAAAAAAATTATATGTAGAGGTCAGCAACAATACCGAGCTTACATCAGACAAGGGAGACAAAGGAACGTACGATTCTGGGAGGAAGGGCAAGATCAGCTGCCCGGCCCAATTTAGTACGTCTTAGAAGGATGTCCTTCAGAACTTTGTGTTTAAGCAATATCATGGCTCTCTTTCCCACAAAGTCGCCTCCATGTGATGCTATTGGTTTGGCCAAATACTAGCAAGATTTGAAATAACAAAAAATCAGAAAGACAAGAACAGGAAAAATGGTGATCCTACTTTAGAAAATTGCCAATATAAAAAAGCGGCACCTCAAAATTACCTTGTTCCACCAGCAGAAATGTCGCACTGCATTATGAGGACAGCTGTGACAGCTTGCATGCGCACTGCAATCACCGCCAAAGGCAGCAGACAAAAGAGATCGAACAACAGAAATTATTATGAACTATGAAATAGACCTATGGGTAAGGAGAAAACAACTAGAAATCGAGTGTGGTAAAAATTTACGTGTAATCAAGAATTTTACAGTCACAGTCCTTGCAAAAGTAATATGAGTATGGACAAATTTGCAGGAAGCGAATCTGGGGAAACAAAAACAAAATAGGCACATCAGCGATGTTGAAGATAACTTTGAACTGCTATAGATAAACTTTAGGAAAAAAATCACTAACCAGAGAGTAAAGCTCTCCAACACGATTCTGGAGAGGGGTACCGCTCAGAGCCCATCTGTAGGTAGCCTTCAAAGCAAAAACAGCTTTCGCAGTGTTGCTACGTCTTTCTTTGATGTAATGAGCCTGGTCGGAAGATATGGAAATCAAACGTTAGAGTAAACAACATCAGATCCATAAATCCAGCCATTTTAAGGCCAAAAAAGCAGATGAAATTGCAGAGCATATTGGAAAAACAAAAGAGACAACTTAAAATTATCCTTCGCAGAGCTTCTCCTGCTGTGGTTTCCTGTATATATCTCACAAGAGGCATGAAAGGCACCTTTTCTTACATGCTCATATTTCTACGTAAATTGTGCCAAAGAATAAGTAACAAAAGGTTAACACCAACAAACAGCGGGTCTTGGTACTGACCTCATCCAATATGACTCGATTCCACTTAATAGAGTGCAAAAGAGACTTCTCTTTTATATCCACTGAGCCAGAATTATCCGCTTCTAATGTTTGTCTAGTCTTCTTCCTAGATCGCTTCATCTTGCTATCCTCTCCTGCATCTGTTTCCATGCCTTGCTTGGACGATGTAGCTGTAGAATTCTTCTTTTTCTGCTTAGATTGTTTATTTGTTTTCACAGCCAAAGGCCCACAAAAATATTTGTTGTGGATCTTAAGCCTATCCGGATAAAATGACTTGCTGCAATGTTCACACTGCTGCTTGGGCGACATCATGCCTCTCCTAAATTCACTCTCAACCGTAGAATATGTAGTCAACACAAAGTCGTATTTCATGAGTTCTTTAACATTCTTCTCTCTCTTCGCCCCGTGGTATACAAGGACCTTGGTGCTTCCGGGAGATGTAAACCGAGCAATCTCATTCACCCATTGAGAAACAGCAACAAGAGGACAGAGTACAAGGGTGCACCCAACTGCTTGTCCAAATCGGGCCCTGTCAGCTTCACGTCTGGCAAGAACAAGAGAGATGGCTTGTATGGTTTTTCCCATCCCCATCTCATCTGCGAGAATGCCTCCCGCAACTGATTGTTCCTGCTTTAAAGCCCAAGCTAAAAATTCCTTTTGGTACCTCAATAGTGGCATAACCAAATCTGAGGGCGGCTCGACAGTTTCAGCAATCACAGAATTCTGCTGATCCATATCAACATCCTCCGTAAAATGTTCATCAATCCATTTCTGATCCTCTCCTTCCCAGATCTTCCACAATAGCAGAACTTTCTCTTTTTTTTTCCTTTTAGTGCCTGCTCTTGGCGGGCTTGGCACAGGGGCAGGTGCAGGTACAGGAACAGGTATATCATCATCAGTATTGACCTCCTGCTCCTCCTCATCACCTATGTTCACATGTGAATGTAAATCATGGATATCCTCCGAAATCATTATTGCAAGATTTCCAGGACAATAGGCACGAATGAATCAACAATTCCAGAATCATGGTTTCAGAAAACGAGTATAATATATACTACAAAACAGATGTACACCTTTTAGCAACGGAACAAACCTTGAAATTCTGAGCCGGTTGAATCGGAATCTGAAGAACGTTCTTCTTCATCAGGGTTGAAATCATCTTCCTCCTCAAGATTCGCAACTATCTCAGAAGAAGAAAAGAGAAATAAGTAATCTCCCGAAAGTGTAAAATTAGGCTAAAGAGTTGCAATTTACTACAAGAAAAGTCGAACGGAGACATGGGAAAGCGCTTGAATCTAAAATTATCCACCAAGGAATTGCTTAATACCAATTCCAGATCGCACTGGAACACAGACACCACTTCACTAACTCGGCGATTTCTCGGGTACCAGAGACGATCAAGGAAGGATAAATAGAAAGAAAGGATGGGGAAGATTACCTTCGTTAGACGAAAGAATCGCTTTATTGCGGGGACGTAGCTCCATCGCTCCCAAAATCGCAATCAAAATCGCAAAATCGAGTAGAGAGGAAATATTAGGGTTTATGAATCGTCGTTCTGTCTTTCCAGGTATATAGTTACGAGGGCGTGACTGTGCAACTGTCGAGAACGGCGGGAAACACAAATGCTACGTGTCGATTTCCTATCCGTCCGATCAGCTACCGAGTTTATCAGGATATTTCCTTTTCTTGATTTAAAATGTTCATCCAAAAAAAAAGTTTTTATTTAAACAGAAATACAGTAAAAACTCTATAAATTAATAACATTATAACTCTCATAATTTATTAATTTAGAAAATTATTAATTTATAAAAAAAATAATTGATTCAAAATATAATTTGGAAACAAAAACATTTATTAACTAATATAATTATTAATTTATCTGAATATTAATTTATAGAGTTTCTATTGTATACTCTAAAATTATAAAATTATTAATATTCATGCATTAACTTTGAAAGGTCTTAATATTAGTAGTATTTCATAGCCTATATAGCAAAAGCATTGTAAAAAAGTATACTGATATAAATAGCTACAGTATATAGCAAAAGCATTGTAAAAAAAGATTGCCATGACGTTACCACGCCGTGGATTAGATTTCTAGATATCATTTGAGGACAATCGGTGAGAGATTTCACCTATGGGCCCAAAAGGTTTAACAGCAAAAAAAAGCGATTTGATAAATGTAAAACCTTGTTGAACATTAGACATGTTGATCGCTATCAAAATCGGATTTTCTGCAGCAAAAACTTGAAAATGAATGAAGGTGTATAGCCAATAATATATATATATATATAAGCTATAAATCTAAAAACTCCTTTTACTCTGTTGGTTTGGTAGAGTAATATCTGACGGTAGGACCTCAAAAATAAATTGTGGAAAACTGCTGGATATGTGTGTGCCGTTTAGAAAATTGGTTAAAGTCAATCAAAGGATTAAAGACTAATCCGCGTTCAATATTTTCTTACTGGATCTTCGGAATCGGAAAACATTCTTACACAAATATAGAAGAAAACACATCTTGCAATGAAAATTATGATGATGTATCGTACAATTTTTTTTTTAATGCAAAGCAAGAAGAGAGAGATATAGAATGACAAATAGATGGACCGTTAGGCGCCACTAATAAGTGCTTTTGATTAACGGTGAGCGCCATCGCCACCACCACCACCGCTTCTACTTCCAGAACCATGACCAGAGCCTCCACCAACCCCAACACCCATTCCTATTCCTATCCCAA